GGACGGGTGGCGGTCTCCCCGGGGGTGTGCCTCGGTGAAAGAAGCGTTAAGCTTGACGTGCGAAAGTGAAGTGGAAATCACATTCGAGGCGCAGTTCACCATGCAGGCACTCCCTCCAATAGTGCCTCCTGCGGGGTCGTTTTTGCGGCATGCGAGGTGAGAGTTGTCCAAGGCCCCGACTTCTCACCTCAATGTTGAGGAGAGCATTCTTAATCTTATCCTAAAAACCTAATGTAACGAGGCGTGTGCAGTTGGATCAAGGAGCCTGTTCATCTTACACCGATACGGCATTCGACCAAGTCACTTCTCTTTCCTCATAGCTTAGTGCGGCCCTCCACACATCTCGAATAGCCCGAACACCCGGCCGTCGTCACGGTGTTCCTCGCTTGTCCATGCATCCGAGGAAATTACTTTTTCCAAGACAACGAGACGTCGTCCTCGTGCCACGATACACCCCCCGTCATGTATGCGCCCCTTGTCTCAACAAGTAGCGGTATGGGGCCGGCCTCTCGAAGGAAAAAGGAAGAAAAAGCTGGCGTTTCTCATTGACAACGCCCTTCTTTCCCTTCTCTTGCATTTGAAGCAGAATTGGCAGGTTTCTAGCAAGGTGGGTGTGTGTTATCAGATGAAGGGAAGGAGGCGTCGGGGGTACTCGCAGCTGAAGAGCCCCACAGAGTCCGACGTTTCTTGTCAATTCTGTGTTACTTGCTGGATGACAGGGCGAAATATGGAGGGCGGGAAGGCAGAATGGGGTTATTGTTTCCGGGACACCGCATGGGCTCAAATATAATATAAGCTCTTCGGCATGTTCAGCGCGACTGGGATAGGAGGGGTGGATGGGGTTGATGATGAAACTGCTGTTGTCTCTGGAGGGCGGCAGCGGCCGCTATAACGAGGAGTAGGATGTCAAAGGAGGGCAAACTCGTTGCGTGAAACGTGTGTGCGTGGCTATCGAATCTGTATGCCACGAGGCGTAGGCCCGGATAGAGTGTCCTACTTTGGATTCGACCGGACCCCTTGTGATACGTGTGAACAAGAAACAAGGAACACTAGAGGAAGAAGGGGGGCGCGTGGCCTCGAAGCATTACGCACGAATGCCTGACGCTCCCGGATGTCAATAACACGAGCCAATGTGATGAATATTAGGACATCTTCACTCTTGTTTGGCTCTTCTGCAGCTCCCGACTCCCTAGATTCAGCGTGAGGCGAGGAAATAGGCTTGGGGGCGTTATCCGGTCAGGCTCACCGGTGAGCATGGTTATTGCTGAGTTATTGAGGGGCATTGAAGGCGACTGGAGACCTTCCTTGGCTTGACCCGGGGGCCTGGAAGATAGGGCAACCTTCGAGGAAAGAGGCAATTGAGGTCGGGCTCTCTCTCTCAGAGGACGGCGAAAAAGGACTAGCTAAAGGACACTGCATGAGGTATTGGCGTGCAAAGTATATTTGCTTAACGGCCGAGAAGGTAGTCTTGAAGGAGTGGAAAAAATGAAACTAGATCCTCCGTGAAATGAAATGCCCGGGTTCGGGCGAGGCGGGTGGGATATGTGTGTAGAGCCTATCTCGATGCTGTCTTTGTACCTCCGTGCTCGTGTCTCCAGCGCATGGAGGAACATCAAGGTTGTTGTAAAATCTTGCGACCGTCATGTTGAGCTATTCCAACCTGGATTCCATTGGTTTTCCATAGGAAAGGGCGATGTCGAAAACGGAAGGGATTCCAAAGTCCGTCGGAATTTACAATCAAGATGCCCGTCTTCGGTACCATCGGCAACTCCGATGAACCAGAAGGTTGGAGAGTCTTAAGTGAAGTATAAGTTATTGTTCCGTTAATACGTCTTCATTAGCGTCCTTGGGTTTACCACGGACTATTGAGCTGTTTGGGTTTATGGTGGAGTGAAGACTGTTGTCATTCACGAGAGTTCCATCTTAGTTTCTCGGAGACACTCCCCCAAATATCTAAATGCTCACCTGTATACCTTCTTCCCCAGAGGGAGGCAAGACTCGGCCAGAAGAAAATGAGAAAAGGCGTGGCAGGTAAGTTTTTGGTGTAGAAGTAGTGATGAGATGCGGGTCTGGTATCAGACTTGAAAGTATTTGAAGAATGGACAGCATTCATTCGAAGCGATGCGCCTCAGGGGTCCGGCGTTCATCTCATAACTTTCTCTCGTAAGGCCTCATCCCCGTCCTTACTTCCTGACTTCTTCTAACAACCCCTCCAGTCCCATCTCAGGCCATCTAAAGATATCGTTGAAGATAAATCTCTTAGACAATTCGACTACCTCCACTAAAGGATGGGAATACGACCAGGATCCCAACGAGACCTCAGTCCTAGAGTGGGCGTTGGCATTCGGGGTTACCTTTGCGATGGAATAGGGACTCTTGGATTTCACAATTTCATCTGTATCTCTCTAAACGGCACACTGGGGGGGTGCCGTTGAGTATGGCTCCCAGGCCTGCCTGAAGTCGCCTTTTCCCGGCTCTCCAAGTTCAGCGAGCAGGTTGTCGCAGCAACTTTGGATAAGATGCATCCGAGCGAGTCTTCGTTTGTGCAATCGATGCGCTTCGCGTTTCTCCAGAGTGCGATGGACGCGTCTTCTACATCTTGCGTCAAAGATGTAAGTTGATTGTTTCTCAATGCATTACCCATGGCGATCAATTCCTGACATTCGTCGACTCTGCGGAATCTGTCGAGTTTGTTTGTGTCAAGATGTTCGTCTCTTATTCTTGGCCCAGGGGGAGAGGCTCGGGGTATTCACAACTATCACTAGGAGTGAGCCTCCCTCAGGCTTGTATCCTCGAACCCAATGCGGTGAAATCTGTAATTATCAAGATTGCACTTCCACCTGCTTCATGAGTGTATAGCTTCACCAGTTCGAGAAGCATCGACCGCCTAGCTGGGTTGACTGCCTCTAAGACGCTCCACCTCTTGGTCTTCCAAAAGGGAGCCACAAATAGCAGGCAGTTTCACATGTCAGCAATGACAATACACTCGCCGGACGACGGTGAAGGATAGCACCATTGGTACAGGGGTGTCAAAGACTGGTCCCTGATTGTTGTGCCGGATCGGTCCGAGTATTTTGGCTCATCTGCATCCTTAGATAAACTTGAAGTGGACACTCTCAGGCCTGTGCCAAGATTAGTACAACTGTCAAATACCTCATAGCCAACGTCATCGGATGGAAGCGGCAATGCTAGCTTCACTATGATGAAGGGTCGACGGGATCGAAATCTCCTGTCGTGTGGGGGTCAACGAACATTGATGGCCAACGAGACCTCGCCCTGTGGATCATTCTATCGTTCTCTCCAAGGCTGGTGGGGGCGATATCTCACCGGGGGTACGCGGACACAATCAATCACAAGCATTTCTCTCCGGCAAAAGGGTCCTCGGCGTAGATTTCTAGGAAGAGTCCAGCCAATTCAGGCGGAGAGCTCTGTCTGAGCTCACCGAGAGACAACGGAGTCGAAAATAGCTCAGCTGCAGAGACAGAACTTCGATGCCAGTTTATTACACCCAAAATCCGTGGGAGACAATTGATCAATTGAAGAATGACGTCGATGTTTCGGAGCCCGGTGGGATCTCTCCCGTTTTTCGGATTCAGTGTTTTTTCCGAAATTCCCGCGGGACGGCTATGATAGTGTTATATGTCAAAATTTGGAGGTGACTGTTAACCGATCCGGATAGTCCAAGTGGCAATGGCTCAGTGGCTCCCCATACTGACGAGCTACGAGGGCTGAGGCGGCGGCGTGGAAACCGTTCTGGTCAAACCGGGTCGGGGGAGGAAAAGGGAAGAAAAGGGATGGGTACCAAATGGGGAGAAGTCAATTTTTTTTGGCTGTTGTTTTGGCTGTCCCAGTCTCGAAGGTACTTTCGAATTTTGGGAATAGCCTCTCGAGGTACTTTGGAATTTTTTTTCCTGCTTATGTAAACTGGCTTCTTGGAGATCGCCTGTTCGAACCTACCTTCGCTTGCTTTCCTTTTTTGTCGCATTTTTCTTTTCAGTCCTATTGACCTCGGCATTTCCATTCTCACACTTCCCTATCGAGCCTCAAGGTATCAATTGATTAAAATGAATCGTTCACGACTACTGAGATTCACTAGTCCATGGAGATTTACCTGTCTTAGACACACCGTCAACTTCGATGCCAACGGGGAATAAGTTGAAACCTTCGTCACAATCCGGAGACAGCCTTACCCTAACCCCGGACCATGGACAAATGCTATTCCGACGGAACGGAGCCTTTTCTTTTGACCGCCCGTCGTCAAATGAAGATACTGATCCTGACCATCTTCCTGCACGCTTTCGTCATTGTGCCCCCGTTCCGGCTAGGCAAAGCCGCTAGCTAACGCATTGAGTCTTGGCCTTTCGGCCTCAAATGAGCGCCGACTGCGCCAGAGCCTGCTAAGTCCCGGTAGTCCCGGCATGGTCGTCGTAAGAGTGCATGATATTCAGCCCACCAGTTCGAATCCGTCGCGATCGTCATCACATGTGTCGGCGAACTTTTGTTTACTGAAAAAATCGATCGGAATTCGTATAAGCTAGATCGATTGGATCAATTGGGACGGTACCCACTGTGGGTATCTCCCATGCTCGAACCACTCATGGCGATGGACGCAGAGCTGAGCATATGTGGACCTGGTGAGTTCTGGGACCGGTATTCCGAGGCTCCGGCGGCGCTTCCTCTCACGCGAGGTCCTGCTGTCTCGCCCGGTCCCGAGACGGGATTGGGATTCATCTTTGTGGTCTCAAAATGAAAGTATAAACAGGAGAGACTGTTCCTCTTCTGGATGATGGAGCGAGTGCAAGATGTCAAAGCTATATCTGTACGGCCGTGGGCGTGATTGTCTGTATGCCGCGAGCTGGCCGTTCCCCATATCACATCATTCTCTTCGAGAACAAGAACCCCATTAGTACTTTCTAGCTATACAAGAACAAACCATTTCCGAACCTAGTCCATAATTGTGGATTGATGGTTTGTCCACTTGCCTCACCAAATCCCAAAACATGCAGAACTCATCGGAGGAGGGAGCAGAGCAGCCGAACCGGCACTCTCTGCACTCGATCGAGGAGTTGGATACAAATGAGGCAGCCTCTGTCGCCTCCTCTGGAAGTGACACACCCGGAGCATCGCCCCTCCGCCGAATAGACAGCCACACGCTCATCGACGACACTGGCAGAGCCGAGCTCCACCGCATCGCCACAGCCCTCTCCCACCGGCGATTTAGCATCAGGTCAGTCGAGCACCCCGCGCCGGACGATTATAAGGAAATCTGGCTAGGCGATGAAGCCGCCCTGAAGCCAGAGAACCCTGAATTTGATCTAGGGAAATGGCTGCGAACTTTCGTGAAGCGCATGACCGCCGAGGGCGTCAGTCCTGCGCGGACCGGCGTGGCTTACAGAAACCTCACGGTTTCTGGTACGTGTGACTCGTTGCTGCACCAGCAGACGGTTGCATCGTATTTCCTTGCGCCGTTCAGACCGGGCGAGTTTCTCTCAATCAACAAGAAGCCCAAGAAGATTCTGAATAGCTTCGACGGCCTTCTCGAGAGTGGGGAACTTCTTGTCGTGTTAGGTCGTCCGGGGTCGGGGTGCAGTACCTTCCTAAAGACGATATGCGGAGAGCTACACGGCTTGCAGATGGATAAGAATTCCACCATCCACTACAGGGGCGTGTCACAAAAGCAGATGGTGAAAGAATTCAAGGGAGAAGTTGTCTACAACCAAGAGGTATCTGATATATATTCCTGCCTTCCAAAAACTCGCATCCACTTCCAGCTAACTTGGAATTCGCCTCGCGTAGGTCGATCACCACTTCCCTCACCTTACCGTCGGCCAGACTCTCGAGTTCGCGGCGGCGGCGCGCATGCCCTCTAACCGAATCGAAGGTGTCTCCCGCGAGACTGCAGTCAAGTATGTGGCCAAGATCGTCATGGCTGTCTGTGGCCTAAGCCACACCTACGACACTAAAGTCGGAAACGACTTTATCCACGGTGTCTCTGGAGGCGAAAGAAAGCGTGTAAGCATCGCAGAAATGATGGTCACATCGGCACCTTTGCTCGCTTGGGACAACAGGTAATAACGCCATCTTCCGGACCCTCAGCATCACCACCACCCTCTACTACCCTGCAAGCTAACAATATGTCTCTAGTACGCGAGGTCTTGATTCTGCCACGGCTCTGAAGTTTGTCCAGACCCTCCGGCTATCTTCGGATATCACTGCAAAGGCGAACGCCGTCGCTATATACCAGGCCAGTCAAGCCATTTACGATCTATTCGACAAGGCCGTCGTTCTTTACGAAGGCCGCACCATCTACTTTGGTCCTGCTCAAGACGCCAAGGCCTTCTTCGAGAAGCAGGGATGGCATTGCCCTCAGCGCCAGACGACTGGTGACTTCCTCACTTCCCTAACTAACCCCCAGGAACGCATCCCGCGTGAGGGCATGGAGAATAAGGTTCCCAGGACGTCTGAAGACTTTGAGCGTTACTGGAGGGAATCGCCCGAGTACAAGGCCCTACTAGAAAATATTGACTTGTTCGAAAAGGCCTACCCTCAGGAAAGGGGCAGCGAAGCCCTCGCCCAATTGAGAGAGAACAAGGAGCAAAGACAGGCCAAGCACGTCCGGCCAAAGTCACCCTACATCATTAGCAACCTCATGCAGATCAAGCTCAATACGAAGCGTGCATATCAGCGACTATGGGGCGACAAACAAGCCACGCTTACCCAAGCAATAGTCCATCTTATTATGGCCCTCATCATCGGTTCCGTCTTCTTTGGTACTCCCGACGCCACAGTCAGTTTCTTCGCGAGAGGCTCTGTCCTTTTCATGGCAGTCTTGCTCAATGCGCTCAGCGCCATTGTCGAAATCAGCAGTCTGTACAACCAACGCCCTATTGTCGAAAAACAGGCCTCGTACGCCTTCTACCACCCGGCGACAGAGGCCTTGGCGGGTATCGTTGCCGATATCCCCGTCAAATTTACCATCGCCGTGTTTTATAACATCGTCCTTTACTTCATGGCTGAGCTGCGCCGTGAACCTGGCCCGTTCTTCCTGTATTTCCTCGTCTCGTACGTAGCCACTTTCGTCATGTCTGCTATTTTCCGCACCATGGCCGCCGTGACGAAAACGGTGTCCCAAGCCATGTCGCTGGCAGGTATTGTCGTCCTTGCTCTCGTCATTTACACGGGTTTCGTCATTGCCACGCCACAAATGCACCCTTGGTTCGGTTGGATTCGTTGGATCAACCCGTTGTACTACACATTCGAAATTCTGATCGCCAACGAATTCCACGGTCGACAGTTTACTTGCTCAAGCATCATCCCCGCATACTCCCCACCAGTTGGCACTTCTTGGATCTGTAATGCCATTGGAGCTGTGGCCGGTGAACAGACCGTGAGCGGTGACGCCTTCATCGAGGAAAACTACAGATACTACTACTCGCATGTCTGGCGGAACTTTGGCATTCTAATGGGATTCCTTGTCTTCTTCATGGCCATTTATTGCATCGCGACCGAGCTCAACTCTTCGGCTTCTGCGACAGCCGACGTCCTAGTCTTCCAACGAGGAAAGGTACCACCGCATCTGAATCCCAAGACCGGCGCAACGGACAAAGATTTAACGGCAGCTAAAGCTGAGAGGATAGACGGTGACGGTGCTGCTTCCATCATCGAGACTCTCGAGCCTCAGAAGGATATATTTACCTGGAGAAATGTGAGCTACGATGTCGACGTCAAAGGTGGTACCCGGAGGCTACTCAACGATGTGGTTGGCTGGGTAAAGCCTGGGACTCTCACGGCGCTCATGGGCGTGAGCGGTGCTGGAAAGACGACCCTTCTTGATGTCTTGGCGCAGAGGACGAGCATGGGTGTGGTACATGGTGATATGTTTGTGAACGGAAAGCCTCTGGATGCTAGTTTTCAACGCAAGACTGGTTATGTCCAGCAGCAAGGTGAGATTCCCAGCCACCCTGGTGATGCCTCGTTTTATCTTATTTCTTTTTCTACATGTGCATGATTTGCTAACTTTGCTGCCCCGTTAGATCTTCACCTGGAGACAGCAACAGTTCGAGAAAGTCTGCGCTTCAGCGCCATGCTTCGCCAGCCCAACACTGTTAGCAAGGCAGAAAAGTACAAGTACGTTGAAGAGGTCATCGACATGCTCAACATGAGCGATTTCGCGGATGCGGTCGTAGGTATCCCCGGAGAGGGCCTCAACGTCGAACAGCGCAAACTCCTCACCATCGGTGTCGAACTAGCCGCCAAGCCAAAGTTGCTCCTCTTCCTGGATGAGCCGACGAGTGGCTTAGATTCCCAGAGTTCGTGGGCAATCTGCGTCCTACTACGCAAGCTTGCCAACGCCGGACAGGCTGTTCTTTGCACAGTGCATCAGCCGAGCGCCATCCTCTTCCAACAGTTCGACAGGCTACTGTTCCTGGCTCAAGGCGGTAAGACAGTCTACTTTGGAGACATTGGAGAAAATTCCCGGACCCTTCTGGATTACTTTGAGAGCAATGGAGCTCGCAAGTGCAGTGACACGGAGAACCCAGCTGAGTACATGCTCGAGGTCGTCAATCGCGGCATGAACGAAAAGGGCTTGGAATGGGACAAGGTCTGGAACTCGAGCCCTGAACGCCAGGCCGTCGATGTCGAGATCGACAAGATCCACGAAGAGAGGAAGAACGTCCCCATCTCCGAGGAGGATGGGCATCGCGGACAGTCCGAGTTTGCGGTGCCTTTCAGAAATCAACTGTGGGCTGTGACACAGAGGGTTTTCCAGCAATATTGGAGGATGCCGAATTACATCTTTGCCAAGTTCCTTCTTGGTCTCTGCGCGGGGCTATTCATCGGATTCTCGTTCTTCCAGCCCAAGGGGACACTTGCCGGGATGCAAAATGTTATTTTCGCCGTCTTCCAGGTCATTACAATCTTTTCCATTGTCGTCCAACAGGTATGTCAGAAAGAGCCTATGTTAAACCAAACTCGAAACCCAGATTACTTCTCTCTTTCAGCTTCACTGACCATAATCTCTGCCAGATCCAACCCCTTTTCGTCACCCAGCGTTCCCTCTACGAAGTCCGCGAACGACCCAGCAAAGCCTACTCCTGGAAAGCCTTCATAATGGCCAACGTAATCGTCGAGATCCCCTACCAAATCATAACCGGCATCATCATCTTCGGCTGCTTCTACTATCCCGTCGCCGGAATCCAAAGCTCCGAGCGCCAAGGCCTCGTCCTCCTCTTCTGCATCCAGCTCTTCATCTACGCCAGCTCCTTCGCGCAAATGACCATCGCCGCTGTGCACGACGCCCAGACGGCCGGCGGCTACGTCGTCCTCCTGGTCATGATGAGTCTCGTATTCTGCGGCGTCCTGCAAACGCCCGACGCTCTACCGGGATTCTGGATCTTCATGTATCGCGTCTCGCCCTTCACGTACTGGACGTCGGGCATGGTCTCCACGCAGCTCCACGAGCGCCTCGTAAATTGTTCGCCGACCGAGACGTCGATATTTGATCCGCCACAGGGCATGACGTGCGGAGAGTACATGGCGCCGTATTTGCAGAAGGCACCGGGGCAGTTACAGAATCCGAACGATACGGCGAGTTGTCGGTATTGTTCGTTGACGGTGGCGGATCAGTATTTGGCGGGGAGCAAGATTTATTGGACGGATAGGTGGAGGAATTTCGGGCTCGTGTGGGCGTATGTGGTTTTTAATATCTTTATTGCGGTGGTTACGTATTATCTGTTCCGAGTTAAGAAATGGAGTCTTGGGAGCTTTAAGAGGGCGGCGAAGCCCAATAAGGAGGGAAAGGAAAAGAAGGAGAAGAAAGAGAAGGAAGAGTCTAGTTAAAAAGGTTGGAACGCGTCTTTTGTCTATTACTGAAAACTATACCAAGTCTCCATCTTCTATGTTTCTAGAACCTAATAATCAACCTTCAGACATCCCAAACAAAACTCCCTGTAAGGCTCGGTCCCGTTGACAATAGGGTGCAAATAAAAATATCAAGTAGCTGTGATCATCCTTATTAGACAGGGTGATAGGCTCGAGGGCGAACGCCAAAGAGGCTTTTTGAATCTGGCGAAGGTTTTAAGGTTCGGCTTGCTTGTAGGGTGCCTTGGATATGGTATTGTATTGGGCTTGACAAGGGCAGTGATATCCTGGAGATAGCTTTGGGTCCTCACACGGCGACGGGGAGGGAGGTCCCGACGCTTTCTGGAGAGTTTGCAATCGACATAGGGTTTCTGCTTCGTACTTGACGGTGGCTTCGCCGGTATTCTAGACTCTTTCCATTAATCCGAAAATGAACTGTCACAAAATCCTCTAAACCTTACGCCCTATGCAGTCTCCGATGGTTCGGGCGAGGCAGGAACCCGTGGGATTCGTTCGCCAGAGGGTGGGGTGTTTGTCCTGCTGCAGCTGGGATGGGTGGTATCTCTGATTATGCTTAAACTTAGCGTCCTCCAGGAATCTCCCGTTCGAGAGCTTTGATAGATTACAAGGAATTACTTGTTTTCGGAGATAGACGAACCGGTATGAAGGCAACCCATATGCCCAGAGGTGCCAACATTCTATCATCGCGCCAAGAAATCGGCGATAGGAATTGGGGGGGGGTTGCTCATTACGAATACTCGGTCGCGGTTCTGCTTGTTTTCATACACACCCCCTGTACCTCGGCACATCAGGCCGGCGCGGACCGGCAAGCAACCCAATGCGGCTTCGGGAGTGGGACCAAAGTCTCGGCCGTTCGGGAGGCCTCGAGTCCCCGGCATTACACGTGATAGCACGCGTGGTCGCCATTTTCGACAGGGCAGAGAGATATTATCGGACTTAGTCATGAATTATAAATCCAAAATGTACAAAGTCCGATGTACCCGCCCACTTCCCGCTCATCGACCTGATCCATTGTCTTGAATTGGCCTGACTGTTAAAAAGTGGGGCGACAACAGGGGGTCAAATTCTGCTTGGTGTCAAGGAACGAAAATAGTCGCATCAAATACCTGTGTATTATCCAATATTACAGAGAAAAACCAAGTTGGAGCCGCCATGATCCCGGACTATTGGGCCAGGCCCTTCTCTTGGGAACCAGACATTGGAAGGAAGGCGCCACCTCTGAATCAGCAGCTTAATAATTCGAAATCAGATTGCTCAGGAAACTGTGGAAAGGTCTCACAGGCTAGGTGGGGCCTTTCATTTCATCCGCTTTGATGCTGACTATGATGACCTTCTCATGGCTTTGTGTTTGACGGACGAAGAGCTTTCCGCTTGGCAAGCAAGGGGTGGGGCCGGGCTGTAACCAAGTACCGACGATCCCCGACATTGAAGGAAGGATGTAGTGTAGAGCCCGAATTTGGATATAAGTCAAAGACAGACCCCATTCAGAATTGAGCCAGCCCTTTACTCCCGGATCTTTGAGAACACGTCTGACCAAGGTTACCAAGGTCGATTGATTGATTTCTTCCTAGTATCCGCTCACCAATCTTCTAGAGCATCGCATTGACTCGCCAGGCTGCCTCAATTGAGCTCGAAATCGCAATGACTAAAAACGTTGTCGTCCTCGGTGGTGGCCCCGCCGGCCTTGCCACTGCCCACAAGCTCTTGAAGCGCACCCTGCCAAACGTCGCCGACCTCAAGGTCACTCTCGTTTCGCCCAGCACCCACTTATTCTGGGTTCCCGCCGGCGTTCGTGGTGTCATCCCCGGCGAGTTTGCCGACGACGTCCTCTTCAAGCCCTTCCAGCCCGGCTTCTCCAAGTACACCGCGGCCCAATTCGAATTCGTCGAGGGAACTGCTACCGGCCTGGATCCTGCCAACAACGCCGTGCAAGTCGAGGCCCGTGGCAAGGGGGTCCAAACTTTGAACTACGACCATCTTGTCATCGCGACCGGTTCCCGCGCGTCAGCTCCCGGTCTGCCCTACAAGACGCTCGGGTCTCACCAAGAGACCTTGGACAAATGGCATGATCTCCAGTCTAAGGTCGAGGCCGCCAAGTCTATCGTCATTGCCGGCGGTGGTGCCACGGGTATCGAAACTGCAGGAGAGATCGCCTTCAAGTACGGATCTAAGAAGGAAATTACCCTCGTCAACAGCGCCGATGTCTTGTTGAAGGGACTGCTCCCATCTGTGAGCAAGACGGCGGAGGATTCGCTCCGCAAGCTCGGCGTCAAAGTCGTGAACGGCGCGACTGTCACCACACCATTCGAGAACAACGGGGCCGTGAATGGCGTCACCCTCTCCAACGGCGAAACTATTGCCGCGGACTTGTACCTACCGCTCATCGGTGTACGCCCCAATACCCAGTTCGTTCCCAAGGAATTCCACGACAAAGCCAAGGGCGATGGTAGTCTCGCGCAGGAGAACACCTTGCGTGTAGCGGGCACCAAGAACGTGTGGGCCGTCGGTGACGTTGGCCGCCTCGAGACCAAGCAGGTCGCTCGCGTTGGCCCCCAAATCGCTCACCTATGGAAGAACCTCGACGCGATTCTGCGCGGCAACGAAGCCGGCGTCACCGATTACAAGTCCTCTGACAAGCCCATGATCTTTGTCACGACCGGCAAGAAGACTGGAACCGGCCAGATTGGTGGGTTCAAGGTGTTTGGATGGATAGTTGCTATGGCCAAGGGCAAGACCCTCTTCACCGATAAGGTTCAAGGTTTGGTGGATGGTGAATACTTGACCATGACTTCGCTTTGAGCGCTCAGTACGAGCTTTATGATTTTCATGCTTGTTTGGTTGATTGGGTGAGGGCGCCGGATATTTGAACCGTTTCGATACCACGTGTTAGTTTAATACAGAAATATGATACCAACGAGAAGAGCCCCTAATTAATCATGAACAAATATTATGGGAAAATCAAATGTCTAGGCTGGCAGAAGTGAGGTGAGACTCGATTAAATTCCCTCGGTGAGAGTCTAGGCGGGTGGAGACCTCAAGACTTGTGTAAAAATGTGAATGACTCTTCCCATTCCGGGGCGCTGGACGACCAGGAAGATGAAGAAATGTCAAACCAAAATAGGATAAGAAGTAGAAAGAAGAAAGAAAGATGCATAAAATGACTAGATGAATGATTTTACGAGCAGAGGTGTAAGACTCGGGATGTTATATCTCCAGGTTCTTCCAGCTCTCTCAGCTTGCAGCACGTGACGGGACGGTAAATTCCGTCTCCATCTCGACCTGACATAGCAACGAAGCTCTCAAGGCGCCAATCCAATTACGCCACCAGCCTCAGAGCCTCTCTCACAACTTCAGAGCCTTCGAAACCCAAACCCGCAGAAACCTCAAGCAAAAGCCAGCAATTCCCAGCTCGACCCTACCACCACCGTCCTTCACCATCGCCTAAACAGAACACCCGAGTACATATCGATACCGAAACGATGGCGCAAGGAGATTCCGACAGGGTGCAGCAAGCCCAGAAGCTTATCAAGGAGAAGAACCCCAGACAAGCCGAGCAGCTCCTCAAAGAAATCATCTCCCAATCGCCATCGGTGAACTCGGAGGCTGCTGTTAGGGACTACGAGACGGCGTTGATTGCCTTGGGAGAGCTTTACAGGGATGAAAAGTACGTGACTTCGTTCGCGCAACGGAGGGACGACCCGTGGGCACGAGCGCTAATGGGTGCCACTCTAGGAACACACAAGAGCTCGTTGAGCTCGTCAAGACGAGTCGATCGGTTCTATCTTCATTCGCAAAGGCCAAGACGGCGAAGCTAGGTTCGTCTCTTACCCACCTCCGCTCTGACCATGCTTCAGCTCCCCAATATTAACATCGACAACCCTGCCCCTCAGTGAAACAACTTCTCGACTTCTTCCACGACATCCCCAACTCCAACGAGACCCAAATCGCCGTCACCAAATCCTGCATAGAATGGGCCACAAAGGAACGCCGCAGCTTCCTCCGCCAAAACCTCGAGACCCGCCTCGTAACCCTCTACATGGCCAAGCAATCCTACTACGACGCCCTCACCCTCATCAACAGCCTCCTCCGCGAGCTCAAGCGCCTCGACGACAAGCTCGTTCTCGTCGAGGTCCAGCTCCTCGAGTCCCGCGTCTACCACGCCCTCGGCAACATCCCCAAAGCCCGCGCCGCCCTCACCAGCGCCCGCACCAGCGCCGCCTCCGTCTACACGCCCCCTCGCCTCCAGGCCGATCTCGACATGCAGAGCGGCATGCTCCACGCCGAGGATAGGGACTTCAACACGGCCTTTTCGTACTTTATCGAGGCCCTTGATGGATACCATAGCCAGGACGAGCCCACTAAGGCGACGGCTGCGCTGCAGTATATGCTCCTATGCAAGATTATGCTCAACCTCGCCGAGGACGTCAACACGCTCCTTCAGTCGAAGCAGGCGCTTAAGTACGCCGGCCAGAACCTCGAGGCCATGAAGGCCATCGCTAGGGCCCACTCGAACCGCTCCCTCGAGGAGTACGAGCGTGCTTTGGCCGCGTACCGTTACGAACTTGGCAGCGACGCCTTCATCCGCAACCATCTCCGCCGCCTCTACGATGCCATGCTCGAGCAGAACCTCATCAAGGTCATCGAACCTTTCTCTCGCGTCGAGATTGACCACGTCGCCAAGATTGTCGGCTTGGATACCCAGCAGGTCGAGAGGAAGCTTTCCCAGATGATCCTTGACAAGGTCATCATCGGTGTGCTTGATCAGGGTGCTGGCTGCCTCATCATCTTTGATGAGACGCATAGGGATGAGAGCTATGATGCTGCTCTTGCTACTATTGATAAGCTTAGCAATGTCGTTGATGGGTTGTACATAAACCAGGCGTCTCTGTTGGAGTAAGCGGTTGGTGGATGCTTGGGTGGGATGATGAAGAGAAGTCGGTAGGGATTGATTTGCTGGGCGTACTGTAATATTATGGTAGACATCAGAATACAAATCTTTTAAAGTCAAGCCATACTTGAACACACTGTCTCACTCTTGTAGTCCATTTATGATCGATTAATGAGAACAGAACATCAACTATGTGGTATCTTTACACATAATCTCAATATGAAAACAGTACAACTCGCGCCAGCCAATGCGATCAATGGTCGTCATCAGCCCAGACCCAATGCTGAGCATACCCAAGCAACGCCCGAAAAACAAAATCATATACCCTATACCCAGTTCCGAGAGCATCCCGCTCTGCCCATAAACGCCCAATAATGCAAACATTGTTTCTCAAGACGACAAAACACCTGTCACCTCTAAAGATACAAACTCGAAAGTAAGGGAAGCAGACTTGGCAATCCGATCTTCCCAAAAGGTTAGAGCGTTAAAAAACCACGCTCAATAAGAATCAGCCGGGACGTGACTGCCCATCTTCCCTTCCAACCTCAATTTCTCCCCGACAAGAAGCGAAAACAGCCGTCGGACCAGGAGGTCCTTGTTCCAACCTCCGACTTGCGAGTGGAAGGCCTCGATGACATCGAGATGCCACTGCTCGAGATACATCGATCCTTCCTCGACATCCATCAATCGGTCGAGGAAGCCGTTGCACATCCCCTTGACGTGTGGAAGGATAACCTCGTCGGGGAAGGGTTGCTTGCGACGGTACTGCACTAGAGCATCCAGGTAAAGCCAGTGGTTGCGACTCCACACCCTCAGGGATAGACAAGCCGGGGGCCAGGCCTCCGTCTTCTCTGGCGCCGGGCGTTGTTGTTTGGTGGCTGGTGTGGCGACAGGGGCTTCTTCGATGGGAGAAGAATCCGAGGAAACCGATTCGGTAGTATCCCCGTGTTCCGAACCAGCATATTCGCTATTCTCCTTATCCTCGTCGTCGTCCAGTTGGGTCACGTAGACACGATTGGGAGGTGGCAGCTGCACACTAGGAACAATACCAGCCCGCTTCTGGGCCCTAGCCTCTGCCTGCTGCAGAGGAGAGAGCGCGCTGCTAGCGAACTCCACTACGCGACCGGGGGTCTTTGGCTTCAAGGGCGATCTGAGACACGATTTCGTAGGAGACATGGTCTTGTGCAGGGGTTGTCGTTCGCGTCTCGGTTCGGCGAAGAAAGAGGGGCCTTCTGTCGAACGACGTGGTTGTAAAGCCTCGCTAGGCTTGGAGAAGAGCCAGGAGGAATTTGAGGCAGCTGTAGACCGTGCCGGCAAAGAAAATACTGGGCCCTTCTCCGCCTCGCTGTGTGTTGAGGGGAGGCTAAACAAGTTAGTGGATCGCGTCGACGATGGATCCTCTCGTGTACGGTTCGCCGCTCGACGCCGAGGCGAAAAGTTCAATTTTTGCTCCACGGTAGGAAGCAGAACCCGCTCTGGGGACGAAGGCATCTCTTGCGGCTCCGAATCGCTTGACTCGAGAGACCGTGGTCGGGAACTAGTAGAGAAAAGACTATTTCCTCGCACGGGACTCGGGTTGAACTCCTTCTGTGGCAGCGAAGGGAACAAGGAGTTGGTCAGTTGAGTTGTAGCCGGAGCATTATTACGATTTCGTGGGGCTTGGATCGGCGCGTGCTGCTCGGCCAGGGTGCTATCGGCCCCAAGACGCGGCGGAAGGACCGTTGGGGACGAGAAAAAGTCGGAAAGATTAACTCCGGTCCGCTTCTGGTTCGCGGTAGTGGTGGAAATGTCGGTCTTCTTGCTCTGTTGAGACAAGAGCGAGTATTCGGAAGCGAGACTGTGCCCTTCATGTTCAGGCTCGTGGTTGCTTTCCTGAGGCGCTCGTGACGCGATTGAGCGTGCGAAAGAGCTCTGTCTCCATGTGTTGGGAATCTGCGTCCGGCGTGTGGGACGCGCGGCAGCAGAAGCTACCTTTGTTCCAAACGGCTGCTGTCGTTGTCGTGCCTCCCATGGATTTTCTCTTTGGGCCTCCATCATCCAGATGTCGTCCTCCGTCTCATCGTCCTGCTCGTTTACCGAGCCGCTCACACTGGCTTCTGCAGAAAGTTCTCTCCGGAAACCATTGTTGAGGGAACCAAGAGTTCCAACCGTGCTGGAGGTTCGGGAGGCTACAGTCTCCTGAGGTAAAGGTGCCGCAATGGTTGGTTCAGCGACCCAACTCATCTCATCCGCGTCGTCCACAACGGCACGAGTTGTATCAAAGAAAGAACTCCTCTGAGCTGATCGTTGGCTAAGGCTAGATCGCCGAGTGCTGTCAGTAAGAGCCCTAATAAAGGACGGCTGGCCATTGTGGCCTCGACTAGGCCCGAAAGGGTCATCGTCGACATTCTCCGAAGATCTCGGTGGGGATGATGACTGAGCTGCAGTGGGGCGCGTCTCGCTCATCGGCGCAGCTGAGCCGTCACGACTATTCTTGGCTGCTGAGCCCTTGAAGGGGCTTCCTAGAACGCTCCTGGGTCCCGCGGGGGAAGAATGATCGGACGTAACGTTCTGAAGGGCCCGACCGGCTCTCACAATCGGGGACAAAGTTGGGCGAAGCTCCCGATCAGACGTTACGGCGAGTTTCGATTTCGAGAAGTTGGCATCAGGGAGTGGGGGAAGTTGAGGAGAGGAGGCTGCAACAATGGGCGTAACTTCCGGCTGTCCAAGACTTTTATCCTGGGTAGCTGGTTGCGGCTGGTTGGGAAGACTAACAGAGGAAGCGACCGGTTGAAGAAGTGAACGTCCAAAATCAGTCTCAGGGTCAGCGGCCTTAGTCCCCCTAGGACTAGGTACACCGTCAGACACAATGGGTGAGGGGGTCTCGTCAGGAGTCAATAGGCGGCTGGCATCCGAACGCACGGTGTCGGGAGCTTCACCGTATACAGAATCCGTCTTCTGATGCGAGCCCGGTTGTTTATCGCTCTCGGACTGGTTATATATCGAAGAGAGGAGAGTGTGGGTCCTGGGCGCCCGAGGTGTGGCCGCCTCCAAAACATCTTCTGGAATCTCCGAGAACGAGTCGTCATAAAGGTTCGAGTCCTCTCGAGCAGCAACTCCCGAATCACGCCTCCCAGAGAATCCAGCAGGAGAGAAGCGAACGGGAGATGGTGACTGATTGTGGGTTGCCTTCTCCTTCTCCGTTTGCATGGCCTTGAACGTGAGGAGCTGTCTACTAAGGGGGAGAGCCTTGATACGCCGAGGACTGCCCGAGAAGGTTGGAGACGCGTTTGCCTTGGTTGGAGAAAGAGGCACTCGAGGCTGAGTCGGAGTTTGCTGTTCCGCTTCTGTATGATCCGCCTCGGAAGCAGGCACATCGTCTTGGATTTCCTCTTGTCTGTGTTCGTCAACTTCTTCAACTTCGTCCTGATGGACGCTGATTGGCTCATCATCTTCACTATTCTCCATTCCATTCCTGATGGCTTCGATAGTTCGGTTAATCATTAGGTTTGTTGTCTCGCCAATATCATCAGGCTCAGCGGCATTGGTCCTAGTGCTGCGACCGAAGACACTATTTTGAAGGGATGGGATAGAATCCATAAAGATCATACTGAACTCTTCCGACTGGACGATGGTGTCCTTATCACCGGTAACAGAAACAGATGTGTCCTGGTCAGCTTCTGACGGAATCTCCGACGCAATTTCGCTCGTAGGCCTTCGAACAATCATGTCCACTTCGTCGAGGTCGGTTCCAGTCCGTGGCGTCGATTCCCGGCTTGCGACAGGCGTGGAATCATGAGAGGCGTGTCCTGCAAACTCGTCATAGTTTTCAGCCGCCGCAGGATCTGCTTCCTGTGTCTGTGATGCAGTGGATTTCCGCAAATCGATAGCGGACGATAGGTTGAGTGACCTCATGCGAGGGGCGAGCCGCGGTGTAACATCGTCAGAAAGCGTATCCATCCAAATATCACCCTCAGATGCCGGGATCGATGGCTCCACATCCATCTCCGATGGGATTTCTTCCGCGGATACTTCAATGCTATCTCCATGCATCACAGAGGTGTCGGCGTTGGACTCAGGAAGGATGGACTGCGTCACCTCCTGTTGAGGGGTCTCCTCGATCAAGGGCTTCTTGCGAGGCCGGCCACGCCTCCGAGCAGTAGATGGAGGAGCCGACGACGACGCTTCATCGCTAATAGTCTTTCGCTTATTCACGGTCCTTCGTTTGGGGGTCGGGGTTGTCTGGCCTGGAGCCTCGGATGAAGGCTCCTCAGCGGTGGTCCGTGCCGCTTGTCTACCCCTACCCGTCTTGGGCGTTGTGGCCGGCGCGCTGGTATCTGATGCCAGGTCATCCGCCATATCTAGGGACTTACGAGGACGTCCCGGTGTTGCCTTTCTTATCGGGGTTCTGGACCGCCTTTTTGACGCGCCAGCTTTAGGTGTGGCAGCAGATGCAGACTTGGGAGGTCGACCGCGTCTCCTAGGCGTGATTGTGAATACATCGGCAGCATTCTCGTCCGATTCGGAAATTCCTTTGAGTGGAACAGTAGTGGTCGTCGTTCGCTCCCTTCGACGGATCACGGGCGTGGTTTTCTTCGCCGGCGATGGTGAGGTAAACAGGCGGCGACGCGTCTCCCCGACCGGATGGCCCGACTCGACGGTCACGAAGAGCTTCTGGGGAGATCGGTCGTCTCCAACTTCAAGTTCGAAGGTTTGCTTTCTAGGCGAGGAACTGGATCCGAGAGAGACGAAATGTCGAGTTTGTTGACTCCGAGTGACGCGGCGTGCAACACTAGAAGTTAAAGACTCATTGAGAGGATCTGGTGAGGACATTAGGTCCTCACTATTGAATGCCATGATGGCAGTGTGAGGTTCGTGGTGGGTGATGGGTTGTTGATGATCACGCGTGCACAAGCAGAGAGACAAAACACGCTAGAGTTCACAAACAAAAGACGCCCTCTCCTGTACAGAACGGAAAATCAAAAACAGCGTGTACAAAGGGGGGAGCCTAAAGATATGATCATGACGAGGATTCAGTGTCAAACAAGTCGAAGACACGACGCAGAATCGAAGGGGTAACCTTGGATCAATATCGCTGCTAAGGTTACTTTGGCGATGGCTGGTAAGTTTAGGTGAGGAGTGAAGTGGATGCAGCACGGTTGTGAAGCCCAGGGTTTTTCTCCAGTGTTTGTTTACTTTTATCCAATTAGGGCGAGTTGGGAGTTGGACGGCAACCCGCTAAATCTACGGGCACTTTGGAGTATACAAAAGGCAAATTATTACAGCAGGGAGGGTCTGACCAGCTCAGGTACCACTGTACTAGGATACACAGGTACAGGTCACCACAAGGCAAAACGTGTCGGAACTTCCCTTGCTCCTGGTTCCGAGGATGTACCCCACATTTCTTCCGTTTAATTGCCCAGATATAGATTATGTCATCGTCAACGGTCTCTCTCAGTTCTCTCAATTCTCTCGATGCTCAACTTTGCCTCGTTATCGCCTAGCGTCACACCAGATTCCGCTAGCATTTGATCGTGGGGAAACCACAACCAGTGGTCATGGCACGGTACAAGTGATACAACGCCCCATTTTCCCATTTCTCGCGTCCCCCATTTTCTTCACATGCCGTGGTGATGACATAATTCCCAAATCCCCTCTTTCCCCTTTCGGGACACTCACAAAGTCTCGGCTTCGAGAATCGCCTTCGACCTCGGCTCTCCACAGATCGCGGAGATTGGGTTGATGCATCAAACTCTCATGAGTTGGAGAGATAAAGTTTCCCAAAAGTCCATGTCCTGGCTGGCCCGTCGCTACTTATTTTCTTTTCTGATCTCCATTCCCTTTTGTCTTTAGAACCAACCGGCATAGTATTTCCCGAAACTCGACGTTAGACCTTTTGTCTTATATCACGCTCCCTTTTGTACCTTACAACTCTCTCTCTCTCTTTTCTTTCCTCGGCCTTATCGGAATCATTTATATAGCTTCTTATATATAAAACTTGCCCACCATGTCCTCCAAGCCCGCAGCTATTCCCCAGAATGACAATGTGGCTCACGCCCTCGCCGGCGCCGGCGGCGGCATCCTGTCTATGGCCCTAACGTTCGCCACCCCGGCCTGTCCCGTTCCCGCCTCCCACCCGCCCCCGTTCAGTAACTAACATTCCATGTCCGCTCGCCCCAATAGATACCCCCTCATCACGCTCTCCACCCGCGCCCAGGTAGAATCCAAGCGCGCCGAGTCCCGCTTCCTCGATGCCGTCCAGCGCATCATCGCCCGCGAAGGCATCGCCGGTCTGTATGCCGGCATGGACTCTGCGCTCTTCGGCATCAGCGTCACCAACTTCGTCTACTACTACTGGTACGAGTGGACCCGCGCCTTCTTCGAGAACGCCGCCGCCAAGGCCGGTCGCGCCACCAAGAAGCTCACCACTGTCGAGTCCATGATCGCCGGCGCCATCGCCGGTTCGGCCACCGTAATCATCACCAACCCTATCTGGGTTATCAACACGCGCATGACGACCAGGGGCCAGGTCAAGCCCGCCGACGAGGAGTCCGGCGCTGGTGCGGAGGAGAAGGCGCCTGCCAAGCCTCGCGGCACTATTGCTACGCTCCTTGCGCTACTTAAGGAGGAGGGTCCCAAGGCTCTCTTCGCCGGTGTCGTGCCGGCTTTGGTGCTCGTCATCAACCCCATTCTCCAGTACACGCTCTTTGAGCAGATGAAGAACTCGCTTGAGAAGAAGCGCAGGATCACGCCTACCATGGCCTTCTTCCTAGGCGCTATCAGCAAGCTCTTTTCCACCACCATCACCTACCCTTACATCACCGTCAAGAGCCAGATGCACGTCGCTGGCGCCAGCGGCAACAAGGAGGGAATGGTCCAGACCATTCGCCGTCTGATGAAGGAGGAGGGCTACGCTGGCCTCTACAAGGGTATGTTATTTCTTTCATTGATTGCATTCGGCTCTTCGGCCTCAAGCTAATGCGACTCTTTTGTTTCTTTAGGCATCGGTCCCAAGGTCACTCAGAGTGTCCTAACCGCTGCCTTCCTCTTCGCTTTCAAGGATGCGCTTTACACGCAGACCATTAGGCTGCGATTGGCCGCCGCCAAGAAGGCATAGATGACCAGCAGCCGCCTCCGCTTTCACTTGTAGACCAAGAACCAGAGCCCGAACGTGAAACCCTCGATGCTCGATCCAAGTGAATGCTGCCTTCTTATGATCACATTTCAACCTAATCAGGTATTAGGAAACAGGGGGGCTCAAGGACAGAATGGAAATGGGTGGGGTGCAATACGAGACGAGGCGGAAAATGAAGCAAGTGCATGTATATGATACCAAGGAGAATCCCATAGCTGGGACATGAAAATGCGAAGCTGTCGGGATAGTCGTGCTACGGGAGGACGGGAGGGGCCAATTGGCAGTGCTACCAGCAGCACCTGCCCACGCGGCTGTATGATTATCGCCCAGTATAACCACGAAGAGATTAGACTTCTTTTTTTTTCGTTCATCTTTCTTTTGTATTCAATTCTATACCCTTTCCTTCTTACCCGCCGTCTTGTTTTTCATGCAGGAATAATTTTAGGTACAATCCACCATTCGTGATACGCTTTGCTCGCCTCCGCTACCTCCACTTTCGCCTTCACCTCCCCATCAGGCCCCGCCGCCTTTACCATCTTCTGAAGAGTAGCGACCCCAACACTTATCGCGATGCATGACTTCAGAGAACCCTTCGTCTTTTCTAGCCATCCCTCGTAACTCATACCGGAGAAGGTCATCGACTTATCAAGTTTCGACATGCTGTCTAGGCTCTTCCGAGCGCTCGCCGCGGATTTGGCTGCGCTCTCGAGTAGGTGCTCCGTAGAGAGATCGCGCTGCTCCACGGCGTCCTTGAATAGCTGGTACGGAATCATCTCGGGTACGCCGATGGTGCAAAATGGGCGCATCCGGAGCTCGTAGCGAAGTTCATCGGTGCTGTAGGGTCGGGGCGGAGGCTTTATGAGCGAGAGGCGTAGAAGTACTGTGTACAAGCAGGTGAGGCTATCGGATAGATCCCACGTTATGGCGGACTCGAGGAGGGCAAATCGGAGGAAGGCAAGGGACGCAATGATTTGACGGTCCGCGTCCGCCCGACGCTGGTTCCTCGGGTTCCTCGCGTGTACGTCGACAAAAGACTTCGTCCGTTCGAGAAGTTGGAAGCGCTGCTTGCTCAGGTAATTGAGGTACCAGTACATGGCTGCGAGCTCGTCGTTTTGGTAGACATCTAGTTCAAACCCTAGCTGGATGATCCACTTCATCAACCGGAGTTTGTGAAGACATGCCCAAGATGAGAGCGGTAACGATTGCGTCGGTGCAGGTGGGTTCCCAGAGAGGCTGATCGTCAGCGGTTGTTCTCCTGTCAACTGCGCTAATGTTTGGTCTAGTTGCTCGGCCTCCCCATGAAGGTAATCCCACTCGCGGACGAGGTGAATGAGAGTGCGGCGTACTCTGCACCTGTTGAGGCATAGCACGCGCAGAATCTCAAAGTATATAGGCGCTGTCTTTTGGCGGAACTTTTCCATGTGCTGGGCAATCATGAATCGGGGGTCATGGGTGACCTCTATTTCGTCATAGGACCGGTCTAACAGGGGGCTGTACGACATCGTGAGCATTGAAAAGTCGTCGTCCATGATTTGGCGCATGCTCTTATTTCCCAGAATCACCATGTCGTTGAATATGAGCCCTTGGATGAGACATCGAACGTAAACTAGAGGCTGCGGTTTCCTGGACTGGAAAATTGCAACGGATGTCTATTGAGGAGTGGGTTAATACTGTAGCTGTACGGAAAAGGAGGGAGATTTGACTGCTCACCAATAGAGATTGGGGATCCGAATAATCAGTAATGTTGATCGCCGCCAAGCTGTCTTGAAATAACCTCGTCAAATGCCCAGTTGCCTCGTCAAGGCTCAGCTCCACAATCGGCCTCGGCGGCATAGTGCTAGCAAGTTTCTGCTGTATCTTCGCACTAAACGAGTCCGCAACGCGAGTGGTGGGAACAGTTAAAGACTTGTTGAACACGCCCAAAGCTTTATTAGCTTGGGTCCAGGCGTCGTAAAGACCAACATGGTCAGCGGTATCTTCGGATGCGATAGTCGCTCGGAGGAAGGCTTGGCGGAGCGAAATTCGAGCACTGAGAGCGTCTAAGACGTCCTTGGGCATAGACCCTTTTAAGGACTCCAGGAGGGATGCCGCCTCTTGTAGGCAGTCCAAGACGTCATTGTGGTTAACAGCATCTAGGAGCGTGCGACTGTATGTGTTGCTCACGAAATCTTCCTCCTAGAACGGGCGTCAGCAGCTGCAATCTACCAAGCCGAAGGAGAGAGAGAAAAAAGAAAGCGTAAACCGCATTCGAATGGACCGACTTCGTAGTATGATTCGCTTTTTATGCGTTGAGCGACAAACGCACAAGTCTTCAACAAGCCTACGCAATACGCCCGGAGCACCAATGAGAGAGGCGGTCGCTGATACTCCGAAGGAGGGTCCTTGATAAAGTCTGCATCATGGATCGACTCAGGATTCGGCATAAGGATCTCCTCGACGTATACGCATGTGAAAAGCGTCTGCGATAAGGGATATCCAAGATGCCAGGCCATCTACGACTCATCAGCGGATTTAAGAAGACCCAGCAAGGGAAGGATGTAAGGAGTACCTCATGGCACAGTAGCTGGTCCATAATACCGAGAACTTCATCCGGTAGAAGTTCTCTCCTCACGTCATACACTTCCCCAAGCTCATCGTGAGGGTCCTCGCAGGCGCTATCCATCTTGGGGTCCATGATCTAGAAACCTTTAGCACTGTCGCAGCTGATAAGCGGCTTGAAGCACAATCACAAAGATGAACATACTTCAAGGGCCCCAACGGACTCAAACAACGTAAAGAAGCCATCTTTGACGATCTCTCCCGGTGGCAGCGCTACAACACGTCAGTCCCGCTTTACCCACGAGATATCGGAAAATACACCCTAGTGGTGTCATGCGAAAAAGCGGCCAGATCTTATCTCGGTCGCAAAAAGGCTGGAACGGATGCGCTTACTAGAAGCAGCCTTGGTAATTTTATGCGTTATGTCTATCGCAACCACGGCGGCGCTCTGGCTCGCCATATCGGGCGGCTGAGGCGGCGGCGGGATGTCATAGGGGTCGTTCATTGAAAGTTCTGTCCTTGACTGTTTGGTGGGATGGTGTGAGTGTGGAATGTCCCGGAGCAGCTTGTAAATCTCGATGCTGCTAATGCCAAAAATAAGTGGGGTTCTTTGGCAGAGTCGATAAATCGAAAGAAACGATTTTCGGGTGAAAGAAATTCAATGTTCCTTTGTCGGAAAAAGAAAACCTAGTAAAGAGGAGATGATGGCATTTTTTGGGCAAATGTTTAACGTTGAGTGAGGTTGAGAGCAGCATGAGTAGTTAGGTTGAGCTGAGAGTTGAGGTGGATTCCCTAACAGTTCCGACGCCAGGCCCAAGCGAGCCCAGTGACCAAGACCCATTCTCTTGATGTTGATCCCGCTCTACAATCAAGGCCGGGGCGGTTGAGACGGCTCGAGGCAATTATTGGTGGAGGAAACCAGCAGCGGCTCCCAGCAAATGGTGTGGAATACAAGGCAGTGGAACACAGAACATCGCCTCCTTCTGCATCGTGAGAACCAGACAATTACCGTTGTCAATAGACACACTGGATTGATGCCATTTAATTCTATGGTACAGACACGGCCAGCACCAGAGCAAGAGAGATGTCTAGCTCAATAGGGGCCCCTATCTATGAACACGCCCATCGATTCATCTCCGTCCATCCCCATCGGGTCCGGCTTCCTCAACTCAAGTCTACCCCATCACCAAACAAAAGGTTCGTCATCGGGTTTGGCTTAAGCGCTCTTCGCGGCGACGGCCTCGGCCGTGGAGGCGGCATTGGCCTGGAGGAGGCCCTGGGGATCGCTCTGCTTGCCGTTCTAATCCATCGCATGTCAGTAAAAAAAGAATTCCACGACCTCTAGGGCTCCGTCCGGAATTTTCCTTACCGCCCAGGTCGCGATCTTGAGGTCAACTTCGCCCCTACGCTCGGCGGCGATTCTCTTATCCTCCTTCAAGCTTCGGCGCACGGCACGGGCGGCGACCGCGAGGTAGCGGTTGTAACTAGAATTGAATCAATCGTTGGTGAGCTGTTTTTCCATTTTCCGACCCTCCCCAAATTATCATCCATTTTCGTTCGTTCCAGCAACGGATCAATCGCGCGAATTCGGCTCGGGTGGGTAGGAAATAGGCGAATTGAACTTACGTGATGCCGGCGGCTTTCCACGCAAAGGACATTTTGGCTGGTTTTGGGAGGCAATGAGAGATTCGGTCGGGGTTGAGGCTTTTGGTTGTTGGCTTGGTGATGTTTTTTTGGATGGCTCAATTGCAGCAAAGACTCGGATCTACGCAAGGCCGAATTCGCCTCGGGCACGAGGAGATCACGTGCAACGTAACGTGACCATTTTGAATTTGAGCCACGAAGTCTGGCGATGACTCGGCACTGTCCCTATCGCGCGGTGCTCATTTGAATCACATTCGCTTCAAAAGAATCTCACATCCAATTTCATAGTCTTCAGTTCAACCCCCTGATATCTCGAACCAACTTAACGTACATGTTCGCAGCTTGCGTGTTTCACAGCTGCGACCGGGTATCTTGACGCCCAACAGAACACCAACATGTAAAAACAGATATCCCACCAAAATAAGCGAAAGAGAAAAGAAGCCCAGAAACCTCCACAATGTCCGTCACCGCAGTATCTCCTTGAGTGACGGCAAAAAGACCAAACCAGCGGTGACCGCAACCCCAAGGAGTGTTCCCCAGAGAATAGAACCCGCAATCACCCCATCTTGAAGCACAATTACATGCCTATTCTCAATCGGTACAGTCGGGTCGAAAATCTTCGAGACCCACGACTTCTTATCATACGTCGCGACCCAATCCTCTTCAGAAAAGTCATTCCTGGGACCGAATGTCTGCAGGGACTCCTTCCGAAGCGGGTCAACGAAGCTCATGACCGAGTCGGCCGTATTCTTTCGAAGATGTCTCTTGGATCTGCGGAAGCTCTCAGTCTCAATGTCCGTCGGCTGTTCCCACGGCCGGAGCTGCTTTCTGTTCTTAAAGTGCAAGAACATGCACATGCCGCTTGCTGAGGCTACCAAGCCGCAGAATCCCATAACCCATAGCGGACCGGTAACGGCGCGCAAGGGTTTTGGCCAGTCCATTATCATGAAGAGAACGCTGAGCCCGATCGCCGCGAGTAGCATGAATGTGTTGAGAACTCTGATGAGCACGAGGAGTGGTCGGTTCACGTTGCAAATGCTCCAGCTGATGAAATTGGGGTGGAGCTCTCCCCGAAGCATGGCCTCGGCACTTATAAAGGCTGGAAGCAGAGCTGATGGATGTGTAGTGTGCTCGGCCGCATGTATACAGGCTGCTCGGTCGGTGGCTGAGAGTTGAAGCTGTCGTGGCGACCCAGTCATGACGTAGTGGCGAATGATTTGATTGATCTCGTCTCTGTAAGGCTGAGCGCTGACTGCATATCGGAGATCTCAAGTCAGAATCCTGGTTTGTCCTTCGGCAGGCAGGTACGGTATGGGGCCAGCACAGTGATGGTCCACTTACAAGGTTCCCAGTTCCGGCCCTCTTCCTCCTCGTCCGTCTTCTCCATAGCCACGGGCCCAGGCGACCTAGGCAAAGAGAAATTGGTGGCAGATGGGTTGCTGCGGTGGGTCCTCTCCGGTGCAAGAGTACTATCCGATTTCTCGGTAGCATCTAGAAGGTCGAGTATGGCTCCCAGCTTGACTTTCTCCTTCAGACTACCGTTGCGGCTATGCGATGTGACAGGGCGCTTGTTTTCCGGGTCCCATTTTTCCGCCATGGACTTCTTCTTGGACGATAGTGCCATCCATCTCTTAACGTAATCACAATACCAGAGAAAGAACTGGAGTGTTTCGGCTTTGTGTTCGACATAGACTAAGTAGTCCATGAAGTCGTTCAAGGAGCAGGGCTAATCCATCCTCGTCAGCACTGGACACGCACAAAAGTCTAGAAACTCAGAGAGTCTGGGGAGCATCCTACTTGCGGTGTCTTGTTTTTGGCAATCTCTTCGAATCTGAGATTGGGATGAATCCACTTCTTGGTCGCTTTCGCCTTCTTCTCCAGCGCGTCAATCCTTAACGTCTCTTGCCTGTCCAACTCCCGACTCCTCTTCCTCTCCGGCCCACTATACATGAGAAGAGTCATCTTTCTGGCTAGGAGTGGTGTGGAGTGGAAGAGAGAAAAAAAGAGCAAGGGGGTGGGTGGTGGATGAGCAAAGGCCCCGTATAAGACGATCTTCTTGATTTCCCTGACAGGGTAAAACGAAGGGGCCGAGGGAAACCCCAGCCGTGGCCAGGTGCGGACGAGCCGGGGATTTAAGAAGGGAGTTACGCACGGGAATGGATCGACTCGCTAATAAGTGGACTATGTCGGGCACATCCCACGTCAAGAAGTGGTGGAGGGCACCTAGATCGGAGGGATCTTCTTCGCCAGCAGACTGTGGATCATGTATGAAATTCCCCGCCCAAGCTGTCAGATGTTTCGGCGTCGATAATCACTAGCTAGTAGCTTGGCAAAGTCGAGGGGTGGAAGTGGAAATGTAGGAGCTTCAGTGGGGGGATGAGATGGAATGCTGAGGAGAGAGGGCCTGGAAGATACCACACGCACACGGGAGGAAGGGGAGGAAAAGATGTGATGGAACGCTTGAAAATCAAAGGACGGATGTGATGTCGATCAAGTAGTTCAATCCACTAGATACCGCCAATGGATTCTTCCAAGCCCCGTCTCGCCCAGTCGCTTCGTTGAGGTGTGGCGTGTCAGTTGGTAGGTTGGATGCATGCGTCCAACCAAGGTAATCATGAACACGAGAGCGCATCCAGACATCACTTCTTATCGGATATGATGGCGCGAAAGGAGACGGCAAAGCAAAAAGTAGCGGTTTAAACTTCCTCTCTCTTATCATCAGCTCCCGAAGCCGAAGTGGGAAGAGCTGGAGGGATAAGAATAGCTAGCTCATGGTGATGAGAGGCATCGATTCAAGGGCCACGATACAAACCCTGAAAGGGTATCAATCTCAAACACGAGTGAGTTTCTTTCTCAATGCAGTCCGTCCGGGATGAAGAGGTGGCGAGGAATGTAAGTTGCCAACATTCCATAGCCCTAGCTTTTCCGGTACCTGCATTGCAACTGGTTTGTTAGGCATTACATCGCAGCGTTACAACCCGACATGCGACTATCGCCATGCTTTCCCAAGTGTCTTGCGTGCGGGTTTCAGGGTAGTTCTAGCTTTAGGTGGCTGGCGTTGAGTGCCTAGGAAAAGAAAGAAGCAGAAAGGCAGAAGTGACGACTAAATTCGTGTTTTACCACATCCGGACGCAGCATGCATTCTCTAGGTCGTATTTCAACCCCTACCTGGACTGTGAACCGGGAATGCGGGCTTAGTGAGTGGATCATAGGACTTGGACCGACCGGGCTCCGGATCGGGGACCCTTGTCCAAGGCTTAGCCTCTGTGAATGATTAGATTGAGGCGAGTAGACTTTGTACCTTGCAGGGAAATCTTGGAGGATCCCCATGCAGTTAAGGTTTGAGCTCCAAAGAGGCGGTTCATGCTCCGCCCTTTGCGATGGGGCGCAACCAGAAAAGAGCATGAATGGCGAAGGCCCCATGTGAGGTTTATAATGCGTTCCTAGAACCCGCTACCAGTATATATGCATTCCATGCAATTGGGGGCCAGCCGGAAGCCGGAGGCTCAGTTGTGAGTGAAAATATATAGTGTACTCTGCAGTAGGGCGTGGTTTTATGACGAGAGTCAAGCATCGATATATCAGCAAGTGAATCCTTCACCCAACTTCATCTATTCTGTTAACCTTTCTTTAAGTTTGCATCCCTAGCAAACAGAATGTACGAAGTACTTACACACAAGATCCGACGCCTTCGTAGGATAGAAGACAAATCCAGGAAATTTCCGGAATTATTTTTCCCTGCCTTCTATCTCAAACACAATCCGCGCCAGATCCCGGGTTCCAGCATCCCATTTCCTGGTTGCCCTCTTCCCACGTCAGGTTTCACAATGTCGATCACCAGCAACACCGACGCGAAAACCGCCCAAAACCCCTTCTCTTCCCCCCCCCCCCCCCCAAATCACCCCTAACCTTCTTGAGGCACGAGGTAATGACGATGGGGTCCCTCATAGCTATGCGGCTCTGGCGAGGAATGCTATGGGTGTCCTCCTTTACGGAATTAAAAACCCCGAGAAGGGCCCAGATAAGAAGAGATCCCCCAAGGCGGATCGTTTGACCAATAAACATCATGACCTATTCACGTCAAGCGGGAAGCCCAAAAGCGAGCGAAGCCGGGAGGAGCCTGTTAGCATTCAGGCTCCATACCCAAGTCCTCCTCGCTGTGACACGCTCGACAAACTCTGGGGCAAGGCATCTGCGAAACCGCCAGCCCGGTCCCGCGCTCCAGAAGAGGGGGAAAGGCAATTCTTCCAGTTTCGCTGACTCTAAGAGTCCATACTATCTTCCTAACGGTAGGACGGAGCCCCTCACTTTTAGGCACCAAGGGCAGCCTCGAGATGCCCAAGGTTGTGGACTTCGCTATGCTTATATTTTTGCCATTTCAAGATCTCAAAATGTCTGAAGACGATTTTTAGAACTGTAGATACTACACCCAGTGCGATGAATAGTTTCCCAGTGCCTTCCGGCAGTCTTGGAAGACTCTCCTCGGCACACTTATTTCCTCCTACCAGAAAATCTTCCCCCTCGGGAAATTGGCGACGAAGCAATGTCCACTGATTTACCTTGCAACGGGGCTCGGGGCTCCTCGAAACTTGTGCCAAAAATGTGGCTTTCTGTTTTCGATCCGAGGGTTCCGCACACTCGCCTCTACAAATAGATTTCGTCATTCAAGGCTGGAAGCCTTCTCGGATCGGACAAGTTGCCACTTCTGTCGCTACCTATGGAGTGGAGACCTTATCGGTGCCGCGGCTACACCCTCTCCCTTTCGGTGTCTACGTGATCTGAAAGAGCCGCCGGCGGGGAGGGCGCAACGGCTTGACGTCCGCAAATATCAGAACTCGTGGGTGGTGATGATTCCTAGCTTATGGAGGATCCCTGAAGACGATGGGCGAGTTGAGTACCAAATGCCGTCGGCTGTACAAAGCGAAGAGATTTCCTTCGATGCTGTCTTCGTACGGATTGAGTCTGAGAGGGGACGCCTGTTGTGGGAGTTTCCCGCACTACGTGTGGTTGCCGCAGAGGGTATGTCAATAGACTCGATACCATCCGGCCGGTTTTCGGGGTCGCATAAGTACGGAAGTATCAATCCAGTCTTACTGACTCCCCTGGGCAGAAGATCCCTGCTCCCGAATAACTTGCATCCGCCCTTTGGAATGGACAACCCTAACCGTCGAGTCTGCACCATGGCTGAAGGAACTGGTTGAAACCTGCCAAACAACCCATGCTCACTGCCAACCGCCAACCGCCAACCCACTTCCCTCTCGTCTCCTTTATGTGCGAGCGAATGGGTCATAACGCTTGACTGTTCAACTTCGTGTTACTCCCAAAGGAGGTCAAACGGGGCAATATGCTGCTCTCAGTTACTGTTGGGGAGGACCTCAGACGTTTTCGCTGCGGCGCGGTAATCTCGAGGAACTTCAGCGTGAGGATAGGGACATTACTACGCTTCCCAAAACACTTGCCGATGCTGCTCTCGTCACTTACCATCTCGGACTGGAATACTTGTGGGTTGACGCATTCTGCATTCTGCAGGATTGCGTCGAGGACAAACGCCGCGAGATTGGACGTATGTGCGACATTTATCAAAACTCATGCGTTACAATCTCGGCAGCCACGGCGAGCTCGGTAAGCGGGGATTCCTCGAGGCGACAGGGAAATTCAGCGGGAGGTATCCTTCGTGCTCTGTGTCTGTGGTGATGACTGATGGAGAGAAAGAAGGGCAGAGCCCGCAAGGGGCCATTACACTGGTACCCCAGCACATCCAAAACACCGCGGCCTATCCTATCAACAAACGAGGTTGGACTTACCAAGAGGCCTTGCTATGCTCCCGACAGCTCGTCTTTGGAGATCTGGAGCCGTTTCTTCGATGCCAAAACCATTATCCGTTGGTAAAGGCACAGACGTGCGTCGAGTATGTCAGCGCACGACTACAACCGCAGTTCCTCATAAATGGCATCATATGTAACGAGGAACGCGGAATCGACAGGAAAGACGGAATCCATCACGACCGACGGCTGGAAGTTGTCTGGGAGAAAATGGTTAACGAATATACGAGTCGTACGCTTGGATTTGAGGAAGACAGACCTCACGCAGTTGCCAGCATTATAGACTTAATATCTAGGACCACTGGCGACGAGTGCGCTTATGGCGTTTGGAAATCATGCGCAGTCCCATGTCTCATATGGGCCGTAGCACCTGTTGAAGGGATTGAGATACGCCCCATCCTCCGCCTACCTAGTTGGTCCTGGATGTCTGTCACAAGTCCAGTTCAGCTTGATAGGATTCCCTATTTGTGCGATTTGGAATCCTCGGTTGACTGGGAGCATGGACCTTCATCAAAAAGGCTTCAAGTTTCATGTCGAGTTTTGTTGGAAGATGAGGTATTCAATGGTCATTCACTCCTTCTGGACTACATGCTTGATTTAGGTTTCCCAACGACAGTGCAATCTCACGAGGTCCGGAACAGACCTCTGGTTGGTGAGACTCTTTATTTTCTAGTGCTTGGGCGTCTAATAGACCAAAGATTTATAGCACTGCTTGCTGCGTCTGTCGGAAGCAACGTCTATTGCCGCCTCGGACTAGCTGAGTTAAGGGACTCGGACAGTATTCGCACTAGAAAGAGGAAAATGATTAGCCTGGAATAGATTTTGCATATATTGTGTCTGCTATACTAAGGTATATATATATATATATACATATGGGGACGCCCGAAGGGGCGGCCAGGATACTGCCGAGAGACCAAGCTTGCTTGAGAGCCAAGAATCAAAGAATGTGACAGAAACTCTGGTGTTTATACCACCAACACCCCGTCACCGAAAACTAGAGGACGAATCACAATGTCCAGGAACCCGAAATCGCCGGAAGCCGGCCTTGATTGATAACATGGGTTTCTCATGGAGATAAGCATAAAGTTGCTCTCCAGCTCTATGCCGCTTTTCAGAGGACAGTTCCATCTCGAATCTGAACACATCGGCAATGCCAAACAAAAATCATGCCTGCCTCAATAAACCAACCAATTCAGAGGCTAAACATGAACTGCAGCCGGACCAGGGCACTCCTGCACCGATCGCTCAAGAAATGAGCTCGCTTCTCTCGACTGCCAGCATGGTTCTCTCGATGGCAGAGGGGTGTAGTGTCCCGCTGATTTTGAGGGGGTAATTCTCCTGGTGGGTGTGACGATCGGTGGCGGTGTAAGGGTCGGAGTCTCCGGTGTTCGGGGCGGCTCCGGGGAGGCAAGTCTAGAGATTCTCGGGGTAGTAGCTGGAATGAGGGGCAGGGACGGAACTCTCTCAGGGAAGTGGTCAAGAACTTCCCGAGTATAGGCGGGAGGCGCTTCCTCAGGGGGATATCCCCTTGGTATTGGACGATGTGGATGACTTGGTCGAGGAGGAAGCGGATGGCACGGAGGGCGGCCAGGACGGTCGTCATAGGGTGAGCGTTCTTTCAGCTGCATACTTCTCAACAGTCCAGACTCGCAGTTACCCCGAGGTGTGGTCTTCAAGCTACAGATTCGATGGCCCGAGGGCAGCTTCTTAGGCGTCGGCTGTAGGTCTCTCACTTGATGGGGGCCGCGGCGTGGCTTGGATGGAGGCAGATTGTCCTGGAGAAGTTTGGTCTTCTCCGCTTATTTGAACGACGAGTAAAGGCAGTCCAAGTTTTACTTCTGTCGAGGAAGGCATACACAAATGATGAGGCAAACACTGATTGTATTGATATTGAGGAAAGCTAGGGAGAGAAGGAAGAAAGGAAGGGTTCTACGAACAAAGGAAAAAGGGGGGGGGTATCAATGTCTATGCCGACGAGTAGAATAGGGTCTACTGAAGTGTCTGGTAGATTAATCCCCAGGCTAGGTATCGAGGGCGCCAGAGGGTCACAGAACTTGCTGTATCCGAATAGCCGGCGTATAGCCAAGTTTTCGTCTCTGAAGAGGCCTGCATGAGGTAGCAGCGGCTCCTCGCCATCCTCGGGCCGTATGTTAATAGTCGTCTTCATTGTGGACGGCCAATATCTGCAAGGAGATGTGAGACGGCAATCGGAGAGTAGGGTCCATGTCTTGTGGTCTCTACATTGAACTCCCCCGATGATTCTCTCCGCCACGGACACAGGCTATAACCAACGTCGAGGCTCTTGCGAAGAGCCTATTCTAGCTCGAGGCGGGATACAAGCTCAGGCAGTAGTGTCACGTCAAGTCACAAGCGCGATGCTTCCTCTTGATTTTCTCGAGAAGACTTCTAATACCTGCCAATATAGAACTTGCATGTGATCAATGGCAGAATTGATAAAGGCCAGGCCTCAAGTTCATGTATGAAGAGTAAATCAGAATAACTAGCACCTCAAGGGCGCCAGTGGCCGATGGTACATGTAAATTGAGTAGCATGAAAAGCCAGAGAGAGAATCAACATACAATCAGCATACCACGAAGCATATGCAATACAGCAGGCTCGCTTAGGAAAGATAAACGCGATAAAACCAATCGAATACTTCAGTTACAGAAGAAAAATCATGACAATATATCGATTATGATCCGGCGCCGGTCGTGAAGTGCATCAACCGAGTAGAAAGACTGATCGGCGGTTTGGTGATGTTGGCTGCCAACAGACCTGTGATGGGACAAAGAATATGACGGAGAGGAGAAAGAAGAAGGAAAATTGGTCAAGCTATAGACAGGATATGCTATTGAGGCATGAAGGATATGATATTCGTAAGATCAATTGTCAAAAATTAGTACACTTAAAGCATTGAATCTACTACGACTCGAGAGCAGCTCCAAGGGCGGAGAGGAGAGGTCACCGTCACCATGCAGCTCGTTCTCCATAAGATCTTTCAACTCGGACACGCGACTCGGAGGCCACTTAGCTTTGGTACGCTCCATCAGCATTCCCGACTGTTTCGGGCATCCAATCCATTATCTTCCAAGATCCAAATCTCGAAGCTTTACAAAACCATTGCCCCAGAGTGAGTTCCTGAGTTTCTATAAGGAGCCATCAATAAATCTCGCACCCTTTTCTACGCAGCCCGGACGCGCCGCTGTCTAACTAGGTGGTCCTTTGCTATGGCGTAGGCGTATATTGTACAACCTTTCGACAGCACTAGATCTGACGTATTTGCATAGGCTTTCCGTGCTGTTGGGCCTGGACGTGCTGCTACCCCGCGGAGAGTCTGGATCAGCCAACGATTGACTCACAGTATGCAACATCATGAAGTACGAAAGTATATGTAAATGTAGCGAAGGAAGACAATTGACTTTTCGGAATCTTGAATCTTGGCAATTTAAAGCGCTGCTTCTCCCTCATCCCCTCAATGCAAGCTTAGCTTCCACAGCGAGTCAAAGCGAAAAAAAAAAAAAAAAAAGTCCCAAGGTACTACGAAATTCGAGATGCCTGATACAACCACGCTCACTGGCGAGGCCTTCAGCCGCACCAACTTCGAGTCTCTCCTCAAGCGCCGCTTCTTCTTCACCGAATCCTTCGAGGTGTATCGCCAAGCCGGCGGCTTCAAAGGAGACAACCGCGGCCTCTACGACTACGGCCCCCCAGGATGTGCCCTGCAAACCAACATCGTCGACCAATGGCGCAAGCATTTCATCATCGAGGAGAGCATGATGGAAGTAGACTGCACCGTTCTCACGCCCGAGCCTGTCCTGAAGACGAGTGGCCATGTTGACAAGTTCGCCGACTGGATGTGTAAAGACCCGGTCAAGGGCGAGTACTTGAGAGCAGATCATCTCGTTGAAGGTGTGCTGGAGACCAGATTGACGAAGCATCGACATACTTTGCCTGCTGAGACGATTTCTGAATATGAGGAGATCCTCGCCAAGGTATGGCTCAATATCCCCAACTGACCTGGGCTCCCCAGTGTAACTTGAGATGAATGAACGTTTACCCTTCTGTATCCTAACAGATCGATAACTTTGATGGCGACGAGCTCGGCGAGCTTATCCAACGCCTCGATATCAGAAACCCCAACGGCAACGGCGAGGTCCTACCCCCAGTCCCCTTCAACCTCATGTTCAAGTCCTCAATCGGGCCCAGCACCGCTTCCCCAGTCTACCTCAGACCCGAAACTGCCCAGGGCCAATTCCTGAACTTCCGAAAGCTCCTTGATTTCGGCCAAGGCTCCATGCCGTTCGCGTCCGCAAGCGTCGGCAAATCCTACCGAAACGAGATCTCGCCACGTTCCGGCCTCCTCCGTGTACGTGAGTTCCTCATGGCGGAGATTGAGCATTTCGTAGACCCAGCCGCCGGAAAGCGCCACGAGCGCTTTTCCGAAGTTGCCCACATAGAGCTACCCTTTCTTGACAAAGACACGCAGCTCTCGGGAAAGACGCACGTCACCACCAAGACCATCGGCGAAGCCGTAGCCTCGAAGATGGTTGACAACGAAACGCTCGGCTATTTCCTTGCCCGGGTGTACTTATTCCTCCTCAAAATTGGCGTCGATAAGAATAAGCTTCGCTTCCGGCAGCACCTGGCCAACGAGATGGCCCATTACGCCTGCGACTGCTGGGATGCAGAGCTCTTAACGAGCTATGGCTGGGTGGAATGTGTGGGGTGTGCCGACCGCAGCGCGTATGATCTTACTGTCCACGCAAAGGAGACAGGGGCACCTTTGGTTGTGAAGGAAGCGCTGCCGGAGCCGCGGAAGGTGACGAAGTGGCATGCCACCTTGGACAAAAAGAAGATTGGCCCGCAGTTCAAGAAGGATGGCAAGAAGGTGCAAGATGCCGTCGAGGTTTTGAAACAGGACTCCCTCGAGGCCTTGGCTGCGGAATTAGCAAAGAAGGCGGTGGTCACTGTTCCGACGGCCAAGTTGGAAGATGGTGCGACGTCGGTTCAGCTGTCCAAGGATGTTTTGGCCATTGATCAAGTTACGGTAACCGAAACGACCCGCGAGTATACGCCAAATGTCATTGAACCATCATTCGGTATTGGGCGTATCTTGTACAGCCTCCTTGAGCATGTCTACTATTATCGACCCCAGGATGTTGCTCGCGGTGTAAGTATCCCCCGACTCTCCCATCTAGATTTCCCTACGCTTTGATGGAGAAAGGGGGTTGATCCCCGAATCAGTAATGCTGACCGGGAGGAACTAGGTTCTTGCCCTTCCTATTGCAGTCGCACCTACCAAAGTTCTAATCGTCACATTGTCGAGCGGCCAGCAGTTCATCCCAGCAGCAAAGAAAATTTCGGCCAGACTGAGAGCCCTCGGAATCGCGAATAACATCGACTCCACCACCGCCTCCATCGGCAAACGGTACGCCAGGAATGATGAGCTCGGTACGCCGCTGGGCATCACCGTTGATTTTGACACTTTGAAGGACGGGTCGGTGACTCTGAGGGAGCGAGACAGTATGGCGCAGGTTCGGGCCTCGGAAGATGATATTATACAGGCGGTGAGAAATCTTGTAGAGGGTTTGGAGAGTTGGGAGCAGGTCTCTTCCAGACTACCTGCATTTGAAGGGCAGAGCCAGGTCGCATAGAGAGACTAGGAACAATGGAATCTTCGTGAGAGATGTAAGGTAGTTAGATGTTGCGAGTTGCCCAGACCAAAAGGCAGCATTGGAAGCTCGGAGACCACAAAGCCTAGGGTTCCAGCTCGACAACGCGAGGCGCTCAAGATCAAAGAATCCTGCTGGTAATAATCACCCGCCCGCAGGTCTTTTTGTTTTCTGTCATCTCCTATGCCCGTAATCAGCCGAGCACGAAATCCGCAATCTTGTAGTGACCAAGACATAACCGCGCTTGTTTAGAATCACGCGACTGTCCAAGTGAATATAGAGGCGAGTTTCTGGGGCTCTGGGCGGATTACACAGGTATAGAGGACAACAATACAAGCTCAAGTCTGTTCTCTTGATTGAGGTGGTGAATAGGTCCTTTGCCCCTCTATGGCCTGTCCATGATAGCCTGACTACTTCGTCTGACCTCTGTGTTCTTCCTGTCGTATCGTACTACGGATGTGCGCTTGATAGATCGGATCCTTGCCTAGTTTCTGGACATTCGATCCTCGAGTGTGGCTTTTTGATTTGCTGCTAAATTGTTAGTGTCAACCGCCAAGCCTTGGCCATAACCTGGTGATTCTTCGTATTAAGAAGTTATCTGCTCTGGGAACCTTCGCATGTCGAATACAGAGCATGCCAGTGAATCGGGGCAGCGAGTTATCTAACTTGATGTCTACTTCGTAGGTATGTCGCATATATATTGATCCCAGATTCTCTGTAGATAAGCAACCTGCTCCTCCGGAGGTGGAATGGAGCCGGGAGATGCGACACTGACAACAAGGATTCAGGGTCTGGTTCACAACCATGCTCATCCTGGAATATCTAATTTATTCTGTTGATCACACGCCGTAATTAGTGGACGGAGTGCAGACGATTGGTTTCCTCCATCCGCTCCATTCTCGTATTTCGCTCGTTTGCTCTCTTGTCGGGTCCGTTTCCGTTTGTTTCACCTCGTCCGGATTGTTTCTGTCTGTATCGTTTGCTCCCATTGCTTCACAAGAGTCGGGTGCAACAAAGACGGCACAGCTCCGACTATCAACTTCCCGAACTTGTTTCGTGAGCTCGCGTCATTCAACGCGCCGTGTTCTTGGCACTGGAGCAAACTCGCAACATTGCGCATTGTGAATGATATTTCAAAAGGGCACGAAGGAGCAATTCGCATCTTTGTTGTCCGCTCTTTGTCTCATAAACTCGGTCTCAATTCCAGCTTGACTTTGTTATTTTACCAAAGGAAACAATAGCCAAGAGGACCTTCTCTCCCGTATCACCTTGACAGAGAACAACAGCCCACCACCTCGATGTCACCATGAGAGCTCCACAGCTTCTCTCCCTTCTCATGGCCGGGTTAGCCTCCGGTGCCCTCCCGACCATCGAGACATATGGAAACAAGTTTTACGATGCCAATGGCAAGCAATTCTTCATGAAGGGTAAGGCATTCAATGGACGCGCATCGAGAGGGATGAGACCGAGTAGTTTGCTAATGGACGAATATACTTAAGGGATGTCGTATCAATTGCGACCCAAGGATCCCCTCATCGACTCTGACCAATGCGCCAGAGACATCAAGCTCATGAAGGAGCTCGGCGTCAACTGCATCCGTGTTTATCACGTTGACCCCAGGCCAACCACGATGGCTGCATGAACGCCTTTGATGAGGCGGGAATCTACGTCACCGTAGACCTCGACACCTTTGACACTTTCATTCTCCCCGTAAGCTCGAATAGAGGGAAAAAGAGATTGGTAGTCCTCGATCGGTGTACTAACCTTCATGTTAGTACGAGTCGTACTGGAACTCCACTCAGTTTGCGAGTTACTCTGCCGTCATGGACACCTTCATCAAGTACGACAACCTCCTAGGCTTCTACGTCGGCAACGAGATCATCTCCAAAATGGACCAGTCCCATTCCGCCCCCTTCATCAAAGCCGCCGCCCGCGACATGAAAGCCTACCGCGACCGCAAGGGCTACCGAAAAGTCCCCATCGGCTACACGGCGACGGACATCGTCGAGCTGCGGCCCATGCTCCAGGACTACCTCACCTGCGGCGGCAACGAATCCGAGATTATCGACTTTTTCGGCCTCAACGCCTACGAGTGGTGCACGCCCAACACTTACGAAGGGTCGGGCTACCCGAAGCTGCAGGAGATGGCCGAGCAGTTCCCCGTGCCCATCTTCTTCTCCGAGACGGGCTGCATTATGGGGAAGGAACCGAGGGCGTGGGAGGACATGGATGCCATTTTTAGCGAGCCCATGATTGACGATTGGAGCGGGGCCATCGTCTACGAATGGATCTACGAGCAGAACCAGTACGGTATCATCTCGTACGGCCCCGGGCCCGTCGACCAGACTATCACTACGGGTGATGTCTTCGACGGCTTTACGAGGAAAGGTACCCCGACTCCTAGGCAGCCGGACTTTGACAACTTGAAGACGAGGTGGGCTTCCATCACGCCCAAGGGAACGCCGAAGTCTGAGTACGATCCTAGTCGCGTGGTGTCAACGAGGGAGTGTCCGAAGGCGACGGCCGGTGGATGGGAGGTCGATGGAAACGTGAGACTACCAACTTTGGACGAGACTTTTTCAGGGTCGTTCACGCCTAGTCCGACTGCGGATCCCGGTACGGTACCGAAGGAGGACGCGGAGGATGCGGAGGATGCGGCGCCTGCGAGGGACGTTTTGGGATTCCATGCGGGGGTGGTTGCGGGTGCTCTTATCGTGGCGCTCTGGTTGTGAGATGGTGGTAATTCTTTCTTGTACATAATTGACGGACGAGCAGACGGGGGCAGTCCTCAGGAATGAGGAATCGGCTCGTGTTTCAACCGAGGATCCATGTTAGTTGTAAATAAATGGCGATACCCTGGGCTCGTACATAGAGTGAAGAAAGGAAAGAAGGAAAAGGAGCCAAGGTGTGATGCGGGAGGTTGGTCTCCAGAGTCATTTCTACAACGGCATAGTATCAGCATTGTGATATCCTCGTCTCAGCCCAGAAGGGAGGAAGGAGGAGAATAGAGGTGGAAAATCAACCCGACATGTGAAGGGCATCAAAACAGGGACACTAGGAAGGTCCACGATTGAGGAAGGAACAATGGGAGGCGGGGGAAAGCCCAATGTTGAAGACACGATGCGTGTCAAGTTCTGGAGTGGGGAGAGTGCAGCCTGCATCCTGCACAGGGCACGGGTAGTCGTCCAGTCCCGGTTGCGAGTTCAATGTTGTCTCCACGTCCACTTACAGCAGTGAGATGATTGCCAGAGGCTCTTCCTTCGGTTCGTTTATAGAGGATGCAGCCTCCATCGCACTTTCCGGTGTTCTGCCTCGAACTGGCTGCTCCTTCCGTGTTCCTGAGAGTATCTGCCTGCCCTTCACAGCCAACATCGTAGGACAAGTTTTGCTACGGAGCACTCATTCTCCCTTCCTAAGCTCTCTTATCTCCCTCCCTAAACAGCACCATTCTTTACTCCAGTATTTCTAAAAGCCTCACGATTTCATGGCCGAAACAGCCCTCTACGCCAATTCCATCCTACAGCAAGCAACCAAGGCCAACACGATGCCTACTCCGATCCCACCACGCCCCTCGAACCCGAGGCCGCGCCGCGTACCAGAACCATGTCCTCTCCGCTCCATATCCAACAACTCCGTCCGCCGAATGAGACGTTCCCCTCTCGGGTCCGAAATCCTACCCGATGGCTCTCGCAGGGGTGGAGTGTTGTACCAACAGCGCCAGAGGCTCAGAAGACAACGGGCCGCCTATCGATCCGCGAGCTTTTGGCTTGTGGCGGGTGTGCTCGCCGCGGCGTTGAGCGGATTTATTGCTGGAAGAACCTGGGGTTTCCAGCCTAGTGTTCCGGACGAAGAAGAAGAACAGACTGTTCAGTCCGAGTGAGAGGAGACTGTGTAAGTAAGAGAGGGACACAGTGTCTTCTTGTTTGCCTACAGGATTTCCTCGTTCAATTGGTCTGACGCTGGGGATTAGTGAAGATCTACCCTAAGCTTCATCCACGCTTTCCTACGATGATAGACACTGGGTCTTTGATGGTGCCGGAAGACTAGGTTGCAATGAGATCTGTCCACGCCAAGGTTGCAAGAATGGGAAGTCGGGGTCGCTTAATATAATCGGAGAATGTAACATGGTTGGCAGCTACGTGTTGGAGGATCGGTGCCGCCAGGGCGCAGAAGCAATGGCTGTGCTGTGGTTGTTTCCTCCTCTCCGCCTTTCCCAAGGAATGATTAGGACACGATGCTCTTTCATCTAAGATTATCATCAGCCAAGTTCCTAGATTGTAATAGGATGTGGTCGTGTACATCGGTAGTATTCCTAGTTAAATTATACTGCGACTGTGAACAAACACCGAATCCTCGGCACACAATCGATGGTCGGACAATTGAACACTGAATCATTACATCGACCAACAACAAACAACGAACAGCCAAGATCGAACATGGTGTCAGGATTCGGCAGGCAGCAACCTCACCTTTAATTTTAAAAGCTGGCATTTCCGAAACCTTTACTCTTACTTTCCCCAATCCAAGCTTGGAAGAGAAGCTCTAATCCCTTCTTCCCAACTCAATTCCAACATAAATTGCACTAGAACCCAATCCAGGCACCATCAAATCCGATATCAATTGAAATGTCCACTCCCAGCGCCATCCCCGCCCCCGCAACCGGGGCGACTCCCGCATCCAACACCACGGACGAAACGACGCCGCTCCTCTCCGGAAACGCCGACGACAATGGCATCAACGACGCTTCCGCCGCCGAGGCCCAGGAACCCGGCCCCTCGTCGCCGGCGGCGATCCAAGCCTCCATCCTCAGGAGCGCAGTGCTGCCCACTTGGATCCTCCTCATCGCTTCCAGCATTACCCTAATCCTCAGCATCGCCCTGTTTATCTTAAACGGGTTCTGGCCCAGCGGTTATTACCAGGGCTACTGGTTAGACTACTGGAAACCAGTAGCTGTATCCGTAAGTACACGAAACCTCTTTCCAATCACAAGAAATATCGACTCCTTCTCATTTAACCAAAAACACGCGATATACATTTCTCTCTCTGACGAAATAGGCCTTCTTCTCCGCCTTTTTGGCCATCGTCAACCTTTATTCCATCCGCGCCTCCAAACCTCCCGGCATTCTTTTCAACATATTAGTTCACCTTGTTCTGGGATTCGTAGCCATCAACACTGTGACGATGGCTGGTAGTGAATTGGACCCGTCCAGGCCCCGGTGTACGGATGGGGACGACGAGTGTTTCCGTTTCCGGCTTGCCTGGTTGATTGTGATGTCTGCCACTTTCATAAGCGGCGTCGTTTTTAGGTGAGGTTGTCCTTTATATACAATTTTTTTTCTCATTTATCATACTTGTATCATAAACACATAAATGCTAACTTCTTGCTTCAGCTGGCTTACCCATCCCGGTCTATTGATCTTCTGGTTCATCAAGGCGAGAAATGCCTACGGCAACCCCGGCCGTCGCCAGTGGACTGTTCCCGCCGGCGTTCTCACCTTTGAGTTCTCTATCAAGTTTCTAAGACAGACTCCTGACGGTTCCGTTCCGCCCGTTCTGCCCGCTACCCAGGAGTCCCAGGTGGCTTGAGAAGGGGAAAAGCGTCTACGGAGTATCATGGTGTGACCAGTTGAGCCTTTCTTAGATGGATGGATCATGTTTACCGGAGGGGGGGTTACTATTTCCCCTCTCAACTTAGAGCTCAAATATCGATCTTTCTCCTCCTAACAAACTAGCTATTACCGTTGCTGTATCCCAAAGCCTTCCATATCATCCCACGTAAAGCCCCTCCGCCCAAGATAAATGTCCTGAATGAAGAGTCGTCAAGCTCTATAGATGAGCCTATTTCATTTCCATACACAAAAACCAAGTCCCAGAATCGCTCAATGGTATCTAAGAAAAACAATAAAAGGAAAGAATGGCCGCCCAAAGAATATAAAGTCCAACTTCCCAAATCCAACCGGCATGTCGGGGGCAGGGGACTGCAGCCCAAGCGGACACATAGTCATCCTCCCATGCCATCATCGCCTGAGTAAACTAGCCTGGCTAAAACATCGTTCGGCAGCGCCACAGCCAGCTACACATTCACGCCCCGTATAGGCAGATGTTGCATCTGCAAAGGAACATGCATCTTGATCTGGCTCTGCCCCCCATCACTCATATAAGAAGCACTTCCTCGCCCATTGAGGGTATCTCCGGGATCACTCCACGCATGAGCGAATCCCATCGGCGGCGTCAACGGACTCTCCGCAATATCCGACCCCGAATGATACCTCGGTGCCGTAGTATACTCATGCACATACGGCGCCTTATACTGATGCACGCAATGCGGCTCAGCAATCCCACAATGCTCCGTAAGGATCTGATAGATCCGATGCTGCACATCACCCGCCGACGGCCGATCATGCGGATTCGCCGACATCATCCTCGCCACGAGATGCAGCATGGGCGTAAACCCGCGAAAAACGTTGCCGCCGTCATTATCGGAGGCTTTCTTCGACGCCTCCCGTGCCAGCATGGACATCCACGCCTCAACCTGTCCCAAGTTTCTATGGAACGAGGAATCGGGGACGGCGCCTCCGCGTCCGGGGGTCTTGTGCTTCGCGGCGCGGAAAGCTGAGAATTTGGGCTGCTTCTTGACCAGGAAGCTGAGGAGCTCGAGGATGACGCAGCCGAGGGAGAAGATGTCGGCGGCTTGCGGGTTGAGGTGGGGGTTGGGCGTGCTCATCATGGCGTTGGGCTTGTACGAGGCATATTCGGGGCGGAGGATGGAGATTGTGCCGCCGGCCTCGAGGGGAGGGAAGAGGGAGGAGAAACTCGACGTTCTTCGTGTGGGGGAGGTTGGTGCGTTGGTGGGGCGGAACCATTGTTCGGGGGCGGCGTAGTCGTACCATTCGCGGTCGAAGGAGTTTTTGCTGTGGCTCGTGAGAGGTTCGGGGCTTAGGCGTGTCGGCTGGGCGAGGAAGATGTGGTTCTTGTCGTTGAAGAGGACGGTCGATGGTTTGATGTGGCGGTGGGATCGGTTCTTGCTGTGGAGGAAGGCGACGGTGTCGACGAGGCAGGAGATCCAGTCCATGACACGTTCCCGGCGCTTCTTCTTGGAGAGATTCCTGTAACATATCGGCTGCGCGACGAGGAACATCTTGAGATTGAGGTCGCTGGCGGGATCGAAGAGGATGAAGCCCTCTCCTCGATGGATGTAGGATCCCCAATACGACACGATGTGTTCGTTCTCGGTCGCGCTCACGGACTCGACAGTGCTGATGAATTCGTCAACGGTCATTTCTTCCGGGCGGCTATCGCCAACCGGAATGCGGCGTCTCCAGAAAATGACGCCCGGTTCGTTTGGGAGAACGACTTTGTCGACGGAGCTGCTGGCCGTGAGGATTGGCCTCCGGTCAACAACTTCGATGGGGACCATCTCGGCGTCTGAGTACACGACATGGACATCCTTTTTCAGCGGTCGTAGCAGGTAGGCAAACTGCCGCTGGTAAAACCTCCTCCACAGCTTCCCATCCTTGGTCACATTCGCCAGGTGCTCGACGGACTCCGGGGCGAGGGGCAGGTCCTCATCGCACCAGGAGTCGTCGATGAGGTCGAATATGTGATTCGCGGCGGCGAGGTCCACGAGGATTAAGAAGATTCGCTTGGCCTTCGTGTCGATCCAGTCCCAGTACGTCAAGTCGGTCAACCCATCTCCAAAGGCCAAGGTCTTGTCGAGGCGGGCGGCTTCGGACGGGAGTAGGTGTTGTGTCACGTATTTCTGGGTGACGGTCGACTCGATTCTCGAGGCATCCCACCACTGGAATGCCATGGTAGAGATGGTGCGGTTATCGTGTGTTATCGTGTGCTCTGCTCCTTCAAGACTAGCAACCCCGTAGCATGGCAGGGATCTCTTGTGGAAAATGCGTTTCGTGCTTTCCGTAACCAACTCGAGACCTCACGACTGTTTCAGCCAAACTGTTCAACCGCGCACGAGTTCAAGAACTGGTTGGCGGAGCTTCGGTTGTGTCGGGTCTGGGAAATGGCCTGCAACAAGGTCCAGGAAGAAAGAGAGCAAAGGATCGGAGGGGACCGGCAAGTTTAAGCAGCACCGGCCGTCTACCACCATTCAATATCTAATATCCAGTACCTAGTATCTAGGTTATAAACAGGCCACAACTCTAATGATTTTCCGTAGATAAGGCAGACGCCTCAACTATATCACATCCTAACGACTAGAAAAAAGCTAGAATCCCGGTCAAGCAGTTCGAGGTTGTCTTGGCGCGTGGGAAACCACCATGACGGATTGCGCTAGGCAGGGCACTTTGACATTCCGTTGGTGTGGTACCAGTACAGCCGTTTGGACCAGGGTATTGAGGTCATTGATCCCGTCAAGGGAACTGGGCTGCCAGGATGAGAGAGGGTTTGGGGTTGAAAGTATGAGGGTCCCATGTATCCAGTACTATAACGGCGGGCTGTCTACAATCTGGGGACTGATTAGATGCACCATGTACACCATGTGCCACGTATCATCGGGATCCTTTCTGCTTGGAGCTCATGGAGTGTACCACCGGCTGCGGTGCTTATCTCGTGGAGGATCAGGCGAATCAGTGTTGGATTGGCGGCGAGGTTTCCGAGGGTGGGCAGTGTTCAATATTCGCTCCTAAAGCTTCGAGAGAACACATACCCGTTTAAAGCTCCCCGCCACCAACGACAGCAAAAATCCTTATCAAGGAACCTATAGCTCTGACGGGAATGTACATGTACATCATTGCCTAGTACAACCACAAAGAGCTTTCCCGTTTCCTGCCAGTCCCCAATATTTCCCATATGCCATTAATGTTCATTACACAGGGACAGAGAGGGCATGAAAAAGAACCTTGCAGAGTAATTAGATTAATTATGAGAGGGCTTTTCCCGCTTCGAGCTCTCTTCCTGGACGAAATATCAATGTAACTTTGGGCCAGAAGTAAGACAATCGCCACCCCCACCTCGGCTTCCGATCGCCCCCACATCAACCCCAACACCATGCTAGCTTGCCCATCATCCTCAAGCTTCGACCAGGGCTTCAATCATTACAACTTGCCATGTTCGTCACTGTCACCAACGTGGCGCGAAGCGTTCCTTCTTGGATTATTCCACGAAGCATGCCTCAACGTCTCCGGCTCCCCTGCGTCAAGACGCATGGACGACTCGAAGCTAAACCGGGTTCCGCTCCCCCGGAGAGCCAGGGGTTGGTCGGATCAGAGGTTGCCCCCGAACGTCATGAAGCGGAGAGGATTTGAGGATGTGTTCAGATGTGAGGACGGGAAGGAACTCGAGCCAGCTGCGCATCTTGACCTCCGAGATCTCTTACGCGTGGCGAGCCCCATCAAGGAGATTTGATCAAATATTGCATCAAAGATTGCAACGCCTGCTAGCTAGATCGAGGCATCGGATCCGACGACACTGGATCGTTTTCCGAGGCTACGAGAGTGAATCCTGTTCAGCTATCATCGTCATCACATGTCCCTCCTCATCCCACTCTGTCCCGAAACCTAACGATGATGCCATAAATCGCTGCGCGGCGCAGCCCAACACCAACTTAATTAAGGAGGAGTCAATATTAGAGTTTCCATGGTCAGAGTAGGGTAGGGGACCCACGGTGTGTGGCAGGCAGGGCACCGGGGCCCACGATCTGTCGCTTGTTCCGGGGTCTTCCTATCTCATGAAAGACTAGGGTGCTGCCGACGGCCGAAGAGACTAACACTATCTCTAGCCACCGATACTTGTTGAGGATCACAGCCGTAAACACTCGAGTTGGAGAGAAAATAAGAGGACGATCGACACCCAAAAGGAAGATCTCTCAAGAGCAATATGATCGGAGTGCTTTTCGGCCAAAGGATTCATTCATAGACGCTTGCGCCGAGGATACGTTTGCCTATTATTTTCACCCCTTATTCTGTTTTCAACTCGCGAGTAGTAATGCAGTACGATACCAAGGTCGACTCTCATTCGACCAGGGTTCACTCTCACCTGTTTAAACCTTCACATGTCCCTTGCTCCTTATCATTGCTGTTGGTGGGCGTCTTATCGTTGAATGTAAGACTAATATCAGGACAAGCGACAAGGGCCAAGATAAGTAATTGTGGAGGAATCGATAACGGTAACGTTGATCCCCACAGTTGCACAAGCCCATGCTTACGTCAGAAATCCCGAATTTCGGTGAACTTCGGTGAAGGGACCACCACACCAGCATTGGACATCCAAGTTCAAATTGACCGAGTGTCTCCCTCCACATGCTTTTCAACTGCTGCTATGATTAAGGTATGCGACGAATTCTGATATTGATTCGTTCTGTTTATATTCTAATGCTCTAGGACGACCATTAGTTCCACCTCGCACAATAAGAACATAGGAACCAGCAGCTTAGGCGTCAATTCCTACAACACAGAAGAGGACAGACATTGCGGTATTGATCTCTATCATGCGCGTCTAGATCGCCTCGCTTCAAAGAAATCATCATACTCGTACATCTAAACTCCACACTAAAACCCAACACCTTCCTCTAACCACACCCCCCACCGCGCACAGCGCGTATATATAATAAAATGATTCCTGGAAAAATTACCCAAAATTACATCTAGGCCTTCTGCATAGCAGCCATTCCCTGCCTCCCAATGAACGTCTCCATCGCCGTATCCACCCCAGCCAGCTTCCTCGCCAACTGCTGCAGGCCCAGCGGGAGAATATTATAATAATCGATCCACCTCGCATAAAACGGGAACCCGACGTGCGTGCTGTACCCGCCGTCGATAGCCGCGACGATCTCCTTGGTGACGTCGACGGGCTCGACGACGGGCGCGAAGAACGAGTTGGGCGTCTGCACGCCGTAGAAGAGCGGCGTGCTGAGCTGACCCGGCTCGACGAGGACGGTGCGGATGTCCGGGTGGGACGCGCGGAGCTCGGCCGTGAGGGACTTGTGGAGGGCCGTAAGCCCGGCTTTGGCGGCCGAGTAATCCGTGAGGCGGGCGGCGCCGACGTGGCCCAGAACACTAGAGATGGTGACGACGGTGCCGCCCTTGCCGCCGCGGATGATGGCGGGGAGGAAGGTCTTGATGGCGTAGAACTGAGCCGTGAGGTTTGTGGTGAGGCTCTTATCGAGCTCGGAGAAGCACATGTCGAGGAGCGTCTTGCCATGGACGATGGCGGCGTTGTTGATGAGGACCGTGGGCGTTCCGAGCTGTTCTAACGTTAGCAAATCTGTAGATTGTTGGGGAGAACAAGAAGAAATAGACATACATCTGCCTCGACCTGCTTGGCGACCTTGGCAAGCGCCTCCTTATCCGTGATATCACATCTATAAAATGTGACGCCCCTCGCCTCCAAATTCTCCATCTCATTGACATCCAGCACGGCCACCGAAGCTCCCCTCATACCATACACCTCCGCAATCAACAATCCCAGGCCGCTCGCGCCGCCCGTTATGACGATAACCTCCTCGCCGAGATCGACTTCCCTGGGTAGACCAAAGGCCATCCTCTTATTTATGATGCCGGCCATCCAGCAGAGCGTGATGAAGGTCGCCCAGATGATCGAGTACACCATCTTGAAGTGGGTATATGGGTAGTTTTGCGCGCGAAAACATAGCGGGATGATCCAGCAGATGAAGGGATGGAGGAAGGTCACTTTGAGGACCTTGATGATGAGGTCGATTGATAGCGGGGCGAACCAGGAGTCGCGCTGGGGCGGCGCAGTGTACTTCATTGTGAGCGAGAGGATTGGAGGGGCCTTCGGATAGGGGGAGGTTTGGCGAAGAGGGAGAGATCGTTCGGCGATAAAAGGCAGATGGAGAACGGGTGGATTAGAACAAGGAAATTCAGTCGAGGCTAGCTTTCGTTGGAACTTGGAGGCTGGCTCTCTGGGAATTAGAGCTTCGGGAACTATAGTCCAGGTATGATAATAAGACCGTTTCGACCAGCGCGGGTTCCCAAGAGCAGCAGTAAAGCAATACAGAAGAAAATAGGAAGGAAAATCAGACGAGAATCACAAAAAAAGAAAGATGCAGATTCCTGAAGAACTCAAAACCTGTCGCGGGGGCCAGTGGAAAGCTCTAACAAGTGACGTTCAGATGTTTCGAAACGGCCCCTGGATCGTTTCGGAACTAGCCGCTCGGACAAAATTCACACAGTTCTTTTATTTATAAAGACACTGTATGAATGTTCACCCACGAGCCTGTGGACTTATTATTCAAACAATCGTAGAATCCTATGCGATCGAGTTATTGTCCCCGGGCAGTTGCGTATTATCAACAGTTGCATACCAGGAAGGGTTGCAAAAGACGGAACAGTCGCAAAATACAGAAGGAAAAGGTGAAACTGCGCAACTGTTGTTACTGTTCCTTCCTTGTCTCCTTCAAAATTCCTTCCACTTCGAAAATCACTATAATTATTGAGGGGGAGCGACTGTCGTAGGACCATTGAGGGACTATCAACGGCCCATACGTCGAATCTGCCATCCCCTCTTATGAAGTATATGGGTGTAGCATACGGGTATAGCATTCCTACATAGTCTACATAAACAGAACTTGGTCCAAAGTTTTCGTTGCGCCAAAAAACTCCATAGAAATGCGTGTCGCCGAACCACCAAAGCAAAGGAAAGCGGGGCCCCCCAAAAAAACCTTATTGATTCGCCGCCAGAACCATCTTTTCTCGCTCCGGCTTCCTCTTCTGGAACTGCTTGCTGGTATGCTTCCTCTCGTTCTCCTCCTTGCGCTTGATGGCGTTGAGCTCCTCCCTCTTGATGGAAGCCGCCTTCTTGACCACCTTGGGGATGTGTCTGTGGCGCTTGATGCGTCGAATCTCCGGCATGTGGCCGAAGCGGGCAACGAGCGCGTCGTTGTACTCTAGGGCTTGGCGTTGCTTTGTGGACTTGGGGCCCTCGGTCCTCGAAGCGTTGGCTTTCCAGATTCGTACGTTACCGTCGTCGCTGCCGCTGAGGACATACTTCGAATCTGGTGTCCAGCGTGCGGCGAAGAGCCTCTGCATACGCTTGGTATGGTAGATTTCCCTAGAGCGACCTTGATCTCGCTTCCAGATACGGAGGGTACTGCGAGTATGGTGTTAGTAACAAGAGAATGGCGACGAATAGCGTAGGTCTAAGAACACTCACCGATCATAGGAGGCAGAAACCAACTCCTGGCCAGTAGGAGAGAACTGGACATCCATGACTGCCGCCACGTGATCCTTGAGGACATTAAGTGCTCGGCTCATATTCCGTGAGTCGAATAATAAGATGTCATGATCTTCCGAAGCCAAGGCAAAGTTGTAGGCCTCCATCGGGTTCCACGAGACAGCATTGCACGCAAACGTGAGGACCGTCTTCGTAACCGGCATCGACGTTCGTACATCGTATAATATGACTGCGCGATCCGTCGCACATGACGCAATGACACTAGTCTCGACTTGATTGAAAGCAACAGACGTAATAGTGTCGGCCTTGGAGGGCCAGGCGATCACTTCCGGAGCCGCAGTCGGTCTCTCGAGGTCGTAAAGGGAGATGACGTCGGAGGCGACGGCAAAGGCGTTCTTGTGACGGTGGTGAGAAATGCTCGTGAAACCGGATGAGCCTAGCCAAGTGGCTACGGGCTCTGAGTCGGAGGCGGTGTTGTAGGGATCCCACAGCTTGATCGTCTTGTCGCTCGCGCAACTAAGCAGGTGTGAATTCTTGGTCCAGCAGAGTCCCTTGACAATGTTCTCGTGGCCGTTCGCATGCCATATTTCGTCTCGGCTTGACAAGCTGAATTGATAAAAAGAGTATTTTGATTAGCATTAAGAAAGACGCAGTTAAAGCGAGTCCCCTCACTTACTCCCAAACTTTGACTACACCATCACCAGAACCGCTGGCTACTCTTTGTAGAGAATGCCCATCTACGGACATTGAGTAGACACCATCAACATGGCCACCCCCGAGCTGAGCCACGAATGGCTTCGCAAACATTCTTTCCAACTTGACCGCATTAAGGGCACGGGTATATTCCCTAGCTCGTTCGAAGGGATGGACTTCGGGGTTGAGGTTTCGAGGAAGCTTCGCAACATCGGACCCGGCCTCCTGGATGGGTGCTCTCGACAACGTTTTGATTTTCTACTACTGGGTTAGAATCAAATTGTTCCGTTAAAGAATGGGGAATATTTCCTACCATCTTCGCGACTGAATAGGGAGCACAAGAATGTCTCGAGGGTGTGGCGGGGAACACTCTTGATGTATGTTGAAAAAGTTTGGTGGATTTACAACTTTTTGGCTTATCGATAAGAACAATTTTAGCGCGGTGCAGATACATCCGCTTTGTACCTTCCCTGCTGAAAACACTAGATCCACCTCGTCAAGTCCAGCATCCAACTTCACGAATTCATCAAGCATTCCACGACCTAACTCTCCCGCCCCATCTCCTGCTGGAGAACACAATATCCTACGAGTCCGATATCCCTCCACGTATCGTCCCTTCGTATCTCCATTCCGTTCAGTTCTCTCAACCCGCTCCCCAATATCCCTGCGCGACTCGCCACCCTTTGCGCAAATCACCGCCACGCGTGTCCTTGAATCCTCACCATGGATCTCGACCATTTGATGCTCAATGGCGAGCAAGGCGGGCCATCCGTCAAAATCTCAGCCGTATGTTAACTCTCATCACCGCACATCGCGTCTCCATCATCCCCTTTCCCATGCGCCATCCATCAACCTAACCATTCCCCGTCTCCAGGCCAGCCGCTCTCGAGTAGATTTCGAAATGACAGGCGCCGACCTCTCCTTCGCAAACTCCATCCGCCGCGTAATCCAAGCCGAAGTCCCCACCCTCGCCATCGACCTCGTCGAGATTGAAATCAACAGCTCCGTCCTCGCCGACGAGTTCATCTCCCACCGCCTCGGTCTCATCCCCCTCGTGTCCAAGGACGTTAAGGACCTCCGGTACTCGCGAGACTGCGACTGCGACCAGTACTGCGACGCATGCAGCGTTCGTCTCAGCCTCCACGCTAAGTGCATGTCCGACGAGATCCTCAAGGTCTACGCGCGCGACCTCATCATCGATAGCAGTCGCAAGAGCGCCGATCTCGGGACGCCGGTCATTACGGATCCCGAGGGTCATGGTTCGCTTATTTGTAAGCTTCGTCAGGGGCAGGAGTTGAAGTTGCAGTGTATTGCGAAGAAGGGCGTGGCGAAGGAGCATGCGAAGTGGATGCCTACAGCGGCTGTGGGCTTTGAGTATGATCCTCACAATAAATTGCATCACTTGGATCTTTGGTACGAAGAGGATGCTCAGAAGGAATGGTGAGTTCTACAGTCTCAACATGTTTGGGAGGGATGACGAGAGACACGTTGCACGAGCAGTAATAGGCTAACGCCTTCTCAGGCCCAAGAGCAAGTACGCGGAGTGGGAAGAGCCGCCTCAAGAGGGCGAGCCCTTCGACTATAACGCGGTACCCGACCGTTTCTACTTCGAGGTGGAGGGCGTAGGCGTCTTAGACCCCGACGAGATTGTGCAGGGAGGAATTAGTGTTATCCAGCAAAAGATCGCCGAGTTGATACACGTCATAAGCGGTAGAGGACCCGAGAACGCCGTTGAGGACGAATTTGGTGGTCCTAGGAGTCCCGACATGGCCATGGACGGGAACCCGTGGCAAGACACTGCCTACGCGACTACTCCTTATGGTAATGCGGGGAATCAGAGCACTTGGGGAGGGGCTGCGACGACGCCTTATGCCACGACTACGCCGTATGGAAATTCGGGGCAGAGCGGATGGAGTTGAACGGTCCGGTCTACGCTTATATGTGGAGCACGGAAAGGAGTCTACTGTTCTGCACTTTCTCTTTTCTTCCGCATTTCCGTCCTTGCCAGGTGATGGCTTTGTATACTATTAAAAGGTCTGCGCTAAGAGAGGCTCTCGACTTGCGATGGGGGATTCCTAGCGGAGGATAGATTTTCTCATCTACTGCTCCCGAGGTAGCAGAAAGCGGCACAGAATTTTCCAAGAAAAAGAAAACGAGGTAAAGGGGGCATGTCAGGGAGTTTGATGGAGTTGTCTACTGGAATGCCGTATTCTATTTCTGGTTGCTGGAATACAAAGTAGAAGGCACTCAACCCAGGTTTTTTGTTGGTAGGGCTAATAAAAGAACATTGATGAAAGGGAAAATCTGGTTATACGACTGAAGTCTTTGAGTCGGGCGTGTATCGTTCGGCATATAGAACCGTCGATCATGCCTCCTGCACATGCTAAGCGACGTGTGGACGGACTCGGAGAACAATGCCGACGCGCAGGAGACATGGACCCTTTAATTTCTTGAAATGATGTGAATATGGCAATTAAGCGAGACTTGAGAGATTCTCGGATATCTATCATAAAGGAGCGTATTTGGTATCATCAAAAGCAGAACCCACCAGCAAATGAGAATCGAAAAGAAAAGAAAAAAAAAGAGCAAATAAAAGACGAAGCAAAACTCCAAAACGCATTGGTTCCGTTCCCTCTTCCTCCTCCTTGTTCCGATATTGGTATCCCTTGCCCTCACTCCTCACGCCAATTTCGTAATTCAATTAAGGACACCCTGTTCAGCTAGTACACGGAAAACGATAGAGGGGGAAGAGAACCGTAACAGTGAAAAATGCCAGTAAACGCCGTGCCTTCTCAGCAGAGAATCCTTGAGTAAAAAGTTGGTTGAAAATCGTAGCGAAATGCCCTCTACTTAGAATCGAGGAAGGTGAGAGGCCTCGCTGTAGCGGCTGGCGTTAGTGTTCATAGGATGAAGCGCCGTATCGGGCCTCTTGATCTCGGGCATGATGGGGCTGCTCCTATCATCCCTCCAGTCGTGATCAACAGGGTACTGGGAAGGATACTGCGACTGCGACTGCGCCTCGACATCGGACTGCTGCTGGGGGATAGGCCTGCTGATCTTGAGCCTGTGGCCGCCAGCGAAAGTGAACCTGCGAGTCCACCTGTTGGACTTCTCCTCGTTATGGCGAACGGAGTTGGAGCGGTGCGAGAGGATATCCGCGTCCTCGTGGAGGTGGCGGTTCTTGGCCGCGGTCTGAGCGGCGAGGTTACCATCGTTGCGAATCATGCGAGCGTTGATCTTGTTCTTGCGATCGCAGAAGATGAAGGAAGAGGCGATGTTAGCGACGCCGAAAGTAAGGGCTAAGATGCCAGTGGCGAGCACGAGGCGGTGAAGAGAGACGCCGATGGTGGCGGGGCTCGTGGCAGGCTTGTTGAGGTTTCCGAGGACGTGGCAACCCATGACGATCATGGACATGCCGAGCCAGGTGAAGCCGTGGAGGTCGGAGAAGACGGGCCAGTGCTTAGCGAAGAAGGGCTTGAGGAGGTTGACCTCGGTGACGATGAGGAAGATGGCGATGCAGCTGGTGAAGAAGTGGGAGGCGGCGTCGAAGAAGAAGAATTGACCTCGAATGCCGGTCATGACGATCATGATCCAGGCGACGACGGCGACGGAGAGGAGAGTGATGATGTTGCAGGCTCGGATGATGTTCAGGATGAGGTGACCGAGGCCACGGACAGCTGAGGCGTTGAACATTTTGTCTAGTTCTTCTATTCGAAGAAGACGAGTCTATTCTCGAGTTGGCTTATTGTATAGCGAAGAGGGTCTGCTCAGAATGTTAGAAGGTCATGTCCTTTTTTCCAAGGCTGAAGGGACGTGGGCATCGAGTCCACTTACATTAAATGAAGGACACTGCCCGGCAGTGTGACTTGCTGTTTGCTCCGTAGGAAGATGAGCTTCTCCTTTGTGATAACAAGACGAGTGTGACTGGAGAAACCTGACTCGCAGATTTCAAGGGAGGATCGGATTGTATTTCGATTGACTGAAAACCAGAGTCTGAAAGAGATGAAGAGTCAAAAAGGAAAAGTTAGAGAGAGGGTGTTTCAGAGAAGAAAGCGGGCGACCAGTCCCAAAGTCGAATATGAGTTGATGTAAAGGAAAGATGAAGGGAAAGAGAGAGAGTGAGAATGAAGTTTCGAAGATTAAGAAAAGACCATGACGTTTGCTTCCGAAGTCCTTTCAATAGAAAAGGGTGGGAACGAGGTCAATAGAGAAAGGAAGAACGAGTTTATAGAAAATGGAGATCAATGAAAGTGTGTGAATGGGCGAATCCTGAATAAGGTGGGAAAGGGCCTCTTTCTATTTTAATATCTGGATGGGAAATCATGGGATGCATATGGAGAGAAAAAGAAAAAGCTTTCCTTCTTGTCGTCTCATTGACCCGGAAAATTCCCAATAGCCCATTTGGGTCCCGCCTTCCAGCACTGAGAATGGCAGCAAAAGAGAGAAGACGAGAGACGAGAAGAGAAACCGGGAATATGGAGGACGACCTGGCAGAGGAGCCCGGGGAGTGTGAGGAAAATCATCAACCGAAGTCGATGATTCGCCGTGGTGAGTCGAGCAGAAAAGTTTCAAGACGATCCGGGGCCAATGGATCTGGCTGTGCGAGGCCATCTCTGGCTGGACAGGCCTATTTTTCATTTTTCTTTACCCGCATGCATTCCGTTTATTTCCTACTTGGAGATGGCATCCTTTGACGTTTCTGGCCATTGCTACCCAAAAGAAGAAATGGATCTGGTGGTCTACCACGAAGCGAAGCGCGGGCGAGAGCAAGCCAAGCCTAGGGCCAAAGCCGATGATGGGCAGCGAGTGAGCAACATCGGTTGCATGCGAGTCGCCAGTTTCACCAATCCTGAAGCAAGATGGCCAGACCAGGCCACCAGCGCGTCCAGTCGCATAGTGGAAGCGCCTTCTGTAATTTCATCGTGTGTTTCTCCTTGCAGCTTGTTTCCCACGCGTGCTTGGGTGAAGCAAATAGACTATGATGTAGTGTCCCATTGCATTCCTTCTACCCCACAACGCTCCCTCGTCAGATGTTGAAGGAGGGAATTCGTTGGTGGGCATTCAACAGCGCCTTGACGCAAGCACAGCCTGACCCATCTCTTAGCCCACGCGGGCCAGGCCCAGTGAGTGCTCCATCAATTGTCGCCGTTGAGGGCCCTAAGGGGAAGCGCTTGTCGCTGTCAGAACATCAGATTCATCGAGAACCGTCCAAGGGTGGGTCATATGGGGGTGTGCTCGACAGGGGAAAACCTGACATTCGATCGCCGTCATCCAATGACTGTGGTGTTCCTGGCTGCAACTCCTCGCGCCCGTTCCGGCATGGGAGTTCTGAGGTCCGGACGTCGACGCGGCGTCGATTGGGCCAGCAGCTTCGGCCTAAGTTTCAGGTTCTCTGGTCACTGCACTGGCTAAAATCTACCTCCTACGAAACGCTCCGCCCGAAGACTTCATTTGGTTCCAGGGCATGACCATGTCTGCCCTGGCGAGATCAATTGGATATCGGCGATGCGGATTTGAGTGGAAGGTGATCTCGAAGGCCTGGAGTCGACAAAAAAGAATTTTAATTTCCCTTTGACCTGCGCTGCGAGCTTCCTTCAAGTGTCGGGATCTCTGGTTGGCGATCCGCAAGACTCGCGCCATACAACGGGAGCTATGTAGGTTTCTACGTCTTCGAAAAATTCCACATTATGCATCGTAGACTGGAATGGATTCTGATTACTCATGTTTTAATCCAAGATGCGACTGTAATCTCGACGGGGTTCTCAAGCGTTAAAAAATAATATCTGTTGACGACGCTTCGATGCAGTGGTTTCCTTTCCCCAAGCTTCGGGTTCGTCAGGAGACATCTTTGGCCGTTCCTGTCGATAAGTTGGGCAGGCATTCTGAAACCTGTCACAGCTTTCATCCTCCAGCAAGACACCTGAAGCATGAAAATGTCGACGAGATGAACGGGATGTGTTGCATCAACGTGTCGCCACAGTTTTCAAATAAAATGGACAAAAGGAAATCTACGAGTCATTAACCGGTCGAATGTATTGGTCAACAAGCCATCCTCGTAAGACTTGTAAGACCTCGATGGCGAGCAATTCAGAGACGATCTAAGCGCTGAGCTCGACTACAGGGATTCATATATGGCTATAATTAGGGGCTCTGGCGATATCGATCTTTCTCTGGCGCCTAGCCAGGTCGACCAAGCCTGCTATACTAGATTACATCGAGGATGTCGGACCGTGGGCGAGACTGCGCTCTCTGCAATTACAAAGTATCGAACGACAGAGTTTACAGTGCTAGTGACACGATTATTACCAGTGCCCCCTACCAAAGCCCCCGCACTGTGTGGCCTGGAGGTACAAACGCCAAAAAAAAAAAAAAAAGAATGTATCTCCCGAACCTGAATCGAACAGGTGACCCTCTGATTGAACTGTTGCCATTACAGTCAGATGTCATGAACCAACTAGACCATCGGGAGTATCCGATTGATGTTAGATACAGCTTGGAAGCGTCGATTTTAACAGCCCCGAGATGTAAATCCGAGAGACTCGGGAGAGCGAGAGACTACTGTAGATACGCCCTTGACCCGGTTCCTTTCCTCATTGCAGATTGAATTAGCGTTTAAAGCTGCAATCTCGGAGTTATTCACGGGATAAGTGCGGATGATATTCTCAGATACACATGATAATAAGTTTAATCATAGATATCGTATCTTACGAAGAAATTTCTATGCTCTCAAAGAAATTTAAGTATAGAACAGAGGATTCCGTTAGCCAAGGGGGATAGTTCTTCACCAGCAGAAGAGAGAGTAGATATTGGAGATTTACACGACGGCAACATCGTGCCTCTGGCAGCCTTCCAGCCAGTCAAAGGCCGACCTAAGAACCCTTCCTCTGCCGACGCGGCGATAGACCTCGGGGGCACCAGAACACATAGGCAGATTCGCCTGCGCAGAGACCTTAACCAATGCCAAAAAGTCAACACACATCGACTCGGTCTCATCGTCCAGCCTCACATACTGCAACAGCGGAGCCGCTATAATCTCGGCCGTCTGCAAGTCCTCCTCGGTGTCCAGGATAACCCACCCGAGAATTTCGCCATCGACTGCCGATCGCATCGTGTTTGTCCCCGAATCCAATGCGAGTTCCGCCCACCCGAAATAGATCTCCGGCGGCCACCTTTCATACCGCGTAAAATGAGGAATTTCGCTAATAGTAGAACCAATCTCGATAGCTTGACGCGGCCCGGAGATTCGGAGTACCTGTCGGCCATCTGGCGTAGCTTCGCCGAAACTGACCTCCGAGAGCGCTTCGGGGTGGGCCAGGCATTCGTTAGCGGTCCACCTTGCCGGGCCCTCCACCGCCATCCAGCTCCACGACGGACAGGGGAAGTCGGGGTCACCACCCAACCGGCTACTACGGGCGACGTCTGGGACCCAGAGCAACTGGGAGAGTAGAATGTCCTCGGGTCCAAAGTCAAGGAGTCCGAATCGGAACGTGGCACCGCAGCGGGCCGCCATCCGCTCTTCCAAGCCTTGAATGGCTTTGCCCTTATCAGAGATGTAAGTCAAACTCTTCTTGCTGTACTCCTCGACTGCCGCTTGCCATACTTTCCTCGCGGCATAGGGAATCCCGTAAGTGAAACCTCCAATCGTCCTCACCTCTAGGCTTATCCCGGCGGCTCGCGTGCGTCGCTCGGGGACACCGGTCCGTTCTGTATCCCAGTATCGATTGCACCTCCACGCGACCGTCTCCTCGGTGTAAAATATGCATCTACGAGAGAGCTCCTTTTCCTGGAAGACCCATCCGCGAGAATACCACGTTTTCTTTTGGATCTGCAATGAGAAAATATCGCCTTCGTTTATGGGATGTTTTTCCATGAAGACCGGCAGCATTTCACCTTTTGAGGGTGGTTGGGCGGCCTTCATGTCGTACGGGTTGTCAAATCGTGACTCGACCGCAGGAAATGGATGCCTCACCCATAGAAGGGGCCTCCTCCGGACGATGTCTCCTCCACTTAGGAACAAGCCTCGGTCGGGCAAGTCTCCGCTAGGCCCCTTCGCGTCAGCAGCCACTATTGTACAGTACGATTTCTCAAATATTGTTCCCATGAGTCCTATCTGCGTGTCAAGGTCGTCAGGGTCATCCTGAACGATGCAAAGGGAGTCGATCCAAAGGAACCGTTCGTCTAGCTCCCTCGTGAGGCGGATGGCATCCTGGAAGGTCTTGGGGAGTTGTTACTGAGGAAGCTCCAAATGCCACGCCGCCATTGTCTCTTTAGTCGTCATTGTAGGCTGTATCTTGCCCCAGCAGTGACTGAGTGTCAAGTACCGCCCTATCATCTGGTAGGATGTAGTCACCAGGCGCGGTGCTTCTGATCCATCGCTGGGCCCCACGTCAATGACCCTGAAGGGAAGTGCCGCAGAACCAGAGACATCATCGAACTGGTGCCCGGAATACCGGCCGCGCTGACACTCGTCGTGAGTCGAGCGGCATTCGTCAAGCCAGGTACGTAGTAGGCGGAGGTTGCGGGGAGAAGAGGCAGCTTGCAAATCTCTTTGCGTGAAGATGCCATGACTGAACAAACTCGATTCTATCCTTGAATAATTTTTAAGCTCTTTTCAACCCATCAGGCTGTACGGGAAACTTGAGGAGGATTTTTTACCGGCCAAGAAACGAGAAACATACCTTCCAAGGAGTAGATCCGGATGGGTCTGCCATAATGACCAGAATCAAGCTTGAACATTCCATATCGGACACCAGGCCCGAGAGCCTCTAATGCCCACTGCAACCGGTCGCGATGGATCTTATCGCAAGGTAGATTCATTTGATTAATGCATGTCTGCGTGTTGTAAGCATCTCCTAGGAGCGCGCAGAACCGGCAGTGGTCCTTGGATTTCTGGACCTCCTCAAAATCTAAAGGATGCCGAAATCCATTGACGAGCATCGGCAAGGTGATAATTCGGCACGCTTGGCAAAGATCGGCTTGCTCGGATAGACCGGCGCCTGGATTGTCTTTTCTCTCGCCGCTCCTACTACTGATGCTGGTCACCTGGATTGATGAGCCATTCTTCTGCGTCCCTGAGATACTAGCTTCTTCAACGGGCGAGGCGACACCCAATTTTGTCTGATGCATCTGATACACAGGGGAAATCTTCGGTCCTCTGGGCTCGGCAAAGCTTCTCAAGGCACGGTTGACAACGTTTGAGACGACTGACAGAACCGGTGACGACTCATCGAGGGATGAGACCCGGCTTAGGAGCCGGATGCTGGCCTCAACTGTGACCAGTTCAATCTCGTGTCTAAGGAGGCGTTTCTGCTCTTCGAGAATTCCCAAACACCTAGTAATACCTTCAAGTGCATCGAGCGAGCACTTGATCTTATCGATGGCGGTTGCAAACTTGGACAAATCATACACGGACCATCGCCTGACCACCCACGAAGATTGCTCCCTCTGGCTGTGTCTCCAAATGCGTTCTTTGCACGCTTCGAACCTTGACTGAAATACAGGCAGGCCGACAGACAGGGCGGCTGCTCGCTGGGCGTCTCTCTCCCTCTCCGGCACGTCCCCTCCAAGCTGGAACCTCTCGGTGAAGACCTCGGCATCCATTATTACGAGACTGAGATCGATCAGGCTTTCTTCTAAACTTTGCTGGATCTCTGCTGCGAGTTTCTGTCTTTCATCGCGCGGGCTGGTTCCGTCCGGACTCGGGAGCAGTCCGGCAGCTTCGCCCCAGGCGAGAAATCGTAGTCTCTGCAAAGACAGCTAGAACGCAATCTCGGTCAGACTCGACTATCACTTGGAAAATAGTATATATAAGTAAACTACCCCCAGTTCATACTTTCGTACATAGGAGAATGAACTCAGGCCCCGGATCTCGACAAGTGACGACGATGTCAAACTCCCGTACGGAGTTTGAGAAGAGTCCTGGAGGATCCAGGTGACCAAGGGCTCTGCGAATCCTAAGGTGAGCCATGTTTTTCTTTCGGGACTTCTCTGTCGATTCAGTCGAATGATGCCGGGGACTCGGAGCTAATAATATCCACCGGGCGGCTAAGATGGCAAGATCTCAAAGATTGAATCTCCAAGCGTCTTCTGGCCAGGCGGCTATCTCACGCCAAGGGGATTAGCGCCTTCGCTGGATGAAATTCGAGATGAGCATTGTTTCTTCAGGCGATGTTCTTTGTCGTCGATTGGTCTAGAACTACTGCAGGCAGAAAAGCGGAAATAGTAACATACAAGACACGAGACCGAGAGACTTGGAGTCGACGGCTCATCAATACCGTCGTTCAAATGCCGTCTTACTGTTGATGACTGAGATACGAAGTAATTGAAGGTATTTTGTACTGGCAGGTCCAACCTGAAGCTATACCGTGCGAATTTTCCTTTTGTTCGCCACAATGGTCACAGCTGGGTTGCCTCCAGCGCATGTTGAATTGACATCGACTCGCGTAATCTATCAAGTGAATCACTGAGTACTTCTACACTGGCATTGTCCCAGCGCACAGCCTCAATCCCACGCTCACTGTGCCCCTGCCACTGTGCCCTCGTCCGATGAGCACTTAAAGCCCCAGTCAGCAAGCGCCGCCAGGACACGACTTGTCTCTAACTTCTGCGCTTGACTTTCCATTGATTTCTCTTTTTCACAACCTCAACATCTTTACGCGCCCGCATAACTTAATTCCCCTCCTCCCAACCCAACCTCTTCTCTGCCCACGAAAACACTATCTTGCTTAATTTCGAGAACATCATGTCCCGTGGTAACCAGCGTGAGAAGGCCCGCGAGGCCAACCTTAAGAAGCAGGCTGCCCAGGTATGTTAGCCCCTCGATTTATCCATCCGGGTGGATTACGGTTTCTGGAGTCGCGATCATTTTTTGTCCCGTTCATTCCTTCTCCGAGAAGGAAGCCATGCGAGATCTCCCTCCATGATCAGGCGGGCTCAAAGCCTAACCCATACACCATCGGCCAGTTCGCGAGGCTAGGGGCCTCCGGCGCGCCCCAACCAGGTTCTTTCTGATAATTGTTTTGGAAATACCGTTTCCTAACTCACTCGGACGCGCAGAAAAAAGGCAACACCATGAGCGGTACCCAGATGCAGAACGCCAAGGAAAAGGCCGCTGAGATTATGCGCCAGAAGCAGGCTGCTGGTAAGCTTACATCTAGGATTCCTTACGCCCTAAACCAAGGCAGAAAGAAGAAGAAGGAAAAAATGAGAGGCCATGCCGTTCTCATTACCTCTTTTCTCTTCCTCCTCGCGCACGAAGAGAGGACGGACGAGACGAGAGGCTAGGCTCATATCTCTCCCTATGCCTAACTTGCTTTGAAAAACCATGAAGCGACGGTGGTCAGGGTACTAACCATGTGATTCCATGTTATAGCTGAGGCCAGGAAGGCTGCTGAAGGAGCCAAGAAATGATGATCCAGCCCATTTGAGTCGAGGCTCGAGGCTCGAGGCTCGAGCTCGCCCAGCTCACTATCCTCCCACACGATGCAGTGTTGCGAGTTCGTCAGGATGTAGGGAATCTCGTGGTCCGATCTCCTATTTCTCCTGGGTGGCTTTGACAGCAGAAAAGCTGGATCGTGGATGAAGCGAAGGAGTTTTTGGTGTATTTCGGCAAGTTTACATTCTACAAGTTCAATGACTAAATGATATCTCAATTCTTTGTCTTCTCGTTGTGAAATGCGCGGTAGGATCCTCCTTAGAAGATCTCTCTTTTTCTCCTCACTATTAAGGGGCGAGTTCGAGCTCCTGGCGCCAAGCCAGATCCTGGGTGGCGATCATATCTCTCAGTCGAGACTCATCTCACAACGAACAAATGATTTTCTTACGACACAAAAGGAATTTAGGAAATTTTCTTCATTCAAAGCAGTCGTCGTCTATTCTCCTTTCGACTTAAAAATAAGAAATAAAAAAATGCATAAACACCAACCCACCCCCCTTTCCACCAGGGGAATCTGAAAGAAAAAAAGAAGGCGCGACAAAAAGGGGGGTTCTTCAGAACGAAAAAGATCCATTTATGAATTCCTATTAATCGCATCCAGAAAAAAATAATACGAACCAGTCATATAATATATATAACCCTTTCCATTTTCGCGGGGAAGCGAGAGAAGATGAGGGGAATCAAGAAACCCAAGTGCTCGACTCTCGGTAGAGAGCCAAGGGAAGGGGGAGGAAGAGAGAGAAAAGGGATGAGGAAAACGGCCCCGTTCACATCATTCTTGGAACGATGTCTTCGGACTTCCCCTTTTTATCCTTCTGGCGGGAGAAAGGTGTTCTCTTGGCTTTCCTTTTTTGTGTTTTTCATGAAATCTACAAAGGGAAGTATGCTCCTTCAACAAAAAACCAAACCACTCGACGCTTAGCGACGGGCAGGGGTGACGGGAGCAGGAGCAGCGGGAGCAGGAGCAGCGGGCGCGGCAGCACCAGCGACAACACCAGCAGAGTTCATGTCTATCGTGCCTATTGTAATTTGTCAGTGGGTTGTCTTATTTGTTGAGTTGTAAGAGGGAGTAAACTAACCAGCAACACCACCGAAAGCGTTGAGACCCTGGGTAGCAGGGTCGGGGAAAGCGCCCCCGGCGCACTGAACGGCGCACTGGCAAGAGCCATCGGCTCCGATGGTGCCCTGGCCCATAACGATGCCTCCACCGAGGGTAGCGCTGTTGCCAACAGACGCGGGAGCAGAAGCGACGGGAATGGAGCCCGAGGAGGCGATGGAGGGGTTGACGGGAGCAGGCGCGGCGACATCAACCGAAGAGGCGGCAGGGTCGGCCGAGCCCACAGCAGAAGAGGCAGGGTCGACGGGAGCGGGAGCCGCAGGGGCAGGGGCCGGGGCGGCGTTGTCTGCGGGAGCAGCGCCAGTTCCGCCGGTGATGGCGGTGCCAGGGAGGTCACCTCCGCGCTGGGCGATGGCGTTGGCCTGGAACTGAGCGTGTGTCTTGGCGGCGGTGGGGTTGATGGAGAATGTCATGCCGCGGCCGCAGTGGTTGCCCTGGGCGCAGAACATCCAGAGGGCGTCGGTGGTCATGACTTGCATGGCAACCTGGGGAGGGGGGACAATGGTGTTGTCGGGGTTGGCCATGAAGCCGGAGTCCATGCCGCCGGCGAGGGGGTCGCAGGGGGTGTCGAAAGCGGACTGGGTGACGGTGTGGTTCTGGCCGTAGAAGGTGAAGATGATCATGTCACCAACATTGGCGGCGACCTCCTGAGGGAAGAAGGAGAGACCCTGAGGACCACCGACGTCGACGGAATGGGTGGCACCGGTGCCGGCAATGACACCGCTAGCACCGGGCTGGATGGTGGTGGAGACACCGTCGACGCCAGCAATGGCGGTGGGAGCAGCGCCCGCGGGGACGGTGACGGTCTGAGTCACAGTCACTTGCTGGTTGAGAGTGGTGGGAGGAAGACCACCACCCTGGTTAACCCAGACGATGACGGCGTTGACGCCGCTGATGGCACCGAGGCCAATGCCTCCAATAGCACCGACGCCTCCAACGACACCGCCAACACCACCAACACCGGCGACACCACCGACGCCAGCAACACCACCAACGCCAGCAACACTGCCAACGCCGACGTTGGGATCCCTCCTAATCTGCCTGCTAGTGCGAGCGGACTTGGCAACGGCCAAGGGAGCAAGAAGGAGTTGTAACGCGTTCGAGAACTTCATCTTGATGGTTGTAGATTAAGAATTTGAGCTGTAAAAAAAAGAAAAACGAAATCGTACGAAAAACACGAGAGAAACGATAATCGGTCCGCGCCGAAGAAGTGAGAGACTTGAGTTTAATCGAAAATGTTGGAAAGGGTTGTTCTGGATGGTCGAGGTCCTGCTCGGGGAGAATTGAATAATAGGAAACACCGGAGGAGGAAGGAGAACGAAAGTGCGGAAGAAATGAACGACACACACAGGCGACGACGACTTGAAGAAGAGAAATGGGAAGAAAGAAACAAGATTCCCTTTCGCCTTCGCGGTGGGAGGTGGGAATGGGCCGGCTTAAATCGGGGGAGCATGACGATCTCCAGTGTCCCTTGTCTGACGGGACCAAAGGACCCAAAAGGGGAGGGGGGGTGTGGGTGAGGTCTCGAAACAAGACTAGTTAATCTTCCCTGCTTCTCATGGTGGGGATGACGCTCGGGGCCAGGTACGTCCGAATAATCCTAGTGGTGGTAGCAATGCCATGGCTTTCGGTTCTGATGCAGCGGTTGAAGGAAAGCAGGGGAGCCGATGTTCCATGCGGCGTATCGTGGGTGTGAGTGAGTGAGAGTGTGTGTGTGAAGGGACGAAGTGACGTTGGGAGGTACTTCGTACTTGGTCGTCAAGGGTGACTTGGGGCGTGGATGCCGAGGCGGGATCGAGGTACTCCGAGAGGTACCACGGCCCAGTTGTGTTTCTTCGCGGTTCATCATTGGTGAACTTTAAGTTACGCCCCCTTCTTTCGGAGCTCTCGACGACCCCGATGGACAGAGCCGCCCTCCCGCTTACTGAAGGGGGCCAGATTCCAGACCGTCGCCGTAGCCCTCAATGCTGCAGGGTCAGACTTAAGCCTCTAAAAAAAGGTACGAGGTCGTTGTAAGGCTTGCGAGGGCTGGGCACGGGGTTGCTCTGACAAGAATCGTCTCGGATCGTGTTTAGCATTTTGGGTGCCCTTGTACAATTGCCTAATGAGGCAATCGCTCAGACTTTGACTTCACCAAGCTTCCTTGCTCTTAAAAGTAATCCTTGGGTACAAAATGCAACGAGAGGGAGATTACTATACACTGCACAGCGACTCTATTTTCTCCGCCATGACCCTTACCCTTCAGCATCGACAAGAGCCAAGCGTCTTAGTGCATGGTTTTCGCTTACATTGCAATCTCGCTTTTCGTTCTCTCCACTCCATATTCCTGATGCGAATAGGAGGAGGACTCCTGTCAGATTTTCTGTGGAAAAAGGCAGCGGTTCTGAATGCTCATCTCCCTGATCCCACGGGCGAGTAGCGAATAGTGGACAGTGAACAGAGGATTAAACTTTTCGTCCATCCCGGCATTGGATCTTGCAGCAGAGCCGTTCCTTAGTCTCCACAACTTTAAACATTCGGAGCTCGGAACTTCCCCTGCCACCGCCCCTGAAGAACCTGAAGCAAAGGGGTAGCGTGCACAGTGTTTATATCGTGCAGAAGTTTTATTCGGGTGCATTTTATGGCTGGAAATGCACAGTGCGTACACATGGCCCCAAGTACCTCGACAACATCTCAAACACAGAGCACTGGCATGAAACAAGCAGTGGCGGCAAGGATCTGGTTGCTTTCCATTCTCAAATCCGCCAGCCTTCTGAGCCTCCCAAAAAAAAAACTTACAAACCATCGCTCTCATCAATCTTGATTTCGTCTGTTTAATTCCAAGGTTGCTCGCTTCCGTGGCGGCATCACTTCAGTTGCGTGTCTCCGCCCCACAAACATCCCTACACTTGTCCTTGGATATCCCCTATCAGCAACTTTGAAGTGTTTGGGGACTTCTTGAAAGGAGTCGGCGGTGGGGCTCAATCCATTCCGTCCTTGATCTGAGCCACCGATATATTGCGTGCTCACTCATTCGGGGATTATTCCAAGTGATTCCCCAATACGGGCTTCCCAAAGATTCCATTCGACCAGGTCGCGACATGGGATGCCAAGCTTTTTGATTCCCACCGTCGAAACTTATTGATTGGTTTTGGACGCTCTTGGCAGATTTAAGCTCGTAGCGACAATTTGATTTCGAGATTCCTCGCTTCGAAAGACCCTTGAGTGAGAGAGGAAGGAACTGGACAGATCAAGGCCTACAATTCCTTAATTGAGAGATTGTCCCCTTCAATCTTTCTACTGTAGTCAACCATACAGCCCATGCCAAACGTTAATGAGGCAGTTCCTATCTACAACTAGCTTGAGCATACGTATGCTCGATTCCGTGAATACCGAGGAGCCAGAATAGATGCGCCGAGTTCCCGACGCCGCCTCCCTGACCCATGCCGAGCTTATCGAGATGAGGGGAGTGATGCATCCCAACTATGTAGTACTGGGGAAACTTGGAAGGTTTTAAGAAACAGTGGCTAGGCCAATCGGCCTCCAGGACTTTAATAGATCAGTGCCAAAGGGTTGAGAGTGTCAAGCTCCTTCTTTCGAGGGATAGCCCTCCCTCCATTGCGAGGTCCCTGCACCTTCAGGAAGCAGAATCCTTGCGCCCTAGCACGTGGATTCAAGGCCGCCAGTGTCTCTAAAAATCTAGGCAAGTTTTCACTCCACATCGCAGATAACGACCTGGGCAAGTGTAGTTTACGTGGTGTACAGTAATACCGTTGCACCGTAGAATTTAGCCTCAACGTTACCTTGGTGGCGAACGGGATTATCCCTCCCATCCTCAGACTGGAAAGGCGCTTTTCCGCCAATGCTTTGGAACAGATCTCGTTACAGAATTTGAGCTTCCCTGTCGATCACTTACACTGCCAAGGTGTACTGCCACCTCCGAGCTTGACAACCAGCGGGCAGCCCCCACAGACGAACTCTCCTGCCATCTTGACCAAACTACGGACTTTTGACATCCCGTGTCCTTTGGCATTTCATACCCTGTCATCCCGTGGATTCTTTCCTCTTCTGCTGGCCTTCGTATAGTCCTGTGTAGTATCCTGCGTAATACCAAGACATCAAGAGTCTCTTAAGTCCTTCGTCTTGCACTAAGCCACCATTACGGATCCCCCCTCCAGTTAGTAAAAATAGCGAAGAAGAAGACCAGAGAAGAGACGAAAAAACCGCCCAAGGGGATAAAACTCGCACTGACCTGAGCCCAGCAGACCTGGCGGAGCAGAAATCGCCGGTTGTGATGATACTTCCTCAGCAACGCGGGCATGTTGCTCCGAAACAACTGCCTGTAGAGACAAGTATGATCATTTAGCTCTTCGTTCACGTAAACTGCCTGAAAGAAAATACCAAGCTTTTTTGATCGACTCGGATCTGCTCAAGGTATCCTCCGGACGGGTAGCAGCAATGCAAGGAAAGGGAGAGGGAGACAGTGAACAGCAGCCTTACTTACATCTGAGCGATCATTCCCCGTTTCACTCTCGATGGTAGTTGGTTTTGCGGCGCCTATCTCAGCCTGCGCATGTGTCGCTTCCGTCGGCGCACGAGTCCTAACGTAGATCACTCTATCTCAGATTCGGTGTTCCCTTTTCAACATCGATTGTGTTCTATGTGGGACCCCTCTGACGACCGGGCTCATGCCTTAATGGGGACGCGCGGCTACTGTCATGAAGATTTGGGATGCTCACTCTGTTCGGATCTCTTCTTCCTCTTCTCCCCCTTCTATTTCCTCCTCTGGTCGGAGGCCCGTGACGTGTATGCTGTGGTATTTCTAGATGGGAGCCTGTCAACTACGAATTCTCTCTGGCTTGTTGTCTGATCTGAACATCTGGGCTTTTGAGATTACCTTGTACTCCGCCAACGCCTCATTCCATGAATCCACGAGCATGGAGTCATCCCATATGTCGTCATGGCTGAGTTCTTGGTTTTGGTTCTCCATTGTGAAGGCTTGAAGAAGTTGATGATAATGGTCGTTGCGCCGGTGCCCGGGGAGTGATGGATTGATAAGGAATTGAAATTACGAATGGCGATGAGTTCTCAATTTAAAGCCAACGATGCCGAGTTTCCACGAACCGCAAGCGTTGTTGAAGGGTGCAAGTTTGGCAGATGGTGAGAACTGTTACAAGGGAGGAAGGTCTAGGCTTCCAAACATTAGTAGTGGTGAAGGTGGTGAAGTATGTCACCAATTTCTTCTCGCTTGGTATCAATGATTCCTTATGTGACACAGAGAGGAACCGGACGACGAAATAATCTCAGTCGTTGGTACATATTCAGCTCCATTCAAAACATCTGCTTAATTGATATCTCTTGATGCTGTGTTGGCTTCTTGAGTGAAAGACCCCCCCCGCCGCTCTCTGGCTGGAAGAGACCCCCAGGTGAAAATGTTCTAATCAGAGCAGGGGCTATCGAGAACGCATGATTGGCCCTCAATCTACCCCACCTCTACACCGAGGATTTTGTCCAATGAAAATCTATCGTCAATCTCTGACCGAGCTCACCGCCCTAATTTCACTGGCAGAAAAAGGATTTTTTTTCCTGGTCAAAATTCTTTAGCAGTCTTGTCGGTCCTGTCCCCGCCTCCAAAGCCGAAACCATTTCGAGATACCCCCATAACTCATACAAAATGGCAGTCGAACCCAAGGTCAAGTCCAAAGGTATATTATAGAAGGAGATTAATCTCGTCTTCAAATTTACTAACGATGGAAACAGGCGCTGCCTTGAAGAATGGCAAGTCTAAGCTTGCTGAAGCTAAGAAGCGGAAGGGTAAGAATATCGACAACCTCGTTCTCCCATATGCAACAAACGGCCTAACCTTCTTTTTTTTTCGTCGTTGTAGCTTCCGAGGAAGAGCCTGCTTCGAAATCAAAGAAGTTGAAGGCCGTCAAGGCAGTCGAGAAAGAGAATGCTGGAAAGACGACAGTGCAGGAGAAGCCTTCAAAGAAGAACAAGAAGAAGAGCAAGAAGTCCGAAGAGGTAGCGAACGATTCTGGGAACGACGAGGCCGCTGCCGAATCCGCGCTTGTTGTGCGAGAAAACGCATCCGACGCCGAGGAAGACGACGACAATGCCGGCGACAACGAGGCCGAAGCCCTGGCTGCCGAAATCGACAGTGGTGACGAGCAGGAGGAACTCGACCAGGCGATGGCCCAATTCGAAGAAGGCCAAGACGTCGGCAAGATACCCAAGCTCAGCAAGAAGGAAAGGAAGGCGATAGAGGCTGCCCGAAACGAAAAGCCCGGCATCGTATACGTCGGTCGCATCCCCCACGGCTTTTACGAGCACGAGATGAGGCAGTACTTTTCGCAGTTCGGTCCTATCAACCGGCTGAGGCTGTCGAGGAACAAGAGGACGGGCGCGAGCAAGCACTTTGCCTTTATCGAGTTTGCTGAGGAGACTACGGCCGAGATTGTCGCCAAGACCATGGACAACTACCTCCTTTTTGGCCACATTCTCAAGTGCAAGGTTGTCCCTCTAGAGAGGGTCCACAAGGATCTTTGGATCGGAGCCAATCGCCGATTTAAGAAGGTGCCGTGGAATAAGATGATCGGAAACAAGCTGGACAAGCCCGCGACGCAATCGGCATGGGAGAGGAGAGTCACGAGGGAGCAGAGGAGAAGGACGCTGAAGGCGTTGAAGTTGAAGGAGCTTGGCTACAAGTTCGATGCTCCTACTCTAAAGGCCATTCCTCCACCGGCGGCACAGGACAAGCCTGCTGAGATTGAGGAGGCTGCTGAGGAGGCTGCTGAGAAGGTGGAGAAGACGGAAAAGAAGGAGAAGAAGCAGAAGAAGAAGCCAGCAGAGGTCGAGGAGGCTCCTAAGGCGCTTCCCGAGCCCCCTGCGGGACCCGAGATTGTGGAGGAGCCTGAGAAGAAGTCGGCAACTAAAACGTCCAAGGCCAAGAAAGCGGTAAAAGCAAAGAAAGGAAAGTCAAAGGCGTAGGGATTGATTATTTCATACGTATTATTACACGGGAGTTTAAGTCTAGGTTCATGAATTCGCATATAATCGCACGGCTTCATTTTTGTTTCTCTCTTTTCAGTCTATTACATGTCAGCCCATAGCGAACCCACAACACCTGTAGCAAAATAGGCAAGCCGCGGGATTATAAAGGGTAGTGTCTCTCTACTTCGGTTACGAGTATGAAGAAGCCATAAAAATGGTCTTATTCAAGAGAAAAGCGACCGAAGATGAAAATATGTATAGAGGAGAGGAGAGGAAAAGTGCATGCGACTCGGCGCTTGGGGAAAGAAACTTTATCGTCGCCGTTGCCCAGACTATTCGATGACTAATCATGCCTCGCCAGCCCCAAGCCATGAGAATGAAAACGACGTTTCGAGGAGACGGGATATTGCCAGGATGAACAACTCGAAAGCCCAATCCAGGACGCTAAATGGAAGGCTTGTTAAATGACATAGCTTCAAGCTAAGGTGGCATAAACCGCATTCCGTCTCTACATCGTCGCATTCCTCCCAACCATTGTCTCCTTCGTATTATATACTCTTTGCCTAGTGGTGGGGGGCATCCGACTGCAATTGTACACTTTCTGTCACAAAATCGCAAACTCGCTTACGTAGTCGAACCTCAAGATTCGTGTTCCATATACTTAGACTTGGAGAACAATTGAACACTCCGTGTCTTATTAGTGCGTATCATCCTCAACTGCGTCCGACAAACAAACAAACCCTCCCTCGAACATCGTGAGCCCATACCGGCGACAATTCCAAGAAGAAATTCCCGAGAATCCAGCGAACCCTCCTGATGCCTCTTCCATAACGTCGCCATCCCATTCCACCCACCATGTCACCATCTGCGCCAACTGACCCTACACGATCGGCTGCAACTGGTAGGTTTCCATTCCGATTGGCACCCTCAGATTAACCAGAAAACTGTGTCCTCCATCCAACGTGGCGGGACCAGGAAGAGCCCCCACTCGCATACACTATACGCAGAACAATCACAGTCCCTCACACCCCTCCTTTCGTATTCTCTGCTGTGCATACAGGCCAGCTAAGCTATCTTGGGACTAATGGCCTTATTCTTCGATTGGACCGAACAGGAGCGAAGAAGAAAAGTGGTAAAAAGAAGAAGAATGCGAACAAGCCCAAAGATCCTGTAGTGAATACGGGCAATGGCGATGCACCTGGAGGCAAGGACGAGGGCTCTGAAGTTACTGGGACCCCTGTTCAGGTATGATTCTAGAAGCTTGTTCCGAGAAACTGCCGCCACGGACAGCCTAACGCGGAGGGGCAACCCCAATCTCCACGATTAGGACACCTTTAACGACGAACCAAATCCCGAGGTGACGACGACGGACGAGATAACCTCAACCTCAATACCAGAACCCGAAGAAAAGCCAGCGAGCAACGGCCACACCGTAGCCGCTGAATCTGTCGAACCCGTCAAACCTATCGAGTCGGCGACCCTCGATGCATCCTCGAAGCTAATAGCCATGGGGAATGACAGAGAATCCCTCCACGCGGAGGTCGAGGAATTAAGAAAACAGCTCGAAAACCTGAACAAATCTCATGCCGACGAGATTGAACAGCTCAAGACCGAAGTCGAGGAAGCGAACGCCGCAAAGGAGAACGCCGAAGAGCAATATCAGACATTACTAGAGAGGGTGGAGAAGATAAAATCCACGTTAAGTGATCGTCTAAAGCGCGATAGAGAAGAGTTAGAAGAGAGCAAAGACAGGGTAGACGAGTTGGAAGCGCAAAATGAAGAGCTCAGGAATAGCTCCGCGGCGACAGAAAAGGAGGTTGGGAGGTTAAAGGAGGAGCTGCACGAGGCCGAGCGAGAGCTGACGAGTCTCAGGAGTCGCAATAATCTCTCGGCGCAGAACTGGCTGAAGGAGAAGGAGGAGTTCACCAAGCTTGTGGCACATCTCAAGGAGGAGGTCGACATGACGACAAATGCAATGGGCGAGTGGGAGGTCATTGCCATGGAGGAGAGGTCCGTGAAGGACGGCCTCGAAGAAAAGGTCTCGGAGCTTGAGCGCCAGGTCTCGGCGGTGCAGGATGCCTACTCGAACGCCGTGGCCGAACGAGATTCGCAGTCTAACGCACTTGACAACCTGCAGAGGGCTCTTCAAGAGATCCAAGAGGCGAGGAGAAAGGAGCTCCGAGAGATGGTCGAGCAAGTCCAGACTCTTGAGAAGTCCGTCCAAGAAGCAGATGCGCGGGTACAACAGGCGGAAGAGGAGAAAGCTAAGCTCCGTCATGAGCTCGAGCGATGTATGCCGTTCGAGAAGGAGGTCAAGGAGAAGAACCTCCTTATCGGCAAGCTGCGGCACGAGGCTATTGTCCTCAACGACCACTTGACCAAGGCTCTGAGGTATCTTAAGAAGACAAAGCCTGAGGACAGCGTCGACAGGTATGTTGTTGTTGTTCCTATGATACCACGATCATTCTCTGGTTCATTCTCACTTCGTTTTATCTAACTTGTTCCAGGCAAATCGTCACGAATCACCTCCTCCACTTCCTTACTCTAGATCGCTCAGACCCCAAGCGCTTCCAGATCCTCCAAGTCATGGCCGGTTACCTCAACTGGACAGACGAACAACGAGAACAAGCCGGCCTCGCCCGCCCCGGCACCTCCTCCAGCATTCTCAAACTCCCACTATCCCCCTTCACACGGACGCCTAGCACCGCCTCGCTCAACACTGACTTCATGGCCGAGAACTCGAGCGGAAGGGAATCGCTCGCCGAGCTCTGGGCCGGCTTCCTCGAGAGGAGCGCCGAGGAAGGCGCCGAGGAGCGATCGAGGAAGGATAGCGCATCGAGCGCGGCGACGGCGGGCACGAGGCCTGATGCTAGGGGCTAGAAGACCCGGCGTTTCGCTGGAGGTTGAATGTACGAATGAAGTATGTGTGTGTTAAGAGTTGGCATGCTACAAACTATCTGGTCTATGGGTTCTCAGATACTGCCCGAGGGCTGGCTAGAGGGTTAAAAAGGGGATTCACTTTTGTTCATTTTGATCTTTGTTGTGGGTGATTTTCTTCGTTTCCAAGGGCGTTATGCTATAGGGTACGGACTAATGGTTGTAAGAGAACATTGATTGCATCATATAATCATTATTGCACTTCTCGAGTTGATTCTGTGGGCTGTTTTCTGTTTCATCGAACTCGATTTCCTGAATATCCGAACTAAGGAGACATACTCGTACTCTATACATGTACATCGCCAGCCAACCTGCCATTCAAATGCTTCACGAAACACGGGGAACGCCAACTGCCCAGAAACTCAAGATCTAACCAGAGAGAGAACTTTACACCTACAAACCACCTCAAAACCTAGGGTGGGAGGGAAAAAAAAAAATAGAGCGGAAAAGAAATCATCCAATCTACTTATTCTTTTTCTCCTCCGCCGCCTTCAGATTCGCCGTGATATGCTCAGCATAACTCTCCGCATCCTTCGAAATAGCAGAAACGTTAAGCCTCCCGTTCTCCAGCGCATTATTCACGCTCTCAATAACCTCCCTCTCCTCCATAACCGTCCGCATTAGATTCCCCTCCTGGACCCAATACGCCGCATTCTGGCGCCGCAGCTCGTCATCGCGACTGACGGTATTCATAACGGTCCCCAACGCATTAAGTTTCGCCTTGAGCTTACTCAAAGAGAGGACGACAGCCTCGGCGCGCACGGCGGGGCTAGGGGCGTCGACGAAGGCGCGGTGCGTGGAGGATAGGTACATGAGCCAGCCGAGGAGGCCATCGAGGGCTGCGAGGACGAGGAGGCGGTAGACCCTTGCGCGCCAGTAGAAGAAGTCGATTTCTCCGACGCGCAGGGCGCGCGCGTTCAGTTGGTAGTTGTACGAGTTGACGAGGTAGAGGTCAAGGGCCGCGAGGGCGATAGCGGCCATGGTGGCGGGGCGTCGCCATTTCCCTCCGTAAGTTTGGGAGAGGGGGCGGGATGTGACGAGGGCAATGGCGAAGAGGTTGAAGAGGTGAGGGGCGAGGAGGGAGGGGAGGGCGTAGAAGTAGTAGACCTTGGGGTCTTCGGAGGTGCAGAACGTGCAGCCGGTCAGGACATCGGGCCCGTACTTGAGGTAGAGCAGGCGGGATTCCATGTTTACGAAGCGGGCGCGGAGGGCCTCGTCGGACGGGGTTAGGGTCTCGTTGGGGCGGAGGGTGGAGAGCCTGTTGAAGAGGACGTCTGGGGGGATTTGGAGGCGGGATTGCGTTGCTGTGAAGACATTTTCGGGGGAGAAGACGGGGAGGGTGAGAGCTAGGAGGAGGAGCGCGACACCGAAGAGGACGGTGAGGGCGCGGGAGACGGAAGGTGGGAGGGGTTGGATGGATATGCCTTGTGCGCGGGGGGCGTTTCGGACTTGGCGGTAGTAGGAGATGGCTTTGGGGAGGAGAATGGGTCCGAAGAAGATGACGAGTCCTCGGATGCTGGGGAGAGTGTGCGTGTTAGTGGAGGGTCGCCATTAGTTAGAGGTGTGTTCTCAGAGTTGTTAAAACCCACTTTTCCCAGGTTGAGGAGCCCATGGTTTCGACAGAACAGCGCGGAGCTGATTTTCAACTTGGAGTTGGTTATGGAGAGGATTGGCGCATGAGTTGTTGTGGGATATTGGGTTTCTTGGGGCGTCGGATCTTGAAGGGACAGATTTAAGGCATGGGGATGCAACGCTGGATGACCTCAACGGTGCAGCCTTGGCCTCTGCAGCTTCCAGGCACCGCTTTTAGTCAGCCTGGATTTGGGCGGCTATGCCCCACAACGCCCTAATTGCCAATTTTTAGTGTTATTCCAACGCCGAAACGAAACCCGGCGCTTACATAACAGGCACTCTTCTTAAAACTACAAGAATCGGAAGAAAAATTTCCAAGGTACCACAAACTCAACCCAGAAATCCTCAACACATCCACCATTCAGTCCGAACCAGGACGCTCCAAGATGAGCAACATTGCATAGATCTAAGGCACCTGCCTTCATGAGAATATTCTATAGCAATGCAATAACGGTAGGTCCTTGGATGCAACCGCTCCTACGATATGAGTAGTAGAAACCAATCACCGATTATGGAGTCCGACAACGACCGCTGGCGCTTTCGAAGCTTTGAAGACCCTCCGCAAGGAGCGCAGTGGTCCTTAGAGTCAATAAGATGCCTAGAAAAATCCCAAATACTCTGCCAAGAGTAGTCTCCGTCGTGTTGCAGAGCCTTCGTCAAATGAAGAGCTTTGTGTCAAATTCTACGAGATACATTATTTCATAATGATACAAATTTTTGTTTCCGGCTTCCGGCTTCCAGGTCGCCGCCATACAATTAAAATCAATGCGCTTGGTTTTTTCTTGTTCGTAAACATAATGCCTTCTATCATACCATACAGTCTATAGTTCCTTCTTCTCCTCGCTCTGACCAGCGGTCGGCGTACCCGTCCTTCCGGGCACCTTCACTCCCGCCGCATCCTTGCTCGCTGACGTGGCAACAAGGGCATAGAGAGCCACGAGAGCGTCCGAGACCAGCGTGATAACCACGGTGCAGGCCACCTGCCACGAGAGGATGCTGACGCTACCAAGAGGGGCCTTGGGCAGCGAAAGGAACCATTCGGCGTAGTAAGGGAAGAGGCCTTGCGGGAGCCAGAACATGGGCTCCTTCGCATACCACATGGGCAGCAGGAAATGCGGCGCTTTCGTGAGGAGGAGCCGGGCAATGCTGATGCTGCTGTCGAACTTGGCTTTCGCGGCGGTCATCTCGGCCTCTGTGGAAGAAGAGTCTGTCAGCATCTCCAGCTCTGTGTTCAAGACTTTCAGATTCCTCTCTGCGCCAACGGTTTCTTATGGCACAGGGGGATTTGAATTTCGGCGCGTACTCTTCTTCTCGAGCTGCTCGAGGAGCTTGTCATGCTGCCTCCTCAGCTTCGCCCACTTCGCAAACTGGTCCTGGCTGCTAGTTGCGTTCAACTCGAGTCGCACTTTCAGATACTCTTTCTGGAGCTTTCGGTTCTCGACTACTAGCTTCGACGTCTCAATCGGAAGGCGATTCAGGAGGCCCCATATCTAGAAGAGCAGGGTTAGCGTCGTCTCGGGCTAATGGGAGCTCCATGCCATGCGTGAAGTTGGTGACACGTACTAGGCTGTTGATTGCACCTGCACCGACGGAATTAACAATGTAGATGGATAGCTCGACCGCGAAGATGAGCACGAGTAAATTGGGAGACATGGTGAGCTGTGTGTTCGCCCAGGTTCAGGCGAGTCTGGGGATTAAAAGGACTTTGCTGCTGGTCGTGTGTTCGTTGGTGGTGATGTAGTTGTGGCTTGTGCTAATGAGGTATCCTGATCCCGATTTGAGGGAGCTTGGGTGTCACGTGCGCGATGCCACACCTCAGCTCCTCCGGAACCGCAGCACACCCCAGGATTCATTGATAGCGGGCATCCCAACTACTGCTTCATTCTCACTGTCGCATCCGTAGCAAAGTCCACGTCAAGAAGCCTTTACTACCGACCGAGGTGTTACTATATATTATTAGGATTTTAAGATTTATAAAGAGCCATGATAGATTGAACCTTAACAATTGGGGCAGCAGCCAGAGAGATCATTCATTATGAATTTCCGCGGGAACTGAATTTCGGATCCTGTTGAAATTACAGTATACACTGATTTATATCCCGTAGATAAGCTGGAAATGCTCATTCTTCTTGGGAATAGCCGAAACACTGAGAAAATGAGCGAAAGTACAATGGTAGGTTATGACAAGGAAGTCTTAACGCAACATCATGCCTCCTTCGAGTCCTCCACGTGTTTGGACGTCGTATCTTTTAACCAAAGGAGCAACTTTACATTGTTCTTTGTTAATATCTCTGGACGAATCACGACAGCTGGCGGGAGCCTCCAACATAATGTGCAACGTGGAGGTGCCATCTCATGTCCCATATTCGCCATGGTGAAGAGGAGGGCATAGCACTCCTTTTAAGGAGTAGAATGGTTCCACGGATACCACTGTCGCCATATCTCTCGATTGTGTTGGCGGTTAAATCCGATAATGTATGCGAAACAAATGCAGCAAGATAGAGTATCGAGCTTCCTTTTTCAGCGTCCCTCATGCTCTCTCTTATAAGAGACCCGTCCCCGCCCAGTCTGAGGACAAGCAAGAGAGCAAAGCAAGACTCCTTCTTAACCTCATTTCGAACCTCGTTTGCGTCGGTTTTCGAGGATCGAATCTCGGAATAAGATCCTTTGCAAACACGGGCGTTTGCCTTGCAAGCAGTTACAGTCCTATACCGCGGCTTTACAACATTCGACTTTCCTCCGCTTCTGCCTTTTCACAAAACAAGCCGCCGAGATATACTTAAGAGAGAAGCTCGAAGCTTTCGGAAAAAGTACCCGCACCGAGTCTCAATAAAATGCCCGAGGAAAACAAAACCGAAACCGCCGCGCCTACCAAGCAGGGCGAGGAGAAGGTTGGAGGCTTCGGTTTCACGGTGGGTGGCTACTTTGTTGGAGTAGCCACAGGAAAGAATGCCAATGGGGTCGGCCTGAAGCTCCCTGGTAGCCTCATCGGCGTCGCTATCTTGAAGAAGGAAGGCGGGGAAAATAAGAGCAAATAAGGACATGATGTTCAGAGAGATGTGATGGTGAGAAGTAGATGAAGGGGGAAGCAATGGATTTAGGGGATGGTGGGTTGAATGCACCGCCACACCCCGCATTTCCATGTAGGTAGTCTGGATTGATTTGAAGTTGGGATTGGACTGGACTATGTCCACCACCGCCATCAAGTGTTGAATATTGGATTGGTTAAATTGTCCCTTTAAGCCAGATCAGATTCCATCGTGAGCACATGCACGTCATCTCTCCCTTTTAATACCACCACATTCTTGGCTGTTGGCACATTGATCCAAAGTACAGACCATACATGCTAGTCCCCTGATGAAATAAAACATGACGAGCTAACCGCTGCCACGCAAGGGGTTCCCCAGCTTCATCAACTTTATCATCACCTCACGAGCTTAAAGGACCGTCAAGTGAGACCACCGCGGGTGTCTAACATTCCTTGGAGTTCGATTCTGGCATAGACCAGATGTCCTGTTGAGGATCATGTCCCGCGCGCTGGACAAAGATGTCCTAGAGTCACTACGCAAGGGAGATCCTCGGAGAGTATTTAACGAGATATCGCGAATATTCGATAGTCCAGAAGAGGACGGGGCGCTCCTCGAGATTGAATTTCTCGGAAAGGCACACCCCTTACCTCCGGAGACATTCTTTCTGAGAGACGGGAAAGATGTTGGTATACCAAAACTTCGCCTATTCCAGGCTTTTGCGGCCGCCTACAGGAGTCTGAAAGAGAATCTCACGGGGTGTAGCGAGCATCAGGCTTTGATTACGGAGGAACTACGGAAGGCGACTGTAGTTCTCTTGCTCGCGGACCCGGAACATCTCACGGCCGCCAATTATAGGAAAAGGGCCATCCTTCAGGATCTCGGGGATGGAGAGGACGCTGCTTCGTGCCTCAGACGGGAAAAGTACTTCCTCGACAGCATACTGACTAGCCGGCTCCACCGACACACAAAGTCGCCGACATTATGGAGTCATCGGCGCTGGCTCCTGGACCAGTTCAAGCGACACGGCATCGAGATCGACGCATGTGCCGACCTCCGGCAAGTGGTTTTTGTCTCGGGGGAGCGCCACCCGAGGAACTACTACGCGTGGAGCCACGCACGCTGGCTCCTAACAACTTTCGTTACGAGGGAGGCTGCCGAAGCGACTTTACACGACATGATTACGGATGTTCAAGGCTGGTGCTTGAAACACCACGACGACATCTCGGGCTGGAGCTTTCTCCACTTCCTACTAAGCAGCAGACGCGGGACGAAAACCTCGCAGCAGGACACTGCCTCGGCGGTGTTTGGCTCCGTTATCCGGATGGCCGAGTCATTCAGGTGGCGCAACGAATCCGTTTGGTGGTTTCTTCATGCGTTAGCTGCTGACGACGACGACCTTCTGAGACAGGCAGACTTGTCACTGCTGGAAGATGTTGGCGGCAGGATGTTTAGCTGTTTCGGCTCGGACGAGGCGAGGTTGGCTTGCAAGTGGTTCAAAACATTTGAGGCGAGGAGGAGGTTGGACTGAGGGACCCGCTTTTTCTCCTTCCTTTTCTTTTTCTCCTGTTGGTTTTTCTTTGCCTTCAGGGATGTTTACTTGTTTTGGTCTGGAAACGTTTCAAGTCGACCAATTCTTCTCAAACTAGCGAGCACCGGGCATGTTCTTGACGCCACAGAAACAAGATATAGAAACAATAGATATTTTTGGTCGCCCTTTAGTGTTCTCAGTGGAGTGTCCCGAGCCATCGGTGTCGTAATACTTAGTCAAAACACGGGTTCAATGAATGTGCATTGTACTGACAAGAGTGCTTCTTTCGTATCATATATCAAAAGCGTGGATTTTACCCTGGAAAGGAATGTCATCTACGCCTAAAGACCAGCCCCAAGTAGTTCATCGACGATCTTAACTTCAATGAGCAGGGTCTCGATGTGTAATCTGCCAATTCACTAATTGGTAGCCACCTTCCTTACTCGAGTCGTACTTGTTGACAGAAGGACACTTTGAACCAAACTTGTAGAGTGGACACGGCGTGGAAATAGTCTCTCACTCAAGGCGGAAGAACCACCTTGGTATGGATGCACATGTCATACTCTGTGGACGACTGGAAACTGTTCGTCGACTTGTGGAGAAATATCCGCCGCCATGCAAGCTCGCGTTTCACATCTCGGATTCCTGCTTATGTTCTTTCAATGTGGCTTATCGGGCCTGATGATTGAGCTTGTGGTTAATTCTCATCAACAGTCCAGCGAATCTTGAAGGATCAATAGAGAACATGAGCGACCTCCACCTTGGCACTGCCCCCACTGCAACGTAGTGTACAATTTGCACTTGTGCTCCCGATACTCCCGAGAGATGCATTTGCAATTGGACCTGGACCCGGACTGTCATTCTCGATGGCACTCTTAATGTCTGCGTCTGTGCGAAGCCGAAAGTACGAAAGGACTGTGCTCCTTCATTCATTCACAAATCCCAGGCCAGGGCATTGATCTTGTGGAGCATTGAGGCTTTTTCAGCGCCCAGGGATCAGTCGATGGAGTAATATTACGAAGTCTAGATATTTACTAGTCGCACACTAAACCAGACAGCTGGAGGTCGAACCCCTGAGCATGAGCAACAAGAAAGACTTTCCTGAGCTCCTTGTCCGTGTGACAAGGCGATGAGGCATGGCATAAATTAATACTCCTAGAGACTGTTTGAGTTGGTGTCTTATACCGGGCCGGTGAGGACAGGTGTGCCATGCAAGCTTATCGAAATATCCAATGTCGTTGGGTCCTCGAGCCTCGTATTCCTCGATCAATAATCGCTGATGAGCACCACCTGCCGCCACGAAAAGCCAAGTGTGTAGTGCTGACCACCAGTGGAAATTTGGGTCGACATAAGGTCTTAGACGGTGCGAGTCCCCGACTCTCGGAGTTTGAGCTTGCAGACGCCCGTTCTGGAAGATGGTGTGCAGTGTAAGAGGTTCCCCTCGGTCTACGAACTCGGTTTGTGGAGTATGCGGATGCGTACATCTGGGAGTGTACGAAATACAGAGTGGAATGTCAATCTTTCCATCTTTGAACCTGGGAGCTGCTCCACTGCTCGAGCGACCAAAGTCGACGGTATTATGATCAATGATCATCCAAAGCCTAGCGTTTGCCTCGAACCGGTGGGGTGCAATAAGTGATAGATCTTGATGGTTTGGCTATACCTTTCTAAGACCCAAGCACTAATTTTGCGAAGGGCTCTTGAGTTGGAGTGGCGGTTTGAGATCGAGGCTAACAAGGCAGGGTCCAAGGCGAGGTGACCTGGACGTGGTGGGGGATGCCTGACTCAGGGGGAAGAGCAAAGGCGGTGATCTATTGGGCTGTGGTCCATGTGGTATTGGGTCTGAGATGAGGCCGGTCTTATCAGTTAGCTAACAGGGACAGAGGACAAGATATGACCACTGCCCCGGAAGATTAAGCACTGGGTGCTACCCCAATCTTGAATGTGCCAAGTTATGGTGGACAGAAGCCGATCACGACGATCTGACACTCGGACATGGCTTGGATGTGATGCTGAAATGTTGGGGAATGAATTAAACTCGCAAACTATCTTGATTACGCCGTATACTAATCAAACCCGGTGACAAACAGCACAGGGTTCACGTTCCTGGATTCGACATTCTGAACACACATTTTATGGCTGGTTCCTCTAGAAACAATTGACCAATGGTGGCCTCAGCCAAGACGACAGGGTTAGCTTATTTAATTAGCAGCAGATCCTTGCCATCCTCGCTCAAGATAAAAAGGGGAGAGCATGCAAATCGCCAATGACGCGAGACCTCGAACTACTTCTCACGTGGAGACAGCGCCGCGGTCTTTCCGGCAGGCGGCCAATCAGGGCAGTGGAATCTACAGCTGGAGGGTACCTCGAAAGTCTCGGCTGGGCATGTCGTCGTCCCATTTCGTCATGGTCTGAGCCGGGGTGGGCCAGGTGGGACCAAAGATAATAAAATGCAGCTTCCGAAAGGGTTCGTAGCAGCAGGCCTTGGGTGGCATCAAATGGCCAGTAAACGAGAAAATGAGGAAAACGAGGTTGGAGAAATGCTAGGGAAATCTAATGGCGCCGCCAAGCGATTGGACCACATGCCCCGTCTCCTCGGCTTCTGCGGACTTCTCTTCGACCCCGGGTTCTTAACTTTGTACTATATGTAGTGTATAGTGCTCCGACGAGGATATTATGGATTGCGCGGTACACTAAAAACCTCGTACGGCTGGTAATACAAAACCGCGAAACTGAAAGCGCGGAAGGGTCCGACGAGGTGGTCTGCAAAACGACATCTTGATGCTTGATTAAGCCAGGGCTCACCATGACTGAGCACTTCATCAAATTTAAGCCAAAAAAAATATCCAGGTCCCCTGCTATGGGGTCATCTCAATGTACACGACCTTAGTACAAAGCTATGGTTCAAAGTAACTCTCCACATTCTGTCTGTGCCAGGACACTTTTGTCAAGGTGCCTCTGAGTGTCATTCTCCACAATGCAGTACTTCGTCATGTCTTCTCGAGGACCAACATACGAGGCGTGGAGTACCTTGTCAACTGACCCCGGCCCGAGATACGACATGGCAGCCATTGTACGTTATACCTACAAAATCTGCTTTGCAGCGCGCAATACGAGGTACAAGATACTTTCATGTATCCACTTTCCAACAGAACATGACCTGTGGTCTTGGGAATTTTGATGTGCAGGATTACTGTGGTATACTTCAATGTTCGTATGCACTGCACGCCTCCACGCGCCGCCTGTGCCTCTTGACCGGGCAGACTGACATACTATGTACGAAGTAGTCCCCATTGTACCCTGATTATTATTATATGATACTTCGGAGAGAAGCCAACTTTCTCCTCTACTACCTCTTATCCCCTCCCCCCTCTCACTCCCCTTCTTACCCTCTTTTAACGACGTCGTTGTTGTCGTCGTCGTCGTCGTCGCCGCTGCATTTCGCCGCCGCCGTCGTCAACGCTCCACTCACTCTCCACGCCTTCCTCCGTGGCGTCTGTCTTGCGCCGTAAGGTCCCACGGCCCCGTACCGTACCAAGACTTCTATCTCCTTTTCTTCACTCGCCTCCTTGAGCGTGCATCTCTTGATACACTAGTTTCCGCCTCGTCTCTTCATGAACCAGTTTTGGCTTGTTTTCTCGGTCCCCGTTCTTCCGGTACATCGCATAATCTCGTAATAGCCTCGCAATACTTCGATCCTTGAGCCGAATGGAGTCTCGCTCGTTCACCCGCCCTCTATAAATCCCCCGTCCGCAGTGTTCCTCCCCCGCCGTCACCCACTCTACGCTTCTTGGTAGTCAAAGCATTGTCTTCCAAGTTGTGGCCGGTCCCGAACATACGAACATCGACATATCCCTCTTCTCCAGGGCTGGGCGTACAAACCGAACTCTTCGCTTCTCTGTATCGATTTTTTTTTTCGTCTCATTTTGCTTGTGTTCTGTTCAGCTTGACGCTCTTCCTAATCGCCTTTTACATTACGCATCACCACGACAAACTGCAGGACCAGTACCAGACAGTGAACCTACAGAGTAGTCCATACTTGCTTAATTGGAAGTTGTGGCTGGTTTTCCTTGCTAGGGATTCTCTCTCTCACGTTGCCAGATGCCCACCATCTAACAGCTAGCACACACCTCTGGGGAGCGCTTTTGGCTGGGTTTTCACCCACCTCTAGAACCAACTTTGTGAGCTGTAATCCTGGCAAACAAGTATGAAGATTTTTGTTGTCTTTGTCCAGCTCTTGCTATGGGCCGTATCCACAAATGCGCTGTTTATCTGGGAGCCATGCCGAGTCGATGGTAGCTGTGGGGACGAAGCCGAGGCCGGAAAACGATCAACAGTCGATTCTGGAGACGAGGTGAAGAGGTCGCCTGTTACCGCTGGCATTCATCGGGTAACCGAAAGAAAGGTATGAAGCTTGACTCCACAGGATCGAGGCACTTCGAAACTGACATTCTTTTCCCCATAGGTCGAGGATGCAACCGAGGAGGATGTTCTTCGTGAGGCCCAGTGGCTGTCGAGAAAATATGTCCGACACCGACCGACTCGGCTCCCGGCACGGGTAGCCAACAAGCGAGACAACCAGTACGCCGTCGTGGAACCGAAGAAGCCCGAACTTTCGAACGCCGTCGGTATCTACCAGGATGGGAAAGATTATGCGTACTTCGTCAAGGTCCAGCTAGGCTCGACGAAGGAGCCCATGTACATGCTTCTCGACACGGGTGCGGGTACGACCTGGGTCATGGGCTCGGATTGCACGGCGGACCCCTGCACGTTGCACGATACCTTCGACCTGTCCAAGTCAACCACGGCAAAGGGCCTCGACTCGAATTTCTCCGTCAACTACGGCTCTGGATCCGTAACCGGCCCCAGCGTCGAGGATTCGATCCACCTCGGCGACTTCGATATCACCATGAAGTTCGGCGTTGCTGATCACACGTCCGATGATTTTAAGCATTTTCCTTTTGACGGCATTCTCGGCATGTCCATGACAGAGACGAAGACGGAGACATTTGCTGTCAAGCTCAAGGAATCGGGGAAGCTCAAGTCGAACGTATTTTCCGTCTACCTGAACCGCGGATCCTCCGGACAGAACGAGGGCGAGCTCACTTTGGGTGGAATAAATGAGAAGAAATACACCGGCGAAATCAGTTACACCAACGTTCCACAGAAGACCACGACCGATTGGGCAATCCCGCTCGACGACCTGGGCGCTGGCGATAAGACGCTAGGGATCAAGGGCCGCTTGGGCTACATCGACACCGGAACTTCCTTCATTTTCGGACCGCCAGAGGATGCGAAGGCTCTCCACGGTCTCATCCAGGGAGCATCGAGTTCGGATGGCGTGAACTGGAAGGTTCCTTGCGACACAACTCAGTCCATCACGTTTACCTTTTCCGGCAAGAGCTACAATGTACAACCCGCAGATTGGATTAGTGGTCCACCCGAGAATGGCCTGTGTAAGAGCAACATTTACGGTCATGAGGTTGTCCCCAATAGCTGGCTTCTCGGGGCCGTCTTCCTGAAGAACGTCTATGCCGTCTTTGACATGGACCAACTGAAGATTGGTAGGTTTTTGAGCCATCACTTGGTTTAGCCCTTATGCAATATCTCTCTCATGTATGCTAACGCGCGATGGATAGGGTTCGGTTCTCGATCCGCTGAAGCTCCCGCGCCGCCGCCAAGTAGCTCGACCGAAAACAACCAGGCAACGACAGTGTCTCCCGCTTCAGTCTCGACAACAGGCGTACCACCCATGGGTGTAGGCGGTCCCGAGACTTCGCGAGCGGGCGGTTCTTCGGGCGGTGCGGAGGAAGCTGCAGCTACCGCCGAGTCTCCCAACTCATCATCGGAGTCTAGCCAGGCTGGATTACTGTCCTGGCGGTTACCTCACAATTACCTGTGGATGATTGTACTAGCTGTCTCCGCATTCGCTCATGTGCTGTAAGGATCAATTGATGAATCTGTGTATAAAGAGGGAGGATGTGGTACCGGAGAATGGAGTCGTGGAGTATTTGGCTCCTTGTGTTGATAGGTATCTAGCCCAGGCATGGGCGAGGGCACAACGAGGCGCGTACGCCTTTGCATATACAATCGTTATTTTCGACCACGAAAGAGGAGGAAGACAACTACGTTTGCAACATGGCATGGAAGATGACAACACACAGTTTTTAGGCATCTAACGGTATTTTGGCTACATTCGCTTGTTTGGTTTTACTTCGATTCTGTCTGTTTTTGCACATCAAATGATACCCGAAATGGCTGGAGAAGAGAGAAGAGGAAAACTCTTCAGGGTCTGGGACATACATATATACATAAGAGGAGGACAGAGAGAGGTGGGGGATGGAGAGCCCCCCCAGAAGCCTCTCTGGTTTTACAACCTGTACTACCATTGTAATAAGACTAGGATTAGTTGAAAAGAAGGATTAACATTCTGTATTCTCCGTGTTGGATTGGAACATTGGATAGGGACTTCTGTCCCTGTAACGATCGGATCCGGTACGAGGTACGAAGTAGTTCATCATCAATTGATGTCTGCGCCCCCTAAGCTGATCCATTTCCTACAAGTAGAAGATTTCAGGGGGTCAGCGACGAGCTACTAGAGTGGTTGATATTAGGGAACCCTGCTGGCTGCGGCACTAATTCATCCTGGGCAAGTGGTAATAATATCAATCAATCTTGATCTTCGGTCTTCCGGGGGCACGTCGGCCCTGGGTCTGAGGAACTATCTCACCCCGAAGCTCCGGGAGGCCGAGTAATCTTGGGTTAGGAAAAGGAAGCTGAAGAGTGTTCGGCATCTAGACATATGCATTTCCGTAAAAATCATGTCGGTGGCGGAGATTGGTGACCACCGAAGGAGACTTGAATCAGCTCTGGGGAGAGAATTGAGGAGAGGCTATCAAGTACCAAGTACAAGAATCGCGGCGGTATTCATCTTGAGCACAGCTTACAGTATGATTTTGGACGTATAAAGAGCATAGCATGAGGCATTGATAAGAGCACATCCAGTACATAGGTATAAGCTCAGATAGTGCATGTGCTCTCCAAATTTCCACGCGGCTTGGGAATGCGAGTTTGCGAGATACGCGGGATTCCGCCTAGCGCAACGTGCTGAGGGCGAGGTACCTCGATGAGGCAGCAACGCTGGAACTTTAAAATTCACTGGCGCTGAAGCTGTAACATTTTAAACCATAATTCGCCCCTGATTCGGCATCTTCCGTCACTTCCGCACCCCCCGTCTGGCACCCGTCCGCGTTCAGTGTTTCTTCTTTCAACGACACATTGTTACATTGCTCAACCCGTCAGCCATTTTGATTCTGGTGAATTTTCCCGTGTGATAATACATACGATCCTGGCCCCCAGTCAACTCTTCTCTTTTCCTTTTTGTTTCCGACTTACCCTACTACCGATAGAAAAACCGACGAACTACAGTTTACCTTCACCAAGCTCGAAACGGAACACAGGACCGTCACTCCTGTGCGCAAAATGCCAGCGTAGCCCACCACAATGGCCAAGGCCAGGACCGACGGAGCCCCCAGGCGCGAGGACGGCTCAACCCCTACCACAACGACAGCACACGAAGAGGAGACGAGCCTTCTCGCCCCCCGAACATCCTACTCGGACGATGAGCTCGACTTCCCCCCAGGCGCGAACAACCATGGGCTCGCCGCGCCCGCGCCCAACGGCGACTTGATGAAGCCGCCAGCCAACAAGCCATCCCCCAGATTACAGGCGCGGATACCGTCTCCGGTGCTGGTGACGTCGCCGCGGACGCCGCGCAGCGCGAATCGAGTGCGGTTCGACCTGACGCCCTCGGTGTTGGAGCCGCCTCGTGACTATACCATCCGGGAGTCGACGGACGACGAACGGGGCTCCTCCTTCGAGGTTCTCGATGGTTGCGATAGCGACGATGATGACAGCGGCGACGATACGAGAAGCAGTCGTAACTCTCAAACGCGGAGACCGTTGCTCACAGATATCGAGGCGCCGTCGGTAACGGTAGCCAACGGGCCCTGGGGCGACGGCGACGTTCACACATGGGCCGAAGAAGAGCGCCGACGGCCGAAATCGGGCCTGCGGTCTGCCTTCATGAACATGGCCAACTCCATCATAGGCGCAGGCATCATCGGCCAGCCCTACGCGTTACGGCAGGCGGGGCTCGTGGCGGGCATCGCGCTGCTGGTGGGGTTGACGATCGCGGTGGACTGGACGATACGGCTCATCGTCGTGAACAGCAAGCTCAGCGGCGCGAACAGCTTCCAGGGAACGGTGCAGCACTGTTTCGGTAGACCGGGGTTGATCGCCATATCGGTGGCGCAGTGGGCGTTTGCGTTCGGGGGCATGGTGGCGTTCGGGGTGATTGTGGGGGATACGATTCCGCATGTGCTGCAGGCGATTTGGCCTTCGTTGGGGGAGATGCCGGTGTTTGGGTTGTTGGCGGATAGGAGGGTTGTGATTGCTGTGTTTGTGCTGGGGATCAGTTATCCCCTGACTCTGTATCGAGATATTGCAAAGGTGAGTCTGAGCGGGAGGAAGGGGAAAAGGGGGGGAAGGCGGGGTTTTAGATTTGGTGATGCTGTTGAATGTGGACTTTGGAGCTCGGTTGGCTAACACGACGACTCGGTAGCTCGCGAAAGCTAGCACGCTAGCACTCGTCAGTATGGCAGTGATTATAGTCACTGTCGTGGTGCAAGGTTTCCTCGTCCCGAAGGAGGAGAGAGGGACCATCACCAAGCAACACCTATTTATAAACGACGGCATCTTCCAGGCTATCGGCGTTATATCATTCGGTAAGAACAGGAGACAGTTTTTGTCTTTCTTTCTTCTCTCTCACTAACACAGATCGATCTCCCCAGCTTTCGTATGTCATCATAATTCCCTCCTAATCTACGGCTCCCTCAAAACGCCGACCATCGACCGCTTCTCCCGCGTAACGCACTACTCCACCGGCATCTCCATGCTCGCCTGCCTCGTCCTCGCCCTCTCCGGCTTCCTCGTCTTCGGCGACAAAACCCTCGGCAACGTCCTCAACAACTTCTCCCCCGACAACACCATGGTCAACGTCGCCCGTCTCTGCTTCGGGCTCAACATGCTCACCACCCTACCCCTCGAGGCCTTCGTGTGCCGCGAGGTCATGTTCAACTACTTTTTCCCAGGGGAACCGTTCAACATGAACCTCCACCTCATCTTCAGCTCGAGCCTCGTCGTCTCGGCCATGGTGCTGAGCCTCATCACTTGCGACCTCGGCGCCGTGTTCGAGCTCGTGGGGGCGACGAGCGCGTGTGCGTTGGCTTATATACTGCCGCCGCTGTGCTATATTAAGTTGACGGCGAGATCGTGGAAGACGTATGTTGCGTGTGGTGTCGTGGCGTTTGGATGCTTAGTGTTGGTTGTGAGTATTTTTCAGGCGGTGGAGAGGATTGTTAGTGGCGAGGGGGGTCCTGCGCAGTGCATGTAAGAGGAAAAGGTGAACCCAATTCGAGACTTGTTGTTACTGCGAGGCCCTCCTTTTTTGTTATATTACATTCAACTGTTCTTTTGTCATGTTATGGATGGAAACACATTTTGTTTTGTGTCTGTGTTTTTTTCTACAAGTATAGAGAAGAAAAAAAATGGGGTTAAAGTCAAGCAACGGGAAGCATGTCGTATGGAGTCTGATATGGATGGTTTTAGATGGAGGGTTCAGCATGTTTCTTTGAAACCTGGGACGATAATGTGCCTGGCGGTAGCCTTTCTCTTAGCGTAGGATATCAATGTTGTAATATATATGGCACCAGGATCTATGGTATTATCCAGGTCCCTCTCTGAGTGAAAGAGTTAGAGAAGGGACAACGAGAGACGTTATCACGCCGTGTAGACTGTAAGCGAGGTAAGGACAGGATAGCATGACATGTGGGAGTGATAGATGACTAGCCAAGGCTTCTCCAGGCATAACGCCGAGGATCAAGTCTCGAATAGACTCGCGAAGCTTCTCGCGGAAAGGAAAAGAAGCCAAGTGGATCCAACATGGGCCTAGAGTCTAGACAACAACGATAACGAGGCGGACAGGCCCAAAAGTGTAAGAAAAGAAAAAGCTTCCGACGAAGGGAAAGCGGGAACTTAGGGACCCTAGCATGGCAGATGATAGGTCTGTGTGATCAAATAGCAGCGCTATGAGCGGCTCACGATGCGGCCAGTGTGGGTGAAGCAAAGAGGGCGGGGGTGGTTTCTCTCGCCTCGACGCGGTGCTTAGTTTGGATTGGATGGCGGAGCGTTGCTTTCGTGCAGTTCTGATTCCGAACGTCTCAGTTTTCGTATCTATTATCTAAGTCCAATGTTGTTTGCATTTCGCTTTGCCCGGTTTCTGGAGATGGCCGACGTCGTCTAGGGATGTGGTAATGCTAACATATAGAATAGAGAGAGTCTTGAAGAACAAGTAAACTTCAGTTCTCTAGATTAGAAGGGGTCGAATTCGAGAGGAAGGAACGCAGGAGCCCCGCGGAGACATCACGAGCTTCCCCAGAAATTAGAGAACGAGTACGAAGATTTCCAACTGACCGCCTTGAACAAAAAATGTTCCCGACGCAACTCCTCACGTTAAAGGTCAGACCAGTAAACAGAAAAATCCATCATCGTTGGACCACTTTTCCATCTAATCCCCCCCAGTCACAACTTGTAAGCTGAGGTTTCTGCATTCATCAGTTTCGAAAACAAGAACTCTCCATCCAACACCACGTCGATCCATCCCATCCATCCCAACCCCCGCACCCACCCCACCCCCTCCTTCACACACACACTCTCTCTCTTTCCATCATCTGCGTATAAGTTGAAGGGACCTTCCACTCTCCCAGCTTGCCTAGCACTTCTCTCTTTTCTCCTGTCCGTCCCCACCGCCGAATCTCTCTCTTTCATTTTCCAACCCCCAAAAAAGGAACTTCGTTTTCAAAGAAAATTTATTGAAATCCCCAACGACAGTCACCATGCAGGAACTCGTCAACTTCCACACCTCTTGCCCCAAGTGCGGTGCCGCCGCTGGCGGCTCCAAGACTTGCGGTTCTTGCGGCGCCGTATGTTCGCTCTCTACCCTCTCCCTGGCTCTCTTCATTGTTCTCTCATATAACTAACCCGATTCTCTCTCGATTTCTAGACTTGCCCCAACTAAAACCCGTCCTCTTCCATCGCGATTCCTCTTAACGAGCGAGCATAGTCACGTATACACACGCCTGTGTTTGCCTTTTTTGACTTCGGATTTGCCTTGACGTGCATTTCACTCTCTTCCTTCTTTCTTCTATTTTTACCTTTTTATTTCGAGTTGTTCCTGGGGTTATGGCGGGCGGCGGTTACGACGGTCGATGGCGGATACCAAACAATTTGTTGAACGTTCTCTCTTTCTTTCACTTGCATTGATGGGGTTCACGGGGTTCGGGCTGGGGGTTGAGTTGGGTCACATCAAGTTTGATATCAATCACACAGACTGATAGCATCCACGCATTCATAAAACTACGCTGAATATTGCGTCCATGCTCGAGGTTGTCCTGGAACGCGTAGTCCTGTCCCTGTACTGCTTCGTAGTAGCGTCTGTCTATACTTCCCTCCCAACAGTAGCAGTAGTTAGGCTGAGTGCTTAAAGACCGCAGCACATTGATGTTATACCCACAGGTCCCTTGCTTCCCCAGGTGCTTGACTTGATACATAGTCAACATCCTGCAGCATGCACAATGGGGGACCCAGAGACTAAACTATGGCAAATGTCACCGTCACTTGTGCTATATGGACTGCAGCAGCTCTCTCAGCCAACTGGGGGTAAACAACTCTCTCGTAACATTGAGGGGGTGAAAAAAAACAAAAATTCCAAGATTAAGAGAAAAGAAAAGACACGGAAAAATACATGTATGATATAGCCCACGCCTGTGTTTAAAACAAAAAAAGGGGGTGGCCTTCCTCCTCATACGGTACGGTGAACTGCCCTCCAGAGGTACAAGTGTAAAGAAAAAGAACCGAGAAAGCAGGCAGGCTCCCCAACCAGAATGTCCAGAATCCCCAATCCAACTCATCTCCCATTCCTTCTCGCCTCGTCACTCGACCCCCATCGCCCCGATGTCTCTGTCCCAGCCCAGTCTCCGCTCTCCTCTCCTCCTAGTCCTCCACTTACCAACAAGAACATAAAGAGAAAAAAAAATAATCCGGCCGCTCACTTACAAACACGACTCACGCTGATACTCACAACTCACACATGGACACACGAACACGCAACGCAGACATGTACTAGCCCCGTCTTGACGACTACGAGCTTTCCCGTCTCCGTTCGACATCATTCTTGCCGTCTTTCCTTCCCGTATTTACCTCTATCTCGCCTTCTTCGCAGGCTCAAGTGTACAAGTCAGACACACGAACTGAAGAAAAAGAAGGGACATAGAGATCAATCAGAAGTCAGGAAACAATCTTGCTGTTGCCAATCGCCGAAGGTATAAAAAATTGTGACACCCTATTGCTTCATCTTCTCCATCACGCTGTGGGGGGGCTGTAAGGGAAGGAAACCAAACGTAAAAAAAAGGAATAAAGCCAATAAATCCTCGCTGAAGAAAAAGAGAAAAGCGGAAAAAAGAACTAGTCTCCCTCCCCTAGCACCAGGGTCAAGGACAATGCGCTAACCGGTGAAGGTGCCGTTGGGTGCTGCCAGACAATGTCGACACTTCCACTTCTGGAAGCCAAGAGTCGCCTCGACGAAGACCCACGAGCTCCCTCACGGGTGCATCATTTGCCTTCACCCAAGTGGCAGTACTTGTCCCCAACCGTCGTGATGAGAGCATGCCGAGAAAAAGCGAAAAGAGGCGACCGCATCATTATGTTGATTAGATGTCGTATACAGAGCTGGGGGGCCGCTCGTGGAATGCTTTCCGAGTGAGAGTTTGTTTACAAGATCAAGCACTTCTTGTGCGACTTGTTGGACTTGCGAGAGAGGAGAGCCGCGCGGGTGGCGTGCTCGAACACCTCCCGGACACCCTCGCCGGTCCTAGCAGAGCACTCGAGATACTTGTAGGCGCCAATCTTCTTTCGAACCTCCTCACCCTAAATGTTCCAAGGGTGTTAGCAATTTCACCACAGAGGCCATGGCTCACGGCATCTAGCCACAAGTCGTTTCACCAGCGCGTGAGCCGGGCTTAAATTCTCATTGCTTACCTCTTCAGGAGAGACGGGTTTCTGGCTCGTCTTACGAAGCTCCTCAATCGTCTTGGGGTCGTATCGAAGATCCTTCTTGCAGCCGACAAGGATGATGGGGAGGCCTTGGCAGAAATGAAGAACTTCGGAAATCCACTACAAAGCGAGTTTGATAACCGTTAGCATACTGGGCTTTGTTCTTCCCCCTGTTTCTTTGTCGACTCGGCAGCCACACCACGAGTCCGAGTCCAAGGGAAATCCCCCCGCATTCATCAGTTGACTGTTATCAGTGCAACATACCTTCTCCTGGACGTTGTCGAGTGAGTCGGGCGAGTCGACGGCGAAGCAGATGAGGATCACGTGGGAGTCGGGGTAGGATAGAGGGCGTAGACGATCGTAGTCTTCTTGACCAGCCGTATCCCAAAGGGCTAGCTCGACGTGCTTGCCATCGACCTCAACGTCGGCGACATAGTTCTCAAAGACGGTGGGCACATAGACCTAGCAACCCGAGTGCTGTTAGTCACTTGTTGTTTGAATAAGGGGCACGCAGAATTTTTTTTCTGCCGAAGTTGAGATTCTGCAGCAGCGTTGTAGCTGTAATGGACAGCGAAAATTCACGGGCAATTCGAGATGTGACTGTCGATCTGAGGGCAACGGTAAATGGGGGGATGACGAGGGACCGATGGATGACGAGTCGGGGTGGATAGCAGTTGATTCCGGCGTGCTACTAAAAGGGGGCTGATAGAATGCAAGATGATGCGTACCTCGGGGAAAGTACCCTTAGAAAAGACACTGATAACGAGTTAGCTTCCCTCTTTCATCAAGACACTGTTGTAAATCTTGCGTCGTTCCGGTATCGTCTGGAAGATGCAAGAATTGATGATGGCGCATGCAAAAATGTAGGGGCTCGTGAAGCAGGCTGGGAATGGGAACGGAATTGAGGGGGTTCCGGGGCCAAGAGAGATTGCTCACATCAACAAGCAGGTTTTACCGCAGGCACCATCGCCAACGATGACGAGTTTTCGGCGGATCTCGGCCATGGTTTAGGTGTGTAGAGAAGTGGTTGAAAAGGATAAGAGAGAGAAATTGAGATGCTCGAGTAGATTGTTTTGGCTCTGGAGGGTGAACGGACAGATTTCGTGGAATGTTGTTGCTCAAAGAGAAGGGGGAGGTTGAAGAAGAGGAGAGTTTGTGGTTGGGGAAGACAGGGAAGGTAGAAGGTAGAAAGTAGTGAGGTGGATGAAGGTGCTGTTTTGAGGATACAAATGCGGAAGTACATTTAGGGGAGGGAGGCAGAAGGTACAAATACAAATACTCGCTGCTGCGCCGGCGACCAACTGTGTCCGGCTGGAGCCTATTCTGCACTGTATTATTGTCCTGGACGCAGTGCTGCCTCAGCAGGAGAGCAGACCCCAGCGCTGGGCAATTGATAGGGGATCGAATGGATCAACTGATTGATGTTGGGTCCATTTGGGGATCCTCCAGCGCCAGGACTGGCTGTGGACTGTGTCGTACAGCCAGCAGCAGTGCACAATAACAACAGCACAGCCTACTGAGCCTAGTGTACGAAGTACACAGGTAGGCCTTCGAAATAAGCTGATTTACTCATACAGTGCATGCAGATACGGGTGGGCTCCAGTGAATGGTGCAGGAGTCCTGGGGCTGATGGGCATAAAACTTGAGGCCTGAGCTGCTGGCGCCACTGATTTCAACGGTCCTAGTTTAGGAGTTGACCACAGGCAGCTCGCACCAATCTCAACTCAATTGATCGGCATTGGCCCAGAGGTACCCGAGCACAGTATGAACTTTTGGACTTCCGAGCTGGGTGGGCTGCGAATCGGGCTTTGGGTGCCTCGGTGACGGAATGATACGCAGCATGCTACAATATCCACACTGTACCGAAAGTACCCATCTGGGCAAAGTACCAGGACACGCAGTCACAGTACGAAATAAGGAGAAACCAAGGCGGTGCTCAACAAGCCAGGCTAGGCCAGGGAAGGACACCACAGGACCCGGCGCAGGGGGTCAGCGCAGAATTGATGGAAGAACAATTTGAAGCGTCTTGCTCACTCACCGTGCTCATGCTCAGTGTTGGCAGGCAGCACAGCTGAATCAACAAATTCCTGCCCTCATCCAAAACCCGCGATTTGTCCATACATGGTCATCGTGGATCATTCTCTAGGACTTCTGGTCAGCTCTTTGGTCTTCCAAATGTCTGGCCCAAGATCAAGCCTGGACATCAATTAGAGAAGATGCATTGAGAGGCCCTCTGGCAGGCAGAGTGACCACCTTGCAGTACTTGGCCCGTGTCTCTTTTGGAGTCCCACTGTCATCAACATTGCAGTGGCAGGCAAACCCACTTCCCGCAGGGATGGCTAGCATCAGCATGGGGCTCTACGACCCAGTTTTGCCTCTCTCAGTCACTCATGGTGTCCCTCAGGAACGGAACCGCCCAGTGTCCATGGAAGAGGAGAGACTGCCTGAAATTGCGGGCACTAAATTGTTCTGTGACCCCTTGAAAGACCTCAGCACATCATCCTGGCCTCGTCAGTAGCCACCATCCCGTATGTATAAGGTACTTCGTATGATGGTCAAGACCAGGCCTGGATTGTGGGCCAGATGGGCAACACATGGAACAGGAATTGTTCCTAGTTGTGGCAGAAAGCTAGTAGCTATCGGAGATGTTAAACATAAACTTATCATCTAATCTCTGGCTACTCTTTCGTCTTCGGCCCCCCTCCGTTGGCCTCTTGTCCACTTTCTCCACCTAGCCTATCTTCAGGTATAAAGTGCCTTGGCCTTCGTACCTAGTGCTTCATGTAGTCTAGGTCAATTGTCCGTCTCGAACGGGAGCCCCGAGACAAGACTGGTGATGCACCCATGAGCCAGTGTGCTGACCGTGTGCACCGAGTGGATCCGGGAGGCAACCAGGCCTCATGGAGTTACTTCATCGTCACGGGAGGAGGAGTTCCATTCGATGACCTCAGAGAATTAATTTAGGCTCTGGGTCCTTTACACCGGACTTGGGGGCTCTGGAAAGACGGGGACTGCCCAGATGTTGGCCGGTATCTACTAGTGTAGATATTAAACCTAGGTTCGCTTCAGCCAGGCTGTGCAACCATCCATTTAGACTTTTGATGCCAATGGACCAGACATCTTTCCAGGACATGACGAAGAAGGCTGAGCAACCGAGCTTAAAGATTCAAAGAAATTGGCTGTCACCCGAAACACAGACCTGATAACATGTCCTACAAGTGTTGCGGCTGACGCGATTTTAGGGGTTGTGTGGCTTGATCTGCAGCATAGAGATGTGAATTGTGTGTCGAAGCAGCCGCCATGATTTCGATGTCGACAGTTCCAACGGCAGCGAGCCAGCCAATATTATCCCTAGAACGAAAGCGGTAATGCGATGCTGCATCTCTCACAGTTGAATCAACCAGCGTCCAGTAGCATTGCGGCGAATGCATTTCCATAGGGCGAGTTCCCAGACTGGGAATGCACTTCGACAGGACGAAGCCAGTCTTACACCGACACCTTGGTTCGACAAGGAAGACTCAATATTCTTACTTTGTGCTCGGCACTCCTGCACCCTCAACCACTGAGATACGACATCAAAATGCGGTATTGGTATTGATTACGCGTATCCCGGGACACAGGGCAACGGATTCGGTCTAATGCGGGGACTGAGACGATGTAGCCTGTGGAGCCACCCCCAAAGTCCTATGCAACTCAACTCGCATCGGGTCGGGTCCTAGGACTTTGTCGGCTCTCCATTGCAACTTGCAGCAAAAGCGTTGCTAGGGTCATGTGCAACCGATCGGGCGGACTCACCGTCTCCTTTGGTTTGTTCCATGGTTGCTCTTTGGAATCGGGGAATGGACCGCCTGGCTGCGCCTGTTGATCCACAAAAATTCCCAGTTAAAGACCTTGGCAGTAATCCAATGGACTCGTATTCTCCTCACGACCTTGATACGACATTACATTTTTACCTTCGATGATGTAAAACCCGAGTGGCTTGCTGCCTCAGCCTTGGTTTTGTTTCCAAGCGGAAGGTTATGCCCAGGGAGGCCAGGTCAGACGGACGACCAGATGTCACCAACACAGACACCATCGAATCCGTTGAAGCCAATCGTCCATACAGTGTGTAAATGGAAGGCAACCCACACTGTACATAGCGAGGTCGAGGAACAAAGGTACAAATTTATATGGTCTGTGCGCGCTTCTTCTCGTTGTTGCGCGCACGTGAGTTGGTAGCTCCGCGATAAGAAATTTTGAAGATTCAACTTGGCGTGATGTGCATCGACAACCGAAGCAGCGTCGGGACGCCATTCTCTACGCCCAACTCCAATTAGCCGATCAACCGACCGTCGAGGCCTTAGAAGAGAGGGGAGGGCCTTGTCCGGGTCCCTGCAGCTGCCTTTCTTACTTCTCGAACCTGACCAATTCCTCTCCAAGATATCCCTTCTTCCAGCGAATCCGCCATGGACAAGCTCGTTCAACGCACCATCAAGGCCGAGAGGCAGGTCACCCGCCGCCTCAAGAACCAAGCCAACAAGGCCTACCGCCGCGAGCTCCGGGACCGTATCCGTCACGCCAAGGCCGGCGTCGAGGACCTCAACAGGAACATCGCCGAAGCGAGGCGCGCCCGCCACGAGCGCTGGGAGCTTGGCCCCATAGCCCCGAACCGGACGGCTAATACCGGACATGGCATTGTGACCGAACATGCTAGGACGGCGAGGCAGACGAACGACTTCCTGCTGCGTCCGTTCGAGCTCGAGGCGAGGTGCGGTTGGGCTGGGGGTGCTAAGTTCTTGAACCTTGCTGTGGGCGATCGGGTTGTGATTACGGAGGGTCATGACAAGGGGAATATTGATACCATTTCGGCGATTAACAAGTCTACTGGGACTGTTGAACTGAAGGAGCATGGAAAAGTAATGACCCACCTACGCCACAAACTCTACCTTCAAGATTAAACACCCAGATCCTAACATCTAACAGCTCGTCGCGAAATCCCCCGAATGGCTCATCGGCAAAAAAGTCAGTGGCGACCAAACCTACCCTGAACGCTCCGTCGCCCCCATGGCCATCCCCATCTCAGCCATCCGCCTCGTGCACCCCATCACCGACGCCGAAACCGGCACGACGCGGGACGTGATCGTCCGCTCCCTACGCCACGCCAACGTCCGCCGCGACCGCCTCACCAAATCGACGGAATGGGATCGCTACGTACCCGGCCTCAACGTCATCATCCCCTGGCCCGAGAAGACCGACCCCGAGGAGGTCCAGCACAAGGTCGACACGGCCCGCAAGGAAGTCTCCGACGTCACTTTTGTGCCCACGCTTTTGCGCCCGCCCATGCCTGAGACTCTCATCAACGAGCTGAGGAACCAGTTCTCGCGCTTCAGGACGCGTCACGAGCCTTGGTACCTTGAGAAGAAGCAGGCTGAGGCTAATGCTATCAAGGAGCAGAGGAAGGCTGTGGATACTATGCTCACGCCTCTCCAGGAGTTTAATAGGCAGCAGAGGGAGATTAGGAAGAGCTTGGGACAACCTGTGCTTACGGAGCAGATGATGGAGAAGATTGGTGCTGTTATTGTGAAGAATCGGACAAGGATTTTGGAGTCGTCGGGTATCTCTACTGTCTCGACGTCTGAGAAGTCAGCGTGATGGAAGCGGTAGGTAGATCTTGAACGTGGAGAGTAAAGGTCGGAGGAGCTATTTATGTGTACGTTTTAAGGAGTGTTGGTGGGAAAGATATTGAGGAGGGAAAAAGATGCTGTATCAAGAATTTGCATATAGACCTGTTCTTGTGCAGCCTCATTAGGCTGTGCAGGTAGTGTATTCTATACAATGTATTCCACGCTCTAGTTTTTTATTTTTTATTTGCTCTTTTCTCCCTGCAAGTCCGTTCTCTTCTGCCGGGTGCCATCCCAGATGTAAGAAAGGACTCGTATGTACGTACGTAGATGACATCGGAGCCGGAAGATCAAGGTTAGTATTTTGAAACTGCTCCTCGATCTTTGTCTCGCGGCTTGACTCTAAGAATGAGATAACTGCGAACTCGTACTAGGAATAGAAATAACTCGGCCCCGTAGGCTCGCTAAACCCCATCTGCCTCTTCTGGAAATTCGTCTTCTTTTGAAGTTTGGAAGCGATCAAGTTGCAAAAGGGGGGTCTTGCGGGATGCGCTCGAGTCTCGGTTGACCACGAGATTTATATGAACAAGGATAGATAACTTTTTAAACTACCATGACGCCCCTTTTTACCAGTCATATTTCCCGTAGCCTACATCTCTTCTCTATCCAAGTAACGTAAGCCTACGAACCTCGGTGATCATAGGAGGCTCTTGCTTCTTCCCCTGACTCTCCAACAAATCATGCAACACAGCATCGGCCCCAGTCGGCCTCAACACTCCCTCCTCGGTCTGCCCATCCGCCTCCTGCTTCTCTTCCTGCGGGAACACCTTCCCGATAGCCACCTTACAAGCCGCCACAACCTCCGCCATTAGAGCCTCCACCGCCCTCGCCCTCTCCTGCATACCCCTCCTCACAAGCGCAAAAACAAGCCTCTCAACCTCGCCCTTAGCACCTTCGACCCGGTCCACTAATCTGCGCACACTGTTTACGAGATACTCTTCCTCGTAGACCGTTCCCTTCCTGCCTCTGGCCCGCTTCTTCTCCTCCCGCCTCCTATTCTTACTCGTCGCGCGGCTCACACCCGTGCCGACCGTGCCCACGCTGCCCGATTTACCGGTATACCTCGTGAACAAGCTGGCGCTCGTGCTGATCCTCGAGCTGGCGGCTACGGAGATGTCGTCGGGGATGTCCTCACCGCCAGCGCGCTCGCCCTCGTAAAACGCTAGGGGATCCTCGGCGGCGCGTTTCCTGAGCTCGAGGATACGGGGGACTTGGGCCTTGAGTTGTGATTTGCAGTCGGCTAGGAATTCGGTGCTGCTGCTGAGGGCCTCTGTTATGCCTGTATCCACAGCCGTCGGGAGGAGTTCGGGCTGTCCCCTACGGACAACTAGGCGCATGGCATCGGCGAAATGGTAGCCCTTGCAAAGACACTTTACGGCCATCTCGAGCGAAGAGAGGTATTCGTCGTGGATAGTGGCAGCAGAGGCATAGTCCTTGGCCTCCCACAATGCTTCCGCCAGATCTGTAGCGAGTTCGTCTAGAGCTGCGCCTGAAATTGGCGGCGTCTGCAGCTGTGAGGTGAAGAGACACTCTCGCCAACAAGTAGCACCGGCTGATCGGTAACAGCTGGTAGCCTTCTGGTAATTCTCCAGTGACTCATACGCCAAGCCAGCTTCCCTGAATTGCGACTTGGACTCTAGATGCGCAGCGTATAACTCCATAATCACATTAGATCGCTCCCGATCATACCGGTATGTCTCTAGAGCCTTCTGGTAAAGGCCATGCTTGACGACATAGTTTTGCAGCTCATCGAACGCGTTAAGCTCCTTGAGATGTAAGAGTGCCTTCTCGCGCCGATTCAAGTAGTCGTCTATAGTGAATCGCCGCCTTAGTTCTGTCATTTCGTGCAAGCTCTGAACGAAGGGCAGGTACTCTCGAGGGTCCTTTTGCGCCTGCTGGGCTACCAACAATGTGAGCTCAAGGTCATATAGGCCAAGAGCATGTTCGTAAAGCCTGTTCACGTCGACTAGGAAGCAAATATGCTCGACCGCCTTCTCCGCAAGGCTTTCGTCTTCTCGCATCAGCCCGGCCACGAGACTCAAGCCGTCCTCAAGAGCAGGTGGCACCTTGCAGACGTGGGCAGTTATCGTATTTTGAAGGTTCGTTGCCTTGCGGCTTTGGAGACCACGCAAAACTGCATCACAGATCCTATTTACTTTGCTGGTGGATTTGTCAGTTTCCTCCGCCCCCTTCTCTTGAGCTGCTTCACCAAAGCCGTCAACAACAGCCGCATTTTGGCGTTTGGTATCTTTGTACATTGTCTGAGTGACATCTTCTTCCCTGATCTCTAGTTAGTATGCGCTGTAGAGTGTAAACAAAAAGACTGTGAATTGAAAACATACTTGAGAGACGAGAGAAAGAGGTCAATATAAGTGACGTCTTCTAGTTGGTCGAGGAACAGGCCAACATTCGAAATGAACTGCGCTGGGCGGTGATCGTAAAGAATATTCATATCAACTCGCTGGGTACGGCAGTAGGAGAACGCCCGCTTATAGTTCTTCTCGTCGATAAGCTTCCTGATTCCGGCGACGACCATGGCTCTAGGGAAGATGGTCTCCACGTTGCCCCTAGGCATTTGCAGAACAAGGCTCATATTGGTGGGGATGGCCGTCACAAGTCGAGCTCCTCGCTCGATACTCCGACACCGCTCGTCCGTTTCGGGATCATCTGCGGGGACCTCCATCGAGTCAACGTCATCGAGGTGAATGAACTTCACCAGATGGTTATTGGTAGTGAAAATTATGTGATTGGGGGTAACCAAGAACGACGTGCAGTTCCTTGCAAGGACCCTGTTACCGGCGTAGAGGAGGCCATTTCTCGTCTGGCCAATAGCAAGGAGGTCCTCACCAACAGTGACGATTCGGCTCCAGGGCAGCAGGCTAGCAAACTTGAGATCCAGTGGCTCGGCGAAGCCTCCAAATACCGCCTGTACACTTCCGCCGCGCCCTTGCACATAACCATTGACCGTAGCTCCGTCCATGTAACTTGACGTCGTTGCCAACAGGACCGAGGCGTCCGCAGCAAGCGGGATCGAGTCGAGCCACTGTACACTGTTGTTTGAAGGATCGATTGCAAACGGTCGTGCAAGAGTGGTGTATGATTGGCTTAGGATACTGAACTCTCCTTCACCGGATTGGAATATCTGTAGGGCAGACTCCTTGCCAAAGGCTTGGTCAGCGTCTGCGATAGAGCCCTTTGCAACTAGACTAGGGGCAACCCTGCGCCCATTTTTCGTCGTCCAAGAGTATACATCGACACCTCGGGTATGCAAAACGGCGATAAGATCGTCGTTATAGCCAAGGGAAACATCTATAGCATTTCCCTCGACGGTGACTTGGAACATGGACATGGGAGGCGGAATGTTCGCTGTCCTGAAAGGGGTGAGGTTGATAGTGCTGCCGTCGATGACGGCGGCCGCGCCGAAGTCATTGGGAGGCGCAAGGGTTCCTTGCGTCGTGGTGAAATTGTACTCGGAGAATAGTACGGTATCTATTGGCATGTGTGAGCGTGATTCCCTGCCTGGGAAGGACTGGAGATCGATACCTTTGATAACGGTTGTAAGCCGGAGCGCCTTCTCGGGGTGCCATGCCAGCCCTACCACCTCAGATGGTGCAAGGGGAACTTCTTGCTTTAGGTACCAGTGATAGTTACCCATCGTCCATAACTGGACAGAATGGGAGAATGTCACGGCCAGGACTGTAGAGTCAGAGTTCCACTCGAGTCTTATCCTCTCACTGGAGGAGCGCAAGCTGAACTGTCCGTGCCTCAAACCATTTCTCTCGAAGAACACAACATCGACACGGTCTGACAGCCTCTGGATACCCGCAATGAGATTTCCCGACGGCCTCCAGCTCAAGGCGCCCTCCAACCCATCGACAGGCTCGCTGACGCTATCGAGCGCCCCCTCACGGCTATAGACACGGATCACTCTCCGTTTGCCATCTTGGATGGAGTTTACTGAGACGTAAGCGCCGTCTCCACGCCAACTGATGGCGGTGGAGTTATCGTCATTTGGACTCAACACTCCTTCATCAACTTTTTCAGGTATCGTGGGGTCCCTCAAGGCTCTTGCTCCGCGTCCTTGGAATTGTGTCTCCTTCTTACCCCATCCCACCGACACATGTTTGGAAATCTTCAGGTCGTCAACCGTCATTTTGGTCTGTGTGATAGGGTCAAAGTCGCGGTCCATGAATAGAACCTCGTCAGCTTTAGTGATTACGAGTAAAAGCTCTTCATCCGGAGACCAGCGAGCAGCAGCGATCCCATCATCTATGCTGCCCACAATCTCGATGTGGGGACCGTCTTCTGGGTCCAGAGACTCGCTCTCCCTCACTATAACGAAGTCCCCATTTGCGAAAATAAGCGAGGTAGTGAGGGTATCGCTAGCATGATGAAGACTTAAAACTCTATCCACCGGTGCATCAGGGCTTGCAACCTGAAGCTCCCAAGACGCGATGGACTTTTCAACTCTTTACGAAGTTAGTTCATGCTAGCTCCGTTATGGTTTTCTCACAGAGCCTTTTTTGGACTTACATTTCTGATCCTTTCTCTCCAAGCCTTACGAGCTCTATGGTAGATCTTCCTTCACTAGGCCCAATCGCGCATATCACTTCGTCTTTGGCGGGGTCCCAGCAGGTGGCTGTAATGGGCCCTGGATGCTCCCACGAGCCATATCGAATGGTACGCAGGTTGCGCATCGCGGGCAAGCAGAAAGAGCTGTAAAACTGTCTTGAGAGTCGGTTGCAATGTAGTGATATTTGAAGCTCTCAATTTACAAGCCTTGAAGTCATTGACAAATCTTGATACTTTTTTTGGATGAGGGCAGAGTCATAGTGGTACAGAAACATTTAGTATCGAGTACAATGATATTCGCTGCATTTAGCATTGTAAATTTGTATATAGTGCTATTTTCATCACTTACACATTGTATCTCATCATCCAACCAATGAGAGTTGTTCAGGATGGATGTGAGGGCAGACCGCCTTCCAAAGTTGGAATGCACAGTAAAAGATGTATATCGACACCGTCTCCAGTCCAGTGAACGGCAAGTGACGCTGAGCCCGGATTTAGTTGGATGCAAAAAATCCTCGGCATCAATGGACTCAATTGCTCTCGGTCCTACCGCATGACGTTACAATGGGCAGGTCAGAGTCGTAGAAGAGATCTCGTGTCCAGCTGAATCCGAGATCGAAAAGGCAATCAAAGCTTAATCCGAACGAAAACTTCACGGATCTGGAGAGGAAAAAAAAATTATTCCTTCTTTTTTTGGGCTCTCCCGACAACTTTGTGGCGTGTTGAATTGCCTCAATCAACCCTCTGCGAAACAATTCGCCTCGTTAGTCTGGTGTGTGTCTGGCGATCAGTTGACCGAGCCGAGTATCTCTCTCCACCTCCGACTGCCGACTAAGACTTTCTCTCTAGCCATCCAACCTCTTATATTCATTCGTCCCCCTTGCCGCGCTCGCCCTGCCAGCTGAACTCCCCCTGTTTCCCCAGAATCTCAAAATATTATCATTACTTCTTGGTTTTAGACTCTTTAGATTTACGGACGCCAGCATGGACGAAGCATTCAATCAACACGCCTCTCGGCGAAAGAACCGATCTTCCACGAATCTCAATCGACTTTCCCTCGCGCCCTTAACCTCTCGATTACCCCTCGAAGACTTGGACGGCAACACCGATGCATATTCTGGACACCGCTCGCAACGTAGCATATCATATATCGAGGGGAAATCAGCCCCAACTACTCCGAGGTTACTCTCCCGCTCCGCGGCTCGGTCCCCAACGCGTGCCCGCATCTCGCAGATATCAGGGACAACCCTCCCCAAGAGCAAATCAGCGACCCACCTAGCACTATCTACCACACAAATCCGAGAACGAGGGGTCGTTTCAGGCACTGGCTCCCCCGTCCGACGCCGGAAAGAAGAACCTTTAATATCAGACCTTGCCGATCGAGACTGGCTCTTCCGAACCGGCGCGTTGATGAGCAGCGAGGCTAGGGAGTTCAAGGGCCAGGCTTGGCTGGTGTCGAGAGCTAGCTCGACCAGTCTCACGCTTCCTCGGGAAGATGAGGATGAGGATCTTTTTGAGCAGCAGCTTGAACGTGAGAGGGAATATGCGAGCCGACACTCCAGTCGCAGGGGCAGTCTTGCCAATCTGAACCATGTTCGGACCTCGGAGAGTAGCCACAACGGCCGGTCGATTAGCCGATCCCAAAGCCGGCCCCACAGCCGATCACACAGCAGACCTGAGAGCCGTGCCCGCATGTTCTCCCCTGTGGACCGGGCCGACTTGGATGAGTACTTCGGTCAAAGCCCAGAAGGCGAAGACTACATCGCCGGGCCCGACTTTATCAATCTTGATGAACGTCTCGAAGCCCTCGGCAAAGAGGCCGCTCAGGATGACGAGGCTGCCGTCCGGAGATTAGTCCGGCGAGGCCAGACCGGCAGGGACTCCTGGCTTGCCAGCGTCCTGGGGTGGTCGCTTTTCGCGGTTGAGGAGGATGACGACGAATCAGAAAGCGACGATGACAATACTGATGCGGACACGGAGGGCAGGCCGACGACGAGCAGCAGGAGCTCTTCAGCGAGACATCTGGATAGACTTACCAAACTCCCTGAGGAACCGATCCCTCCGCCACAAGCCGATGAGGGCGGATGGAATGATGCCGCGTGGCTTTTAAGTGTGGCATCCAAGGTGATACTCTGAGGGAGTATATGACTTAAAAAGTTGTCCTTTTTTCCACACATAAACTGGCGTAAAGGAAGACAGATATCTTGTTTGAGTATTCGCTACATCGAAGTACACGATTGCACATAAGAACGCGCTGGGTTTGCTTCAACCCCGAACAGGCAGACTCTTGAAATGCAGGCGAACCAGTTTCTGCATCCATACCACATTATCACCTAACAAGGGTCTGCGCTAGCAAGACTCCCTGCATCGCCTTGCCCGCCCGAGGTGTCCGCGTAGCTTACGCCATTCTTGGGTCACATCTAGACGCTTTGCCAACGATATCCTCCCGCACTCCAAGCCTGGTTTTCAACGCCTATTGGTACAGGAGGAAGCTTTTCCCCCCGCACCCCCGCGGAGTTGCCTGTGGCAGCATGGGATAGGCCGAGCCGGGCTCACTTTGGGACTACTAATAGCAACCTTCAGATGCGTTGCATGGGAAACAACGGTGTTATTCTAGAAGGAGAGACCTGAGAGTTCTTTAATCGCTTAATATTGAATCGACATGATTCCGAGATATGTGCGCCTGATACTACTTCAATATACGTTTTGTCATGTTGTTCATTATCACACCCGCTTTGTTCGCATGCGGTCATGGTTGCAGGGAAGAGAAGGCCCAGGCTATGTCGATTTAGTAATGAGTTGCATTCGGCTACATTACGCGGACAGAAGTCAGCAAAGAGGAAGGGTTTCTTCTCCTCTCCGATGAATCCTAGCCACTCATATGCCACGAAAGTGCGCATGATGAGTTGGCGACCATCGCTAGGCCCTACAGCACAGATGAGGATTTGCAATCCCCCTGTACATGTCGTTTACGCGAGGGGCACCACCATTCTCGATGCTCGGACTAGTCCTTGGGTGTTCCGAGGTCATACATGGACCCCAAACCTGTTTTAGACGGGCGGGCTTAGAACGCGGTAGCATTGCATACTAGGCGGGAGGGACGAGAATGTGATAGCTCCTTGGCAAATTCCTTGTGGAATTTCTCATGTTCAAGAGGTTAAAAGTGAAGGTTGGGATGAGGGGCGGAAACGGAGGGCCCACATTGGGAGAAAAGGGTTGCTCTCCTGTTGGCCAAGCTTGAATTTGCCAAACATGAATAGAGTCTTGAGGAAGAGAGGTGCCCTTGACCTTGACGGTAAGGCTCGAATGCGGGTTCGTTCGGCGGCTCTGAATATATCACGATGCTCGCAATCCGTCCCCTCTCAGCACGATATCCGAGTCCCGCTCTTGATAGACGGAGCTTGTGTGGCTTCTTTCTTGTGGAGTCTTATCCCCGAAGGATTTAGGTAGACAGCGAGCATGTTGTATTGACGATGGGGTATTTCCTAAGGCTTCTGGGTGACAACTTCTCCTTATTCTGACACGGAGTCTCCTTTGAGCGAGATTTAATGAGCATCTCTGTTCTTAATGTGGGAAATTGGTTTAGTGGCTCTCATTTTCGAGATGACAGCCCTGTCCCGGAAACCTCCCCCAGTCATGAAGTTGGGGCTGTCCAGAAAGGAGCTGATGAGAGAGTTCGGGTTCTCAACGAAACTTGATGTAATTGTTTGATCTGATTGTCATCTGTAATGCGAATGTTAGTCCAGAACATTTGACTTATTCTCCGTTTGACGAATCCCCTACTAACAAAGGGGTGGAAAGGATGGGAGGAAAGCCTGCAAAATGACCGTCTTGGCAAGGGACAGAACCACTAGTTTTAGCGCAAACACCGTGCTGGGTATCGAATAACATCCACGACCAGGGGAGTCGAGGTCTTCAATGTCGTTTAAGATGTGACCGTCGTGAGACTGGTCTCTCCATGCACGATCATCCTGGACTATGTATGGAGGGAAACTAGGACCGCATTAGGGCCGGGTCTAGATAGGAACATTAATCTCATAATGCCCCAGCTAGTCCCTAGCGAAATTTGACAAGCGAGCTGAAAAAAGGACATCCTAAACAGAACCAGGGACTCAATCGACGGAGATGGTAGCTTAGAAGAGAAGCCCCGCCTTCTCCACCTCATCACAATTTCCGCTCCTCCATCGTCCCTACTTCGTACTTGAGAATCAATTGATCTTTCCGAACATGTGTCCAACTAATCTAATTTAATTGAATTCAGAAGTTACGCGGGACATCAGATCTTTCTTCGATGTTCCTTCTGGAAATGGGTACTGCATGGAGAAGGTACCTGCTGTGCCACCACCCGTCTCTACCCATTTTGGCCGGAGTTTTCGCAAACCGGTGAAAGCGTGACTGCTGAGCCTGCGAACTAACGTTACTATGACGTAGTTTGGACCCAGGGAGGGGTAACGTCTTAATAATAACCCGAACCACCCCCTCCAACAGTGACCACACTGACCACTTTGACCCGGACACGGCAAAAAAATCCCGACCAAGTAGGAAGTGCGAAGCACAAGTATAAAAGCGTACCAAGTCAACATTTAAACTCATTTACTGACATTGTACCACGGTGCCGACTTCCTCGAGATCTCTCATCCAGATCTCGGCATCCCGACTGTGTAACTAAACTTAATTTCTGAAGGCACTATACTTTCTGTCATCTCTTCTAGCGATATTGGAAAGTTAATGAAACAAGAATGGTCGCGGCAGAGACCCGGTTCTTATGTTTGGTTTGGGGGCTTCAAGGTTACGTTTTTGTCCCAGATTCCGCTGCCTTGGAACTGGGTTGCAAGCCGGGGGTTGCGCACCGACATTACGATGTTCTCTCTACTCGAGGAAGAATGATTTCCGTAAATGATATTGACAGTAGCTTGGAGGAGGAGCCCTGTCAAAGTACATAGTAGCTCCATAGCACGGCACTCTTCTCGAGAAAGCAACCTCCTTTTGCAGTTGAGGCAATACGGGTTTGTTGGATGCCGATTTATGTAGTTCTTGGACTGCTTCGAAACGACATAGTCTCTGTTATAATACTTACTGCCGCAGTCAATCCCTTGGCGCAAGTCGAAAGCCACCTAACGCCCCCTACCTCGTAGGCTTGGACGCCACTACTTCATAGTACTCACGCGCTATTACTCTCGATACATCTACAGTTGTACTACCAGTTTGAGTTCCATACCAGGGATGCTAGTGCTGGTTGTTGATAGGGCGCTGACACATACGTACGTCCAAAGTATGGACATCACACGACATACGAAGCCAAACAGCGCCGAGAAGCGTGATTTCTCGGCACATATTTCGTACAACAACGAAAGAAGACCATTTGTGCACCGGGGCTAGATTAAAGAAGCCGGTCTGGAGATAGGGGCGGTCGATACGTCAGTAGAGAAGGATAGCGGGGGCCATTCAAATCGTGACGTGGAGTGGTTGTTGACCCTGGTACACTCTGGCGGGGGATCCAACTGCACAGTCCATCACCATCAGCATAATCCTTGGTAATAATATGTTCTTTGTATCCCCCTTGGACAGCCTTGCCCAAATCCAGCGGGATTTGACGCCTTTGGTTGGCATGGGCACGATATCCCTTGATTGCGATATCATTAAGTTCGAAAGGGACGACATCTCCAAACTCGTGGGAAAATGCGAGCCCTTACCTATGGAATTCCGCGGCATAACGATAAACATCGCAATCTCTCGCCGCTCAGGTCGACATCTGGAGTACCACCATGAGTATATCGCCGCCCAAGGCGGATCACCATGTGCCTAGAGATTCGTTGAACTAGGTACATGCATGCTACATGATAGAACGTGGGACGTACTGTTTTGGTAACAACGGGAACGAGTGTCCTAGGGAGCAAGCGCCCTCCAGAGATGCGCTGGGGCTACCGAGCACGCGTGCTTCCGCGATCGTACACGGCCGATGGGAACTCTTGACATCAGGAGAGAAGGAGGTGAGTCAAAAAGTACTCATATCTCACTAGACCACCCATCCGCATGCGCCACTAATGCTGATCGGGACCCATGTCCGTCTCTACGGAGTACGAGGCTTTGGAGATGCGCCGACCGTTGGTGGCATCGCGGATGTGAGACAGGACAGCAATGACCCAGCCACACACTGGCAAAAACCCCCGCGAATCCCAAACGTATGGGCCGATAGACGGAAACAGCACGGGCATCCCAGGGGTCCCTAGCACCTCAAGTTGTCTTCGTTTACTCGTAAATTTAGGAAGGAAGGTAAATGAGTTAGATGGATCAATGTGGATAGAACATAAACTTACCAAGGGGCGAGGCTCGCGACCCATCTCAACGTATTGGGACTTTTTTTTTGGACGTCTTGATCGCCGCTTGGAAGTCTTCAATATGTTGAGATGATTGCTCCAATGGAGCGAGAATCGAGTACATGTACATAGCAAGCAGCACAACATATCTTCTAGCCAAGAGTCTCTTTCATTCGATGGTGGAGTATATGTACTTCATGTACATACTCACAGAAGACTTGATAGACTCGGTCCGTCCTGTCCTTGGATTTGGACCCTGTCACATTCAATATTGACGTCTAAGTCCTGTCAAGTTTGGCAGCTTCGACCCACATCGCAAATTGAACCCGCTCGATGTACTTCGTTCGTGCAGGTCGTCGCGGTAGCAGTTGCCTGCGCTGCTGGGGTCCTTTCGGGTCTAGACGGCCCAGCCAGCGTCTGTGTACTTCTGTGCTTGTACACTACGTATGTACTTGTAGCTGTACTCCGTAGACGGTCTAGATTGATGCCGTCGATGTGTGGAAGGTGTGGGTGGTGCGCTTGGTCGTGTGTGTGAATGTCTCTGCGTATGTGGAAGTCGATGTGGACTTGGATGTGGATGTCTGGGTCGAGGGGTAAAGCGAGGGAGCGCCGCGATTGATCGAAACCAACTCCCGCCAACTTGCAGCCCACCCAGTCAAGGCCACTTTTTCTTCAAGTCTCCTTATAATAGCAACAAGGAGCCCCTCCACCGCCTCCATCTCCTGAAGTCCTGAAATGTGAATTTATTTCCCAGATCCAAGAGACCTTTTGATTCATTTCCTCATTTTCTCTCTTGTCTACAAGTTTGGCGAGAGAAAGCCCCCCCAATCATCCAGCAAGCCTCCCTTGCCTCAACCACGTCGTTGCGGTTGTTTTGCCAGTGTTTAGTGTTTTCTTCGCATAAGCTCAGCTCTTCGTTGCGTCACCACTTCTTATCCCCTAGTGGCCTTTAACCCCGCGCACCAGCTCACGCCCACATCGATTCCCCGCTCTGCTCTACGCTATCTCGTCTTTGCTCTTCGCTCTCTCCGAAGGTCCTGGAGCTAGAGACTTTTACCTGCCCGCTTGTTTTGAAAAGTAAACACTGAACTATCAATCTTTCTACGAAGTATGCGAGGTGCCCTCTGTACCAGCGTCTCTCTCCGCGCCATCACCACCCCTCCTGCTAACCTCTTGTGAAAGGGTAAGCAGAAATATCACGAGACGATATTTGGCCAGGTAAGAGTGATTTTCATTTTATCCAATCCCAGCGGTGTGACCACCATGGCACATCTCCCGGCTTGGCGCTTGATCACATTTTAGGGGTTTAATCTCCTTTTTTGTGCCATCAATGGTGAATTGGATTTGCGTCATTGCCTCTCGCGCCTTGATTGAGCACACGATGGGGCCATCTTCGCGCCTCGTTGTCCTCCCTTGCCAAGTAATTACGCGTTGAGTTTTTTTTATCTTGTATTTACCGTCTAACTTTACTCCCTGCTCTAGAGAAAAGCTAGCCTCTCGGTCCTTTTTTGTTTTCTTTTACGAAAACTTCATCGTCTTCCGAGAACAAGGCTATTGTCGCCTCTTACACGGCCTAACCTTGACCCCGCAACAGCTCCTGTGAGGTCAATAAACCGATCCCCCTCCGAAGTCGAGTATCACAGCCGGACGGTCGATTCGCCTCCTATTATTGTCTTCCCATAGGGCCTATTTATATTTTAATTTTTTTTTATCCTTGAAAATGGCAGCCTCCGAAAACGTGCGTCGCAAAAGCCTGCAATATTATCGTGGGACAAAACATCCCTGAAGCCAACGGGGCGCTGACCAAAAGTATGGGAGCAGGAGCTCAGGACCTTCTTCGGTGACCTCTCGAAGAGCATCGACATCCCGACCTTCGACCAGATCTTGCAGATGGACGATGACCAGGAGAGGGAGTTTAGTCGGACACTCGTTTTCGAGTTCCTCGAGCAGGCTGAAGATACTTTTGGGCGCATACAAAAAAGCCTGTACGTTCACTCCTCTTCGATCCCAGATCCCGCTCGGTATCCTTCCGTAGCGATCTCGACGTACTTTCGCTGTGAGGTACCCGGTTGATGGTCGTATGGCATTTCGGTCCTTGCGACGTAGTGGTGGCCTCGTTATGGCCGCGGTGACGATCTCCATACGGCTTCGTTCGTGGCTAATTTCGAAATGTCCGTGTCACAGAGACGAACAAGACCTTCCAGACCTCTCATCGAAAGGCCACTACCTCAAGGGATCATCGGCGACTTTAGGCCTAATCAAGATCCGAGACAGCTGCGAGAAGATTCAACGATATGGTTTGAAAGAGAACGTGGACGGAACTCCCGAGCCTGACGAGGAACTATGCCTGAAGCGCATCAAGAACACTCTAACGGAACTCCGAGATGATTTCGACGAGATTGCTAAGGCATTGAAGAGGTTTTACAGAGCGGATGAAGAAGACGGGGAGGAGGACGACTCGGAGGAAGAAGATGATGAGGAAGAGGATAAGGCGGAAGAGTCAAAGAATGACAAGGCCCAAGAGCCTGCTTCCACGGAAGGGGCTAAAACCGCAGGTGACGCCGAGCAGGACACAAAAAAGGGTAACGGACCGAAGGCCAGCGCTGATGCAGCCGCAGCTACAGACAAGGAGGATACAGCGAAGGAGGCCGGCGCCAGGTAAAATACCCTCTTGTACCTGTGTGTGCTTTTGTTTCTTCCTTGGAGTTGTGTCATTACACAATGCCGGACTTGGCAGCCTCGACGACGACATGTGTAAAATGAATTGGCCTCCTCCGCTGATTACCGAGGAGGAAAGGAGGGGGAGGTGGCGGGTTGACGTGCCGTTTTTCCCTTTGAATAGACTCCTGGTGGAAACCACGGACTGTTCTTTTAAACCCCTGACTTGCAGACACACGTCGAGTTCTCTCTCATCATGTATCGTTCAACCCTCTTACATCGTCCCTACTGTACCTATGCACAAGTTCCACGGATCATCTGGCTTCTAGACATGGTGTGTGAACGGACGAGGAGCCGACAGTTTGGATACCTCATCGCACATCTTTTACAGAAGGATCGAGGCTGCCTAGGGTCCAAGTTCTCCCACAGATTGGCAGAGGAGAGGAAGTGCATTTTGGAAATTAGCCTAGCTTGTATATTGGAAGTGTAAGAAAATGGGCTAGTGACCAGTTTCCTTTTAAGTAGTAGATATCAAGTTCGCTTCGAGTGGTCCCCAACTCTTTTCTGCTTAACCGGATGTAAGGCTTTGGTCTTGCGACACTTCATGTTGCTTCTTGCGTCTCTGGCATAGTCGGCAGCTTCCCTTGCGGTGTCTACAGGATGATGTTGAGGTCAGTTAATCGCCGGCTCCCCTTCTACTTTGAGAACCCAGAAAGGAAAAGAAAAAAGATAAAAGAGAGGGAAAAAAAAGGGAGAAGGGGGGGGGAGGAGGAGGTTCTCGAGATACAAGAGACGCAAGAGGATAAGAGCGCCAACTTCAATTTTTTGACAATTGGGGATAATTGATAACCGGGGTTCTGTGGGTGTAATACTGAGAGAGTGTATCAAAATGAACAATTGAAGGGGCAAAGGCACAGGAACTTGACGAAAACGGTCGGGATTCAAAAACTTTAGCGAATGCACCTCACCTCGAAGTACATCCACCTCTCATCAATAGCAGGAAGCAACATTGAAGCGTCCTCCGAGTCCAAGCCCGACTAGAATTTTGCCACAATCCAGACATCAATTGGACCTTTTTCACACCCCAAGTTCCAAGCCCGACCTTACAAGCTTCCATAGGGGGACCTTTACGAAGGAAACCGAAATAAACCCAGCATTTTTTTTAAGGGACTTCACATATGATCCGAAGGATGGCAGCCTCTACGCCCAAAAAACCACCCCTCACACACTTCCTCTGCATACCCCTCGTGACGGCCGTCTCGCGAACGCAACTCTCCCTCCGCCTCGCCGAATTCCGAGACGACATCACAAGCCCAAACAGCTTTGCAGTACCCTTGGGCGCTGTCCGGCCCCTGGGAACGCTCCACCTGACGCTCGGCGTGATGAGCCTCAAAGAGGACGGCAAGCTCGAAGAAGCGACGGAACTACTCAAAGGGTTGAAACTAGGGGAGATCCTGGAGTCGGTGCGGGAAGCGGAGAGGGAGAAGAGGAAGACACAGCAACAGCTCACGGTGATGGCCGCGGTTACGGACGGAGTGGAAGTAGTGGCCTCTTCTTCTTCTTCTGCGGTAACGGGATTGACGATTTCGCTTAGGGGATTGCAGACGATGCAGAAGCCGGCGCAGGCGACGGTGTTATATGCGGCGCCGATGGATGAGGCGGGGTTATTGTATCCGTTCTGTGAGAGGGTGAGGGGGGTTTTCAGAGAGGCTGGGCTGGTTGTTGATGACGGGAGGGCGTTGCTTTTGCATGCTACAGTGGTGAATACGATTTACGTCAAGGATAACAACAACGGCAACAGCTCGAGGGGGAATAGGAGAGGGAATGGGAATGGAAGGGGGAGGAGGGCGTTGGCGTTGGATGCTAGGGCTATCTTGGATCGGTATGAGGAGTTTGCTTGGATCGATGGTCATGTGGTTGAGGGGGTTGCGATCTGTAAGATGGGGGCTAAGGAGGTGGATGGGGATGATGGGCAGGCTTATGAGGTTGTTGCGGAGGTTGGGTTCTAGAGGAGGGAGGCGTTGGGGTGGGATGGTCTGAGGGATTGATGCGGATGAGGTGGTGATGGATGGCCTTTGTTAGACTGTGCTGATATGCTTCTGGGTTATGCGGAAGGGATGAAGTAGAGACGGGATATAGTATGGAACCTCAATCCTCTTGACAGGCCATACAAGAGGTAGAACATAACTATTAAACGAGACGGACTCGTTTACTTTGCGGTTGTCAAAGACCATGGAGGGCATCGTACGGCATGCGTCGGGATCTTGCCTCCGCCCGCATTCCCGGGACATCATGATGCGAGGAGCCGTAGTATGGATCGATCGCATTTCTTGGGAACAATGAATCTAGCCTGTCATAATCAAGACTCAAAACATCATGTCACTTATTGTGTGTGGTTGGAAATCAAATGTGCCACTCCACAAGAGGCCGAAATATGGATGCCTATTTTCTGCCCCCGACATGTAAAGCTCGATCAACGGGACCAGGATGGAAGAGGAACTCTTTGTCCCCAGACAACTTTTAAAACAGCACGAAACTGCGCATTAGCGGCGGCAGACTAGAGCAGACGAACCAGTCAATGTGAAGCTGAGCTGCTCACCTTTCCATGTTGTCTACGAAAGTACCCGTATTATGCGCCTCTCAGATGTCAGCGTCAGCTTACAGGGGATGATGTCGCTAACGCCATTCTCGGAAACGCCCCCAACGTCCCCCAATGCCCCGAACTTCCCCGCTGCCCTACAGCGCCTTATGCCCTGGAACCTCCCCTCACCACCAACACCACAGCGGGAGCGGGACCAGGCTCGGACTAAACTGGCGGCGGGGCATCCAGGCATCCACGACGACTTGGACAGCTTCAGCTCCAGCACCTCAAACTACAATCACTCGACAAGACATACAAAAACAGCTGCGCCGACGAGAAAGAGTCCAAATCCCCATCGCGGCCCGAATAAATCGAATCGCCGACCGAATTGGCTCTACCCCGATCAAAAACAACAAGAAGACCAAGCTCCCCTCCTCGACCAGGCTCACCCACCACCAGTACTTGCCCGTTCCGGCCCCTCAATCCTCCCCAGTAATACGAGTCGTCGAGCGCCCCATTCTTCGCACCCGACGACACACAGCGAGGCTTCACCAGCGTCGTTCCCCCGGCCGCGAAGCCACGGCTATGGGAGGACGCACATAGCGGAAGGCATATCGACGCTAGATCGAGACAGACGGCGGGGCGGCGCCGGCGGAGGAAGGGAGAAGGAACAGCGCGCGGCTGGGATGAGCAGTTCGGGTGGCGGAGCGGGGACGGCGGCAGCGGCTGAGAAGAGGAGAAGTCTACATGTTTCCAAGACGGGAGGTTCCAGTTCCGGCGGGGGCTCCGTGGGAGGAGGGTCAAGAGGGAGGAGTGGTAGTGTGGGTAAGGGTGCATTGATTGCGCCGCCGCCTAAGGCTTTCCAAGCAGGGCCGGCGAGTTCGTCATCCTCTGATAGGGCAGAGGATGGACATGGACACGGGCCCGAGGCGGGGTCTTCTGCCGGGTCTGGGAAGGAAGGGAACTCTTCTTCTTCGGGATCGACGCCCACTCCAGTTACTGCGGCGGCCATGGTAGCGGCGCTCAAGGAGAAGGATGAAAAGATTGCCATGCTGCAGAGGGAACTAAGTATCATGGAGACGGAATTCGCCAAGGAGCTGGACAGACTGTCGCAGAACGAGAGCGAGACGGCTACGTTTTGGCAGAACAAGCACAGCGCTCTGAACCAGCAGTTTCTACGCGCCGACACGGAGCTGAGGCTGCTGCGGGCGGAGGTGGAGGTACGGAGGGGCGAGAGGGAGGAGTTGAGGGAAGGGTGGGATATACTGAGGAAGCAGGTAAGGGAAAGGGACGAGGAGATTGCGGGGCTGATGGCGCAGGTGAGGGGGTTGAAGGAGTGGGTTAGCACGAGTACGAGGTCGGATGCGCAGACGACGGATGAAGTGTTTGGGGAGGGGATGGCGAAGTTGGCGAATAGTTTGCAGAATTGGGTTATTGTCAACTTTCGGAAAGCGAAGCTTGGTGGGTGTTCTTCTTTTATGTCCTTCGTTTTCTTTTCTGCCGTCTTCACGATACTTTTATACTAATGGAGTCGAAGTAGATCTTATAAATGCCTCGCCGGAGATGCTGGAGAACCTTCGCAATCTTGTGCCCATGTACGAGGAGCTCGCGCCTGTGGCCAAGGTACATCTATTACAGTCTGTGGTTTCCGGGATACTGGTAGATATGGTGTTTAATGCCTACTATGTTGGTCTCTCGAAGGAGCAAACGGAGCGATTTAGACAGATGGAGGATCTCCTTCGATCCTTTGGTAAGTTTTCCCCACCAAAAGCAGCACTACTAGCTTCACCCTCTGCCCACCCACTCTTTCCAACCAACTATATTGACCCTGCTTTTATGTCCTCAGCCGACTCAGACGCGCCCATAAACCAATGGCGCTCCTCAACCCTCTCCATCCTCCGCCGCGACTCCTCCAAACGCCTCGCCACCGAAACCGAAACCCTCACAGCGGCCGTCATCGCCCGCATCAACACGACCCTCGACGCCCTAACAGACGACTGTTCCACCCCCCAGCGCGACCAGACGCTCCGCAGCCTCGTGCAAAGCTCCGTCGACCTCGCGCGGCTGCTGGCGGTGCAAAAGGCCGAGTTCCGGGTGTGGATGCCGGGCATGGTGGCGCACCAGCGGACGACGTTCGACGGGCGGACGATGGAGGATCTGGGCGGGGAGGAGGACGACGAGGAGGGGCTCTCGGCTCGGGAGATTTGGTGCGTGGCGTTTCCGGGGGTGATTAAGAGGGGGGACGAGAGTGGGGGGCATTTGCAGTTTGAGAATGTTATTGCGAAGGCAAGGGTTTTGTGTAGGCCGGAGGAGTGAGGGTTTTTTTGGTGAGGGGGGATGGAGTTGGTGTGTTGTTGATAGACTTGGTTTATGAGGATATGAACTACTTGGGTTTCTTTTATTCCATTTTATATTATCTATCACTTTTTGGGTGTTTATGGTTTATGAAAGATGATTCTGGGAAAATGTTTCACGATGCGGCCCCAGGGAAGGAGCCTTTTGATATCAATCTATCACGACTCTCCTCGTCCTAAGGAGCAGGCGGACCGTAGATGGGTCGCCCCAGTACCAATTCTTCCTCTTTTTTTGTTGCTTTTTATTAGTATTTGATATGAAAAATGGAAAAGGTCAAAAATGAGGAGCATCCATCTATTTTTTTTCTCTTTTCTTTTTATTTTCATTTCAGAATGAATAGTTGATGCTTGATGCGGCCTTTACGAACAAATGCCTTCCAAGTCAGCTTGGATAAGAGGGAAGATGTCGACAGTACGAAGTAGAGTTAGAGCGTTAGACCATTGGTTGACTTCCGCCCAACTCCCAGACAATCCCAGACGCTCCCAGACGCTCCGTAGCGCCCGCTCCCGCGGCGCATTTTGAGTTGGCGCTGTCTACACTTCTGCACACACAACCCGCCCAATCCCTCGAAGCCCCGCATCTTGTCTCGTCCCTACCTGCATTGCATCGCTCATTCCCTCGTGCGTCATCCTTTTTTTCCTGAAGCGTGTTCGACGCGATACCGACTCGGAAAAAAAAAGCGAGAGAAGAAAAAAAAAGACGAGAAAAGCAAAAGAAAAATACATCACCTCTTTTTTATTGCCCCCGACTTTCTTTTTCCTCTCCTATAAATTCCACAGTCCTCATGGCTCCGTCACAGGATATGTTCGCGGGCATCCACGAGTTCCTCGCTCAGACCCAATATGCCAAACGTAACCCGCCACCCAATCTCGGGCCATGGCTCAACGATGACAACGAGGACTCGGCCGCCTATCCCAGGCATAGACTCAGCATCTCGTACCCGCCCCCGAGAATTAGTCCCAGCATGGCGTCCTCGTCGACGGCCAGGACGCAGCTGACGTCCATCTTCGACTCCTCGGACAGCCCCGCTAGTGCTGGAACCGGATCGTTCCAATACCACCAACATTACCAACGCCGCCCACAACGCAATGATCGCGGTGGTTCAACATCAAGCGCCTCCTTCAGCGTCCCCGATCCGCACGAACTCGATGGCAATGGCCTACTCGCGATCCACGAACAGGCCGAGATACCCGCGCAGAACTTCCCGCCCACGATGCCCTGCGAATTCTCCCGGTACACGGGATGTACCCACGTGTTCTGCCCCTTCAGGCAGTGGAAGCAGTGGATCCGACACGAGATCGAGGTCCATCTCAAGGACAAGCTTCCGGCCACTTGCGTGTGCTGGTTCTGCGACGACTTCAAGTTCGACGCCGCCACCCAGACAGAGGACGATCGGCGGCTGAACTTTGATAATCGGATGCAACATATCGCGGGCCATTTCCGCGAGGGCGAGGCCGGGCATATCAGGCCGGATTTCCACTTCCTCGAGCATTTGTGGAGTAACGGCATGATTACCCAGGCCGTGTTCGATCGCGAGAAGAATGTACACGAGGCGTTGCAGATTGATGGGTTGAGGCCGCCGAATTCCAAGACTAGCAAGATGTTGAGGGAGGAGGAGCAGAGGAGTAGGGTCATTGTGCAGGATGATCCGAGGCAGGAGAGGGAGCGGAGGCGGAGGCGGGAGCAGAGTCGGCGGCAGAAGGATAAGGTCTAAGTCTGGACCCGCCTTGTTGCTTCCCTGGTGTTTGCCTGCACCTGCCTGTTGTGAAATTTCTATCTCGAATGCCTCGGAGCAGCAGCAGCAGCAGCGGTACATGGTGGCCGTCTTTGCTGTTTGGCTCTGGCTCGCGACCGTCGGGTCTATTCCCTTTCTAGGGGCGTTTGGCGGGCTCAACGTCCTAGATTTCGCGTTAGCCGTGGTCTTCTCCCCTTATATCTTTGTTCTTTTTGGGTCTCTTCGTCGTTCAAATCTGACAGAGGAGGCCTTTCTTTCATCTGGCAAGGTCTTGGGAGTGCTCAGGAACCCGACTCCGCCGAGAAACACTTCTATATCGGCCATCCAACCATGGCCGACTCTTTCAAGATTGCTTCCCCTTCCTCCTTGATCTTCCCCTTATCCCATTTTCCCTTTTATGTTCTCTATTGTAACGAAGCCCATGATCTCCTCTCTTTATTTGTCCAATACCCCTCTTCTCCATCCTCATCGTCATCGACATATACACCCATCTCAGCCGGCAAGGAGTTTCAGTTTAGGTCTCGGAGTCTCGTTGAATTCTTCGGTTTTCATTATTTTCTAGTTTAATTTGCTATTCGAAGGAAAATTGGATGGGTATGCTTCAAAATCGAATTTGCAAAACGGTGTTAGTGTCAACAGGTCTTCTTCCATGGAGCGAAAAGGTGTCAAACCAGGGAAGAAAAGGAAAGATATCATACCCCTTCTTTCTTATTTATATCCAAATTGAAAACAACTTCTACTTGCTTCGATCTTGTCTCAAAAAGTGAAGAAAACAACCAATAAACCTGCGTGTCAAGTTACCTAAAAAGAGGAGAAGTGATGTGTTGCGCCCTTTTGATCAGAGCCTTGTGCATCTCCACACCTCCGCCAGCTCCCACGATTGGGCCAAAGGAAAAACGATAATATATATAATACTGAGGTACTCCTTCGGCAAGTCACCGCTAAATCAAGCAAGGGGGAAAGGGGGTAAGAAAAAAAAATACATGGCGGCGGTGTAGCTTGGTACTTTTACGCCCGTTCACTTTCATTGCTGCCTAGTTTCTCTTTGTGCCGGGCGAGCCGTATGGCATTCTGCATCCAGATGGCTTGTATTTGGAATGAAGATACTTCGTAGGGCGTGTTAATGACGCCTGATGACACTCGGGCAAGACCTGTTTCACGGGGGTCGCAGAGGTTGCTCTTATTAGGAAATAAGTTCTGAGAGGGTTTGCGGGGGAACTTGGGGTCGCCTTGATTTTTTTTGGAAAGGCTGGTCAAATCATGCAGCGGGCCGGGGTCATTTGACATTCACGATGGACAGGGTATGTCAGAACAAGGGGCGGGGAGGATCCCGTCCCAAGGTGCTGCTTCCTAGACTCACAATGTATGTATGGAGAGCGAGCAGAGTTTCCTTCATCTAAGCCCAAACGTTTCAAATGCCATGACAGTAAGCACGCCGGATACAAAACCCTTCCACACGATATCAACGTCATATCCCTCCCCGTTCCTCGCCTATCGGACCCATCCTCCACCAATGACGCTCCTTCTCGTCCTAGCTCGGCACGAAAAGCAAGCCCTACGCCCCATGAAACTCCGCCTCAACCCTCCCATACCTGACCCCATCCACCTTCAGCTCGAAGCCCAACCCCGCGCTATCAACCGTCATCTCGAGCGTAAAATCGAGGTTATCAAACTCGACGCCTCGCGTCGTCGTCAACCGCGTGAACAAGCTCCTCGGAACGGCGTTGAGGTCCGTCGTCAACGTACATACGTTCACGAGGTCGCGGGTAGAGGCCGAAGGTGGGTCGTCGGCCTCGCAGGCGATAAGATCGTCCGTCACGACGAGGGATTGACCTGGGCGGAAGTTTCGAGTGTAATGGAAGGCGATGGGTTGGAGTGGTGATATTGCCTCTCCCTAGAGACAGTAGCCGTTAGACAGAGAAAGGGAGAGGGCAAAAAGAGGAAGGAAAAGAGGAATCATACCTTGGCAATGTGCCACTGCATCCGATCCGACACCATCCATCTCTCCCACAACGGTGACCAATACCTCTCGCTCACCGAGTGCTTCTCCTCGTCATACACCGTCGCGTACGACGTACCATAGTGCATTCTCGCCTTCCTACTAATCACCATATTCCCCTCCAAGCCTCGCAGTACGGCGCCTCTCACGACGGCCGTCCACGCGTACACCGGCTGCATTACCTCGATCGAGCCCCGCGAATCCGCCGACGCGGCGCCGGCGTGCGTAGGTCTTTCGCTGTACGGCGGGGGCGCCGCACTGGAGAAGTGGGCCTTGAGCCGTCGGTAAAGGTAGTTGCTCTGCCCAAAGCCGCCGACGAGGACGATGCCAGAGACTACGCCGCCTTTGGCGCGGAGCCCGTCGACCTGACCTTCGACGAGGTCGCAGACTTCTTTTACCACGGGCTCGAAAATGTCTTTGATTTGATCGGCTGTCATGACGAGGAAGCCGGAGTCTAGGCCGGCTTCTTCGTCGTCAGGGAGACCAGGGAATCTGTTTTTCGCGTGAGGACGTGTGCTCGTAAGAAGAAACATCGGAAACAATTGTAGAGTTGAGGGGTTACCACTTACGGGACGTTGACCTCCTGATGCTCGTCTTCGTTGAAGTTCCGCTTCACAAACTCCTCAAAGTACCGTAGGCCCATCTGCCACGTCTTTCCCTTCTTCGTCTTCATCTCGTCAAATTTGCTCTGCCCGATGCGGTTCCGCACGTGCTCCTCGAACCTATAGTTGAGGAATGCGCTTCCACAGAGGCCGCCAGTTCCAACGGCAGACTCCTCGACTCTCAGAGGTTTTAGGGATATTATCTTGTAAGCAATAAGACTGGGAGCGATTAGCACATCTCGACGTGATATGTAACGAAAAAGGGGAAATAAACCTACTCTACTGTACCGCCACCAGCATCACAAACGATAAAGTTATCTCCCACACTCAGGTGATTCGGTTGTATCGCCTTGAGCGTATACACCGCCGCAGCCTCGGGCTCACTAATCATCTGAATCTCCGACTTGGAACCCATACCCGCCCTCTCAGCGGCCTGAAGCGTCGTGTTCTTGGCGGCGTCAGACCACACGGCGGGGCAAGTCAGCACGAACTCGACCTTGGTGCTCGCCATGAAGGACTCTCCGTAGCGCCGCGTGAGGGTGTCCATGGTGTGCTTGTACACCTCGGTCAGGTAGTCGCTGACGGCGTCGACGACGTTCTTGTTGAATCGCTTGAGCTGGGCGGCGGTCTCGAGGGGGCTCACGTAAAACGGCAGCTTCTGCGACCGGTCAAGAAAGAGCTTGATGCATCGTAGGCGACTCTCCTCGGGACGGAACTGGAAGCCCCATTTCACGACTGGAGGTGCGTCGTGGTCGGCCTTGGCCGGGGTGTCGTAGGCGATCTCGGTGGGGACCTTGTCAGAGGTGATACCGTTGCCGCCGGGCCAGGACTTAATGATTTCGACGTCGTCGGGGGTTGACGTGTAAACGGCAGCCACGCTATAGATTAGTTAGTGGGTAGGACATGAATGGGACTTGTCACGGCTTGAATAAAGTGAGGTACAAGCAACCTTGTGTCCGGCGCTCGAGGGTGACGAGATGCCAGAAGCACTGCTGCCTCTCTCGTCCTTTCTCACACTTCCACCACCACGGGCAGCCCATGATGAGAGTCTCGCACTCTCACAATGCCGCAAAGAAAAGAAAGATTAAGTGGCCGTAGAAAAAGAAGATGAATAAATACGGAAATACGCACCCTGAAAAGGTCGTTCCAAAATCCACGCCAACGATCAGCCGATCCGCAGCGGGTTTGGGCTCCCGAGCAGGCTCCCTCACAGGACCATTAATAGCTTCTGTTCCAGCTCCGGACCCAGCCCCGACAGCAGAGGCAGGCGTGTAATTGGTAAAGTAATTTCTACTCTCCTTGTTGCGCCGACTCGTGGGCGTTGAGCGGATGGGGAGGTTGAGACTCATGGTTGCTTTACCCCCCTCTCTCACTCGGGTGAGGTCTGGTGAGATTCAAGGTCCGTGATGGGTTGGTGGGGCGATCGCGGAGTTCAACGTTAACCCAGCTAGGGTGGGTGTGTGGCCATGAACACGGGGTCGAGGCCAGAGAGCGCAGACAAGAAAGGGGACAGCGGTAGGAGTACGAGCGGATATTGTTCTCTCGTAGTCGAAAACCTGGAGGCGTATTGATCTTGGAATCGCCGGCGCCGGAGTCGCCACAGTAGGCGCTCTTCAGGGTCCGAGGGAGGGGTGACAGCTTGGGGGATTGGAAGTTGTGACGCTAATGGGTTCTCTTCGCCTCGAGTTCCTGGACGATGCGACGGGGAAAAGTAAGTAAGCGAGCGGTGGCGAGGATGGAGAGGATCAAGGAGCCGGATGGGGTGAAGTCGGAAGAAGAGAAGATGAATCGAGAGACGCAACTCCTTACTAGCAACAGCGCAGGACTCGGAGAGAGACGTGGAGTCAAGCCAGTCAGCTCAACGGCTGCGACTTCCTTAGGGCTGAAGCGCTCCTCGATTGCGAACGGCTCAACTCAATTCGCAGTCTTACAGAGCGTACAAAGGTACAGAACCGGCATGCGCTAGTAATACTCTGGAGCAAGGCCTGGCGGGGTCAATTGAGCGTCGAGTTAGCGTCTTATGAAGAGCCTCAGCGTGTCGATACAGCGATCAATACCACTATAACTCAGCGAAGGGGGGGGGCCGGATTGGACAGCAACCGAAGCACAATGATGGACAGACCAAAACGTCTGGGTCAATCAGATCAATCTTGTTGGACAGGAACAACATTGTGGAAATTTTGAAGCCTCTCAATTCTTCAAATGAAGCAAGTAGTCCTTTATACAATTGCCAATTGATAGATCAATTGATTTGATCAATTATTATCCTGCTGCCTGGAAGGCTAGGCAACCACTAAGCACTGATCCTTCCCCCTGTTCTGGATAATGATACCGCAAGCTTCGGCAGCTCAGATCAGGCAGCTTCGCTTGGACAAGAAAAAAAAAAAAAAAAGAAATAATCATAAAATAAAACGGACGCGTCGACGATGATGACATCTCTCGACATGTCGAGTGAGGAAGTGGTCATCACTTGCCAACTATGGAGTGATATGCAGCGGTTGTGGTGAGCAGACGACGCGGCTGGCTAATAAGAGTGGATGCGAATATAAGTGTGGTCAGCGAGGCAGCGAGATAGGGTTCTCGGCATTCATTTTAAAGCCATAAAGATGATTCCCAAGTGCACAAGACCGAAACATTCCCCCTACGATGTTGCATCCATCTACTTCGTATTATTTGCTACTGTGACTTCGGCGCACTGCCAATGTCCCTCGACACCGACCAGAGACCGACTTCGTCGGGCTCTATAGATACGAACAACTTATCCCTACTTTGCTGAGCAGCCTTCCATAACTCCTTCATGGGATACTCTTTCTCGTAAAAGTACCGCAAATTGAAGAGATTATGTGGGAGTTGTTGCAATCTCACCCGGAAGTGGCCTTTGTATCCATCTTTTGCTGTGCCTTCAGGACCATCGGCAGCATGGTCCGGATCAAGAGCCCAAACCCACATCTCATCGACAAGACCACTTCGCGATAGCACCGAGTCCACAGCATTCTTGTCAACGACGAGAATGGCATTCTTCTGAATGCCCCGTTTCAAGCCATAGTCCTCTGGCTTATCCCGAACCAGCGCGAATTGACGGCGGAGCCCTTGGAATATCTCCTCATGGCCTTCATCCAACGTCCGGTCGTCGGGCACAGCAACGTTAGTAGGCCAGTCTAGGGACCGTAGCTTCCAATTCATTCTAAGAGTAGGACCACACCCAACCGTAATCTGCGCATTCTGTATAACAAGCCCAGCCCGACTCCAATAGTCGTCCAGCCTCTGCTCATCGAAGCCGGTGTTGCGTCTGTGGTGATGTGATGCAAGGTCCAAGTTTTGTTGTCTTATATCAACGCTAATACAAACCCCGATGATCTAATCAAGATCCTGCTTATACGCAGGCAAACCCAATCTACAGTAGTGACTTGCCATGCCCCCTAGCTCCAAGATTCAACTACAGAGCGTTCTGCCGCGTCGGCGTGGGGCTTGGTGATGCCGATGTTCTCATCGGCTTATTTTCTACTCTTGAGTAGTCTACTCTCTCCGGCTTCAACCCGCCATCTCTCACAGATAAGGATCGAGGCCGCATCCTCGACTTCCCCGAACCCAAGCAAATTCTTGCTATGTTGCGGCGTCCTCTTCGCTCTCAAGACCGGATCTTCTGAAGCGCGCTGCGGAGTCCCCGCATGGCCTCACCGAATCCGAAGTTCACCTCTTGCACCAGCGTTACTGGGTCGAGCTGCTCCCAAAGGTGCCAAAGGCGCGCTGGGATGTGCATAGAGCCCTCGGAGACCAGGCCAACGACTTCTTTGCGCGTCTGGAGGAGATTCGGGCACCTTTGTACGGCGAGAACGAGGCGCAGGCCCTGAAAAACTATCGACTACAGAGTGGCATGTCGCTCATTTTTTTGGTGCAGTGGGCTAAATCCAACAAAAACGTCCTCAACAACCTGGTGACGTCTATCGACAAGTTGAAATCACGCATCATTGCCGCGTAGGTTTTTAGACCCGAGAATTAGAACTTTGAAAGTAGCTAACTGTCAGTTTTTAGTGAAGTAAATCCTCTTGCAGCAAGCCAGAATTCGAATTCAATGCAGGGTGGAAGCGCCATCGTTACTTTGAAGGATATCTCCAACCAAGATATTGCTGGGTTTCCAAGAACCGTTGGTACGTTGAAGAATTTACCAGGTTAGTTGCGAACATGAAATGGTATTCGTTTCATCGTTTTTTATCATCTTGCTTCCTGATTTATTATGACGAAGGTCCCGAACTGTCACGGATTCTGGCTATGTTGGGTTTACCTGGAACAGGCCCTCCGCACGAGAAACGCGTCAACTCATGGTGAAGTCTAGGATTACCGCGTGATAATGTGGCGGCCTAAGAATGATATATTTTGCCAATTGTCGAGTTCCCCAACCGTCGGGCTCCGGTTGAAAGGAATAACTGAAGCAGACGGTCATATAGCAGCTAGAAGGCTGTGTGTATCCTGTGGACGCGGATTTAGCCATGTTCATGCAAAAAAGACATGTGGGAAGGTGGTTGGCCAATGTTCTTAGTTGTGCCGGGCGCCGGGGAGAGATCCAAAGGCTTGCATAGTTTGTATTGTTCGCTCGATTTGCCTGTTGTCTTGTTAATGGTATGTAGTAGAGGTGCGTGTCGTGATGCCAGCCGCCTTGGACATGGTCTACCACACGGCGCCGAGTAGCTTCGGGTCGCCCCGACAGCCGACAGACAGGAAACGACGGGGGTAAAGATTTCGGCTTGCTGGAATTGCAGATATTATGTACATTAGGCGGAGGTACTTGGCTGTGTCTCGGAACCTGGTTGTGATAGAGTGGGTTGAAGTAAAGACCGCATTTTTGTTTTGAGAGTTGTCATTGGAGGCAAGCACGCCAGAAAGAGATACTGATAATAGGATTGAAGACTTTCAAGTTTAATCCGTCGATGCAGCAAGCTTGGGCTATTGTACACCCATAACCATGGGCTTCCCGATCTGATATTAAAAACCTTGTTATATCGAAGCAACAGACGATTCCCAACTCTCCTCAAGAAGATCGAAAAGGAAAAAAAGAGAAAGAAGAAATCTCAAGATTAACAACAACTCGAGGCTCCAAAAGAGACACATCCAGATGCCATCTCGTATCCAGCGGCGCTTTTATCCAACCTCGTCAGCGCCTTCCAGCCAGCTTGCAGAACATTATCAAACGCCCCCCGGCAGATAGATGCCGCTGAAAGACAAGAAGAACAAAACATAAAAACCTTTCGGCTACTCACGCCCTTCTGCACTCCAAACACCTTATCGACGGGTTTGAAAACAAAGGGAAAAACAAAACAAAATACTAATTTTCTTTTCTTGGATACAGCTGGAAATAAGGAAAGTAATGAGACCTAGGAACACCATTTGCTCCCTCCTCTGGAGTAGAACCTGGAACCATGCCTCATCTCTCAGTCTATATATAGGTTGGGTAATGTAATTGATATATAAATGTGTGTATATATCAGCTGAGGGGTATTTGTTAAGTTATTTGAAACAAAAAAAAAAAGATAGTAATCAAAAAGATGAGCTAGACAAAAGAAAGTGGATGAGATGAGTTATAATAATAATAGTGGTGGCGATCTTTTCTTCTCGGGATCGGGTATTCCTGTCAACAAAGATGAGAAATGAGAGACAAAAAAAAGAGGTTGGTATAGTGGTAGTAGTAGTAGCAAGTCGAAGAAGTTCGAGGAAAAGTGAAAAAAGGACAAAATATGAAGCGAGGTAGGTACACAGCTTCCATTTACCTGTCCCCAAGGACGTGGTCTGGGTGTTGGTGTCCATCATCATTGCTTGTTCGAAAAGAAAAAGAAAAAAGAACAAGAGGAATCTCATGTCCGCCGCAAATTCATTCAAGAAATGTTGCTTTTGAGACCCGCCGCTATCGTCTCTCTCTGTGCCTCATCTAGAGCAGCTTTGGGTAGTCCCACGAGAGAATGCAATGTCCACCACACAAAAACTTGAAGAACGCCTAAAACACCGTGCCCTGTGCAAAGTCCCAACCCCCTTCATGCCAGCTAGGAAAGAGATGAGTAGAAAAATAAAAAAAACAATAAAATGAAAGGGAAGCAAACAAGGAATTACTCGAGAAGCGTCTCAAAAGGTTTTTCTTGTTCTCTGGACCGAAGTAGGATCCCCAAGGCCTCATGAAGCACAATAGCTCCAGGTTTAAAAGCGGTTGCTAGCTGCCCAGATGCTGGCTGCGGCTGAAGCCGCCCACTCACTCTCTTCATATGGAGGTGTAGGCCATTTGTTCTCGGTTCCGCTTGGCTTCTTTGCGAGGTTGAGGGGTTTGGGAGTGACTGCCTGTCCATCGCCGAAGAGAACCGCGTTGCCGCTAGCCGAGGGAGATGGGGTCGGATACGGGTTCGATATCGCCGCGCTGCTAGCTGATTGCCGAAGGGCAGGCTTTCCATCCTTTTCTAATCGGTGAATAGCGTGTCGGGTTGAGCTCAAAACCTCGTCGAGAAGTTCGTCCTCTTCGTCCGGAGCGTCATATTGTCGCATACCCTGAGCCGCTTGGGATCGTCGAGTTCGACTGGACACTGGCCCTGCGCCTGCCCGAGCTGCGCCAAGGAGGTTATCGACAGACCTTGGCTGCTGATACTTGGGCAAAGAGTGGTGCCTCTTGATACCAGTCGTAGCCGCAATTTGGTGCGCTGGTGGGACGGGTGGTCGGAGGGACTCGTGCTGTTGAACGTCCCTCAAAGCCTTATCAAGAGACTCGTAGACCTCATGCTTCGGGGGCGGATGTGCCTGGGCATCCATGATCATTGACGACCTATTGCTGGCCCAGGGTCCACATCCCACCTGAGCTTCCAAGTCATCGTACGTAGGAGAGATGGGCGTCTGGTGCCTCCCAGAGAACCGTCGTGCTCTCTTCCGAAGGTGAGAGAAAAAGCTCTCCTTTTGAGCGCTTGGTGGCGAGATTAGACCCGTGTGGCCGTTAAGCGCCCTCTCAGCTTGTTGCCTGTGCATCTCGGCGTAGTGGTTCGTGCTCGACGCTACTGACAGCTGCCTGCCAATCTTCTTACCCGATTTTCCATCCACACCGAGTTGCTGTTCGTTATAGGGCGCCGCGTTGTTTGCCTGGGCTGTAACGGCGTCGGAAAGGGGAGAAATGGGTCGGATGGTAGGGAGAATGGGCATCGGGGCAACGTTGGACGGACCGTTAACCCAGGTCGTCCTCTTCGCGGCCGTTGTCCTCGTCTTCGCAACCGGGACTTCATTGTTGACCGTTGCTGAGGGGACGGGTGAAGGGCGAGGAGCAGAACTCTCCTTTGTCATAACCGGCGTCACAACGGGATCGGCGATGCCTTCGGAGCGGCCAATTAATGACTTCCGGAACCAGGACTGCTTTCCGGTGGTAGAGAGAGTTGCAACAGTATCCTTCGAGGAACGGTTATGATCAATGTTGGACTGCTTGCGACCCAAAATCCTCGACGCGGATGACTTGGGTCGTAAAGGATCGACAGCGTCGGTAAAGTACTCGTGTGCGAGCGCCTGGCTCGACGTGGGTCGGTTCTTAGGATCCCACATAAGACACCAAGTGACGAAATGGCTCAGTGAAGCGGGCCACTGGGGAGACTGGAGGATTGTATCCATGGAATGGGGGGCCATCTTGGGGAACGAGAAACCGAGCTTCCCAGCCAACCGCGTCCCCTCCCTCCATTCACCACCTCCGACCCGAGCGCCCGCCTTGTTGTACCAATTTCCGGGGCTTCCCATGATCTCACACACCCTCCAAACCTGATCAACCTCATTGCCACCAGGGAACAGGGGCTTTAACGTGGCTACCTCGACGGCCATGGCGCCGACGGCCCAAATATCGACGGGGGCCGAATATTCACCTGCCCTCAAAAGGACCTCCGGAGCACGATACCATCTCGTAGACACGTACGTGGTGTAGGGAAGCTTAGAATGCGTTTCTCTAGCGAGCCCAAAATCGGCGATCTTGACGGAATATGTCGGCGGCGTGGATGGCGGTGTTACAAGAGCCGAGTACCGGCGGAATGAGTTGGAGGAGTCAGAGTGGCCCGAGGTAGAAACGAGGATATTCTCAGGCTTGATGTCGCGATGGAAGAAATTATGGGCATGGATATGCTCCAGACCTTGCATGATCTGGAATAAAATGCTCTTGACGCTGGCATTATCAAGGCACTTGTGGTCTCGTGCCTTCATGAGCTGGTACAAATTGCCCTCCATGTACTCCATACAGATATGGAGCTTCTTGCTGTAGGGATCGAGAAAGATGTCGAGCGCTGGAACGAGGTGGCTGTGGGCGGGCAAGGTTCGGAGAAAAACCACTTCGCGGAGCTCAAGACACGGGGTGAAAGACTCGAATGTCTTCTTCATCGTCTTAATAGCAACCTAGAATAATGGGGTAAATAATTAGGAAATCCACCGCCTTGGACGCTAACAAGCAAACGGGTCCAACGTGAACCGTCGATCGCAGAAACTCACCACTGTGCCTCTCCGTGCTACATTAGATCCAGCACTTCGCACCCTCGCGAGCACCACACTACCGAAGCTTCCATCTCCGATTTCTTTCAACACCTCAAACCGATCCTCCAGAGCGAGATGGTTTGAGCTGTGCGAGGAACCGCGACGAACCAAATCATGGCCGTGGGTTGAGGTGGGAGCTGCGACAGTCGACATTGAGATGGAATTAGGCCCCGCAAGAGGCGATATGGATGAATGGCCGAGGAGCATAGACATCGAGAAGAATCGAAATGAGGGGTTTGTTTAACAGACTATCCACACGATCAAACAATGCAGTCGGATCGATCGGGAGGTTTGCTGTTTATCGTTTTCAGGCGGGCGTAGAAAGCCTGGCACCGTGCCAAAGCGGTGGCTAACGAAAGACGAGCTCTATCGAAGAGCTGCTCACCGTTACTCGAGCATTCAGTTCAGCGATAATTTGATGGTTGTATTTTAAATCGAGAAGACCATTGGAATATTTTCTGCTTTTCTTCTTTTTTTTCTTCCCTCGTACGAGTCAGTTGTTCGTGGTGGGCGATTTGGGTGACGAGTAGTTGATGGTGTAGCCAACGAGGAAGGGGGGGTGGCAGGAGGGTGGTGATGAGGCGCGTGAAAGAGAGTCTGCAAGGACAGCAGAAAAGGGGAAAGAGGTAATCAGAAAAGAGAGTGAAGAAAAAAAAAAATGAAAAAGGAGTGACTGGAGTGAGCAAGGTCCAACTCAGAAAGGGCTAGAGGATTGACAAGGCCCCCGAATAAAAGTGAACTTCTGTAAAGGGGATGGAGAGTCAGGGCCCCCGGTGGATCGTTGGAACCACAATGTTGGGGCGACTGGGGGCTACAGTGGTGTTTGCGGTAGTGTCGACGATGGAGAGGGAGAAAAGGAAGGGGGAGGGGAATTGGGGTGGTTAAGGGTCTGAATCGAAAGGCGCCTTTGTTCGACCACTTAATGCTAAGAACCGACGAGCAACAAGGGGATTTTTGGAAACGATGGGATTATTGTAAACTTGGTGATTGCCGGCTGAAATTTCCTGAAAGGACTCAGGCTGACTTGGCGCAAGGTCGCTGGGGATCGCGGTTCCTCAATCAATGCTCTCGTGCTACTCCTCCCCTGTGCTGCTTTGCATCTCCATGCGTTGACCAACAAGGCTCATCCACGGGTAGCGTCAGTGCAATGTCGCGAAGAAATGAAAGATGTACTTCGAACAGAGAGTAAAACGGGGAGGGTTGGGAAGTGAGGAACTGGGCCAAGCGATCAAGGGGAACAGAACCAAAACCACCGCAGGCGAGGAGAAAAGGGATGGAAGGAAAGGGGGTAGGTGCCGAGAAGGGTAATGGTCGATGCTTTTCCCAGTCCTTTGCGGCAGAGAGACGCTATTGTGTCGCAGATTAAAGTGGAAACCTATTGAACGGGAACAGCACCATTACACACCCACACAGACCAGTGGAATCACTGACAACCTTGACTTGGAAGAAGGAAAGGTACAATTGGAGTGCCCAGCTTGTATCTTCCTAGGCGACCGAGGTACTGAAACGCGACAGTCCGCTGAATTCCTACGAAATGTACAAGGTATGTGTAGCGCCGAGGTTGAAACAAGTCTCTTTTACCCTGGAAGATACAACATCAGGAGTATCCTCTCCCTTGTCCGATGGAGGACTTCTTAATGTGCCAAAGTACTTCGGCAGTACATGCGGAGTTCTAAAGGCTCTCCACAAGACCGACCGATGTTAAAGAGGTGAGGAAGTGAATGTACTTCGCATAGCGACCAGTTCGAGAAGCCCGGGTCCGGCCTGAGCATGAATAATGCCTCCAAGGGTACTGAGATATACGAAGTACAGTGGTGGGCCAGCAAATGAAGACTGATCCTTCGAGTACATGTACGAGTACGAAGTACGAAGCTCTTCAATAGTAAGTAGGGGCTAGAAGTACAAGTGACCTAGAACGAATTTCTTGGTTGTGGATTTACTTTGTATAGATTTTCTCACTGAACGAGATCAATTAATGTACCATTGAACCTGGAGGGTAGCAGTCTTCGGAGTGATAATATTTGATGAAATAATAATTTCCCCAGGACCCAGTCAGTCTGAACAATCACATTTTCCTGACGGAGAAGTCCACATGGTGAAGAAGATAAACAAAGAACTGGTTACATTGAGCGTTGAGCGAAATATTGCACCGCGATGAACCCAGGACATTTGAGCCAGCAAACCAGAATCCAATAGACCCTGGGGAAGAAGAACCAATGAAGATACTCGATGTGGAGGATATCAATGCAGTTTCCTCTTCGTCTGAATATATTCCCCGTCAAAGTCATGACCTGCGCCATGTTACCTGAGACCTTCCCTTCAGGTCGCCGTGGCAGCGTCATGTTCAAATCACGGTGGCATCCGACGCCGCGGAACAGTTCGAAATACAGTACCAACGTCCCGAGTCTCGGGCCATACGAATGAAGCTGGTCGAAGGACCTTCGCTCAGCATCCTCGTTTGCAAAGCCCATCCATCAATGCCTTTGTGGGGAGAATGTGTTTTAGAGGGTGGAAGCCACGTGCTAAGCGAGGTGGCAAGAATGTACATTTACGCGACTTCTCAAGTACTTCATAATAGTGTAGGCCATCAGCCACAGCTCAAGGAATTTACGAAGGAGCATAATAAGATGCTTGTGTACTTCAAAACCTGAGTATAAGACCCTGATTCCTTCAAGACGAAGTTCATCATGGCAGCTCCACTTATCATATTAAGACTGAGATTGTATCGTAAGTTAGACGTGTTTGGTCGCCTTCGTAGAGATCAAAGTGGATGCAGAAAGGCAAGGAAAAGCAAGAGCCCCCCTATTTAAATCTCCAAGTCCTCGCTGCACGAAGAGGAAGGTAAACTCTTGGAGTCACAGTGTGATACTGTGTTTGTACTCTGCCGTCATCGAAGTATTTGCTCGTTGGCACCTTCCAATCCTCTTTCGTACCACCATACCGACGCCTCAGAAGGAACATCCCGCCCGAGGACGCTCGGTCTGAGGTACAAATCCAGCCAATGTTCTCGTCATACCTCAGATTGGCACCAGTATAGAGAACGGCGTACGGGATAATTGCCACTTCGTACGCGCAATCTCCGTGATTACTTCCACAGGTTCCTCAGGCGTGTACCTCGAGGTTCAAAATGGCTGGTGAAATTCGATCTGCCTCGGCCACTGCCTCGGGGCGGAAGAATATGGGCCACGCGTTGAAGACGCGTAGGTCAGAGTTTGACTGCCGAGAACCAGGTACTTCTGAACAAGGAAGAAAAGTGACACTCCGGTGGCTGTAGCCAGTGAATTGAAGCAGCATTAGACACAGTGTACTTGGCCCATTGAGGTCCACAGAAGCTAAACCGAAGTTTTGAGTTGATCCCAATCCTTTCCCATCATTCATGCTAGTTTTGAACATTGACAGCAGGCCATAATACCATGGCCGTCAACCAGTAATCGGTCGTCTTCGTAGGCAGTACGGTAAAAACGGCGCGGTGATACGTCCAGGTGAGCATGGCAAGTGTCATCCCATCACACTCATTACACCTTGCAGGCCTGACCAAACCGGTGCATGAAAGACGACGAAAGGTCTTGGCAAATGCGTTTGCTTCCATCTTTAGTGGACGAACGAAGGGTTCAGTGGTTGTGAGGTGATGTTGACATGGATGGAAGATACTTAATAACGCACATCTTCTGGGTTCATGTTTGCTCACACACGTTCTACCACAACCAGTCCGGCCAAGAAAACTTGACAAGAGGCCGTGGCATGAGAAATGTACCTCTCATCCCGCGTTCATCATTCACGCAGCTGAGTTGAGCTGGACACTACAAAGTACTTTGCAGGATTTACATATACTGCTGCTGATCAGCAATCTAATACCAATCTCCTCACAGGTACTCTGTACTCTTCCCAAGATACTGAGGTTCTGTCGCAATTTAGAGCAGTGCACAGACAATAGAGACGCCAGTTCAATTTAGTGCCGTCTGTTTGTACTTGGTCGCAACTGTGCTTGAGAAATGGCAGTTTTCCTGCCTGAAACACCCCTTCTCGATTTTTACTCCATAGCTCCCAGCATTTATGCATGCTGCTTGTTCCTCTCCTCCAAAGAGCTTCCCACGCTGGTGCCTGCATTGCAGCCGATGCGGAGACACTAGGCCGTCAGGGGCACAGGGCGCTCCCGAATTGTGGACCTGACTTGGATGATCCGGGAGCCCCGCGCATAGGTCAACGTGCGAAGTACTTAATGTAGCGCAGCTCATTATATGGAGCTTGAGGTACCTCACTATCGACAGAGTGGACTTGATATCAATGGATAAATTGGAACGGTTGGAACGCTGTGAGAGCCGCGGGGCGGGTCCTGCCCGCACCAAATGACTGGAAGGTTGGTACCCGATACCTTAAACTCTATTTATTTTTGTATTTGAATCGAAGTATCCAAAACCCTTCCTCGGTTCTCTATCAAACTTTTCCTGATTGCCTCCAGCGTCGGCACCAAAACTTCTCTCAATACTTTGTGGAGCGAAGAATACGGGTCAACGGCGTTATTTCTTTTACAAAGTAATCTACCCAGGCATGTCTTCTCCTCCTGTAAGCATGGGTAATAAAGAGAGCAGAACATTACAACGTGCTGGGGAAAGATTGTTTGACAATTTCTCCGCGTTTCGCGTGTTCCGCCGCGGGCCTTTGTGTGAACTTTGGCTAAAAGCAACTTGAAGATAGGAGAAAAAGAAGCATGGCGGGAAGTACACAACAGCGTACAAAGGGTACACTGCCCATTAGGCCCTGAACTTCTTGCATTAAAAAATTTTTTGAGATAGGAAAAGATACCTCCCAACACCTAGCAACTTTTTATAAGTCCAACCGATATATCTTTTGTCCATCTCCACATACATACTCCACCTATTTAAGGACTATAGGTACTTACTATTTACTATTTTAAGATTATAAATATCTAGAAAATTTTAAACTTTATTAATATAGTAATTATATTATAAAATATAATAAAAATATTTTTTTTATTTAAATTTTTTAATTTATTTTTATTAATTAAAATAGTTTATTTTTAGTTTTTTTTATTAATTAAAATAATCTAATTTTAGCTTTTTTTTATTAATTAAAATAATTTAGTTTTAGCTCTTTTTTATTAATTAAAATAGTTTAATTTTAATTTTTTTTTA